AGAATAGCATTGGAAGTCATTTGCTGCTGATTTTTGTTTACTTCAATACAGCTGATTGTGATTTATCATCAAGCCAGTAAGCAATATGTTACTTCATTTTTGTTGTTTTTTCCTCCCACAATATCTAAATTATTACTAGAGGTTAAAATACCTTATAATACGTCAGTGTGACTTTTTGATCACACTGACGGATTATAAGGTATTTTAACCTCTAGTAATAATTAAATATATTACCTTTGGACTACTTATTTGCCAGCCAATTCTGCAATGTAGCCTACTGTACACAATATAAAACCACGAATAACCTTACTTATAATATAGTTCAGACTTTTAAGTTAGTCTTACAATGTTGACATCATTATTTAACTGTGCAATTTACAAACTTGTGTATTTTTTTGTTAATTAGTTAAACACGTGATAAGTAGTAGAATCATTGGAGATGGCTCAAATCAAAGGAATTTAACTTAGAATAGCTGAAAAAATAATGAAGTTTTTTCTTATAACTTGAAGGTAATTTTTGTGTTGAAGGAATGTTTAACATGAAATAACCACATTGACTAAAAAATAAACGATTCAGGATTTAATGGAAAACTTTTGCTTTGTTTTAATTTCAAAACATATGTTCAAGATTTATTCAATTTTTTCATATTTTATTTTACCAATTTTAATTTTAGATTAATTTATTGTGGTGTTTAATCAATTATTGTATAAAGGGATAAACCTCAACGGCCACTCTTGGAAAGCAACCTGGGAATAAAGATGAAATAGGTTCGTTCAGGACAGGCAATATATTTGTTCATTAATCATCAAGTAAGTACTATGACAAGTTCCAATGGGCGGAAACACATAATTTTTTAGAGGAGATTTTAACCAGGTACTGCAAAAAAGGTTCAAATAATGTAGCCCAGCATGTACGGTGGTAAAGGAAGCATCCATATATAACAGTAAAACCTAGAGGTAGTTTCCGTTTCTTAAAACCAACCAAAAATATGCATGTCGAAGATTCTGATGAAAAGTAATTAATTGTTTTTTAACTGGGTAATGGAAACCTAACCAGTCGCAAAATAGTTAGGAATCAGCCGTTGAATAGACCCCTTTTTGATAGAATATTTAAAATCAATCGCACCTTTAGGAGGAATACCACCACATAATCTTACACTAGGCTAAGTAGTTTTTATGTTGATCAGAAACAAATCTAGCGATACGTTTGGTCAATGGGATGCTTTTACTTTACACTAATTTTGTTAAACCTTTCCAAAAGGAGCATAAACGTAGAAATAATAACTTCGTAGGGATGCTAATTTAGCGGTTTTGACCAAGAACTAAGCTTATCTCAACACACCTTTCTTTGCCTTTTCATTTTTGACGAAGACGATTTCCAATCTTTCAATCAGGGAAGCCTTTTTATTATCATTATCATCAAACACAAGACCAAAGCTACCTTAGTAAACCAATATTTATTCACAAACATGTTTGCTGCCTTTAGTAGTAGAGTCATACCTCTTGAGTAATATAAATTATTTATTAAAAATAACGTCAACAAAAGCAAAGAAAGACAAATAACAAACTGTTTTTGTACAAAATATATATTGTACTGGGATTTCTAACCTGACATTAATAATTTGATTCTGAGTTTGTTTAAATATTATAATAATTTGTTTTGTATTTGAGCTTTTTAGGGACTGGTTCGGTTATGCGCAATATTATATGCCTATTTAGTTTTCAAACCAGCTTTGTTGAATTGTGAATGTGTATACTATATACTAATGTCTATTTGGAATACGCTATATTTATTTTTTTAATCTAATTTATTTTTATAAGATATACCTTTACATTACTTTTCCTTATTATGTGACTTATTTTTATATGTGTTGTCAATGGGACCGCGTCTCGTTGTCCCTCCGTCTCGTTGTCCCTCCGTCTACTTGTACCTCGAGGCCTAATATCCATAAGAATAACATATACATTTTTAATTTGAACTTGTTGTAATATTCTCCGTGACTAATACCGTACAAAAACACTTTATTATACTCAATTACTTGTTTTTGTAAACTCTGAATTTATTTATTTAAGATAATTGTTTAAAGTTGTTGTTTAAGCTAGTTAATGTTAGTTTTCTATAGAAAGGTAGAGTTTAAAGTGGAAAAAACAATGATAGCAGATCTTGACAAGAAATAAGGAAAACCAAAGTGTAATATGGATAAGGACTGACCAAGGGACACAAGTACGTTGTTGTCAAGAACAGGGGTTTCTCAATGAGCTGCAGACAAGCCAAATTTTCCTGGCTTTTGTAGCAAGTTGTTTATAATAAATTGTTGTAAGATTGTATGATTTTTAAAGAAATAAAATAAATCTCTTAAACCGGTGACAAGTTGAAGGGGAGATACAACTAGCCGCAGGTACAACTAGACGTAGGTACAAGTAGGCGTAGGTACAACTAGTCGTAGGTACAAGTAGTCGTAGGTACAAGTAGTCGTAGGTACAAGTAGTCGTAGGTACAAGTAGTCGTAGGTACAAGTAGACGCAGACGTATGAGGTACAAGTAGACGGTGACGTTCCCGACTAGTTGTACCTGTAGATTTTTAAGAGGTACAACTAGACGTAGAGACAACTAGACGTAGAGACAACTAGACGTCAGCACCATCGTCAAGTTGTCTCTACAGCTTTGGACGGGGTACAAATAGACGCCTGTCACCGAAATGCAGCATGTACAACTAGACGCCGGTACAAGTAGACATCGCCCCATTCATTTATCTTCAACGTAGAGTCCATTTCTGTTGTGATGTCTTCTTCATCAAAAAGTCTTGATAAAGTATCCGCTAAGATATTTTCATATTTACGCATATATACGCATTTTCATATTTTATTTTAAAAGTCATAAAATACCCTCTAGAATATTCTAGACCACTCTGGAAAACTCTGAAATGGTGTGCAACAAAATTAATATTTTAACGCATGCACACTAATAATGAAAAATGAAATAAGATTTATTTTCCTTTAAGCACTGTACAAATGCAATGGGCATCGTCAAAATAAATAATAGACATAATTTAGACGGTCGCAAAACATTCACTACCTTTCGTTCAATTAAGACACAATTTTATCTACCTACAGCTACCTGACAAAGCGGGCCTTTTTGCACTGATTATAGCACACAAAGTAGTTAATTCGTGATTCGTGCATACTGCACTGCATTTTACTCACTCGAGTAAATAAATTTCTCTCAAGTGCAGAAAAAGAGTCTTTATGCTCGTGTCATACATTATATGTTCCGTCCTACATTTACTATTAAGCATCAATAATGCTGGGTAATTATTGTATGTATATACAGGTAAACTATTAATATGCAGTTTCACAAACTAACAAATTCAAACACGAATAAAATTATGGCACAAACAAATCAAAACCTAAATGAAATTGTATCACAAATTTGCAAATAAAAATCTGAATGAATTTTCACAAACATAATGAATCCAAATCTGAATATAATTAATTGTTGGTTTGTAATGTTTATGTTCTGGCGTTACGTACTGGCGAATTCCCGTGGGAACTGTTTCATACAGTACAGTTATGCAGAGTCGCATTACCAAGGATGATTTTCAAATCGACTCAGAGGTCATAGAAGTTCTGAGTAGCCTCGTGATTTGAAAAAAAACCGTCTTATTGAGGTTGTTTGGATAGAAATTTTCGTTTATAGAGGTAAGATTTTTTTTATATTTTATTTTAGATTCCAACGGACAGCTCCGTTTTGATATTGGTAAACTTTTCGAGACTTTCTTACGACTAGTACAAGACAATAGTTGATAGTGAATTGAATAAATTAGTTAAGACTGTTAAGAACAAAACGACAATAGTTATTTGTGCAACTAGTGAGAAAAGTGAGCAATTGACTCACTCGAGAGAAAGCCTTACTCACGAGCCGTAGGCGAGTGAGGAATGGTTTCTCGAGTGAGGCAATTGTACTTTGAACTCGAGTTGCACATTATACTTTTCCTACAGTTACCATAAAACAAATAAATTGGTGAAGAAACATAACCTATTTTTACACAAAAGTGAACTTTTAATATAACATTTAATGTGAAGTGACAAATACAACAGTACAACAGCTGACCAGCTGATTTACAGCCAGTTCTGCCAACGTATTTCGCGCGCATACGACGTTGCCTGCATGTTACGCGCTCACTATTTCGTGCCTTCTCGTTGCAAATCTGGAGTGAGACAAAGTAATTAGAGTGAGACAATGTTAACTGTTAACATTGTCTCACTGATGAGCGAATTGGCCACTTTGCTTTCTCAAATCAGTGAGAGAACATGTACATTGTTAGGTAACTGTAGGAAAAATTAGTGACACAACTTACAAGATGCAAAGTAGCAAAACAAGTTAAAAACATGATAGTTACAACAAAACAAATCCAATAGTGCCAATGAATTGAAAATAGCATTAAGTGTTATAGGGCTTTCTAGGGGATTTGAAAATCCATTTTTAATCAATGTTGACGTGTCATTTAGGGTCGTGTAAACAAGTTTCTAAGGTATTAAATAAAATGTTATACAAATAGAGTACATACTTTCACATTTTTTATTAAAAGAATCCTTTAAAATCAAACTGAAAATTCGCTTGGTCTGCAGGTTTGCTGCGGCGTGGATATATAGTACCACGGTTACCTAATGGTGGCCGTGATAGTACGCTTGCAACTTTTGATCAGTATTGAAATAAAATTAATTGAAATAATAAGTCAATTGAAATAATTGAAAATTATTACTATTTTTTTCATACATAGAGTCGAGTAAATATTATCACATTGAATGTTGAGTTTAAAAACCAAAGATCTTTCTAGAATCGAAATCAGGATAGCATGATGATTTATAAAGATATCAGTTCTTGTAGTATGACTGATTTTGTTAGAGCCTCATGTTATTTTTCCTGATCTGCTATGTCTTCGCCGCCGGCATCGTTGCCATGCGGACCGTGGTGAAAAGAAAACTAGAAACAGGATTGTAAATAAATAAACAGCAACAACAGTCAACGAGTCAACTTTAAAATTCCCCAATTTTTACAAATTGCTATGAAAAGGAATAGGTATTTTTGTCAATTGAGGTAGGTTTAAATTTTTGGTTCACTGTATTATTCATATGTTTATTTTGTACGTATATGTAGGATTTCATAACTCAGTGAATGGTAAGTTATAGGCTTAGGCTACTAACTGTAGTGATAATAATACATTGGTTAAGTTCAATACATAGATTAATACACACGTTAATAATCTAGCCTAGGCCTACACAATAGGAATGCTATTTTATATAATATTGGTTTTCCTTGTAAGAATTGTATTCTAAATTAGTATAAAATTCCCTCAGTGATGGTCACTAAACATAAACATATTCTATAGTAGGTAGCCTACCCTATTCTAGCTGGACTGTAATCTAGTATATTTATTTATTTATTTACCTATTTTTTTATATTTTGGTATAAGTTAACAAAGATATAACAGGTTATAAATATCCAAAGCGTAACAACAACAAAAAATTATTATGTTACTAGTCCTGAAAATAGGTGTTTACCGGACGAGTGTGGTTGTTCCCGTGCGAGACGAAGTCGAGTAGAGTACGGTATTAGGCCTACTATAGGAGTCCGGTAAACACATTTTGGACGAGTGACATACGATATTTTACGCCATACTACTAGGCCTAAATCTGTTCAAAATCCTTATATATTACCACCGACTAAAGGACTAACAATCACTAGTCATAACCTCTATGAGAGGTTTTGAGAGGTTATGTTTTTGTTTATAAACTAATCACTCTTACTCATTGCCTAATAAGTAAGTATATAATCAACTGGTTTGTGACCAAAACTCATTACAGTAAGTTACAGTAGTACATAATGAAACCCCATTTGATTAAGCTGACGGCAAACAGCTGTTTTCTGGACTAAATCCTTGTGTGGGAAGTTCTTCAAAACAGTGTAGTGTGGCGTAAAATTATTTCCAGTCAATCCATTGGCTTTATGATTTTGTTTCAAAGACAACTGATTTACAAACAGCTGGTGCACCTTAATAGGATATCCTAGTCTGATTAAATACTGTCTTAAAGTTTGTTAAAGTTGTAGTTAACTTCTTCGATTTGCTTAGTATTGTCATAGACAAGTAAGTTATGGTCAAGGTTTCCCCATCAGTCGTTATCATGTTTGACTAAAAAGTGAGGGTTTTTGTGAAATGATACAATCCACCCTCCTCTCAAACAAAACTCCTCCTTCAAACAAAATGTTTCACAAAATATACTGTTCATTCCAGCAATATAACTATTATAAAAAACTTTAATTATTTTCAGGATCTTCTAAAGAAAACCTAATTACAAGCCTAGATGAAAATACAGAATACAATCTTTCAAAATCCTCTCCCTCAAAGTTAATAAACCATACCAAATGGAGGTATTGGCATAATGATGAAGAAGCAATAACGTTTATTGACTGTTTTAATCAAGTAGAAAAAATGGATAATCTGAGTAAAGAGAGTGATGTAATTGATATGGATAATCCTGCTGTTTTGTTACATAGTTCAATGACAGAAACAGGGAAAAATGAAGACTTAATTCAGAACTCAAGAAGAAATAATGAACCTCCAGCAAAATCTGTTTCCTGCACAGAGTTGCTAACAAATTATTTAAAATCTAGTTCATGCAGCAATATGGATGGTAAAACATTATTCTATAATGAGAAGGGTTGGCCAGTTAAAATATTGAAATTAACTGAGGACTCGCCCCCAAAAAGTAAGTAGATGTAGGCTACTAAGTTATGATAGGGCCTACCTGTTTGTTTACAAGTTAATACAATTCAGATCTTAAGTGTTATTAGTTAGCAGGGATGTACAGTCCCAAGTACAACACAAAGTTTAGCCTGTAGAACATAGTAGCCTACCTTTTTATCTGTTAAAAACCGTAAGTACCTTTAACTTAATAGGCCTATCTATTATGAAAGCAAATGGAATATCACATCAGCAAGCAGGCCTAATACATATTTTTACCGATTGCTACCAAGGTCACTTTTCTAGAGATAGGCCTAGGCTACACTAATGAAACTTTGGTTTTTAATTGTGAAACTAGAACCAAATCTTCTAGCCTATATAAGTTGGGTAGCCTACATTATATTTCAAAAATTAAAACTGTGATGAGTTATAAAAATACTAAGTACTAGGACTTCTGGGTAGGATTGTGGTGGAATACTAGGAGAAACACTAAGTTAGTTGCTACATATCTTTAGATCTGGTGACGGGCCTCAGCAGTTAGTGCCTGCCACCAGCTCTGAAGATGGCTATCTACAACAAAGCCGAAATGTTAGCAACTAGTGTTTCTCCTAGTATTCTGATGCGGTCGTATCCAGAAGACCTAGTACTTAGTTTTAGTGATTGTGACCATGGAAGCCTTAGGCCCATTTCCTAAGTTAGTTATCAAACCATTAAGTTACTGTAAACCACAAAATTTAAAGCTAGGCCTAGTATGCCGTGAAGGTGTGGCAAGTACGCAAAGACATTTTCACCTTTTGCCGCCCCTGTCTGTACTCTGAAGATATGTGCCAGGATTTTTGCTCCTGCTCTTTAAGTTAGGCCTTTTCTCAAAATACCACTTGGTTTGTGAACACCGCATACCGTACTTCTCTACTACTCACTTTTGGCCTAATACTTTTAATACTTTTCAAACGGCTCAAATTAGTCACATTGCAAATGGACCTGGGGTGTGAATGGATGAATCTGATATTTTACAGCCACAGCAGAGGGGTTACTTTAGATTTTTAATGATAGCCTATCTTTTATGAAGGCTTGGAGAAGGAAACGTTTTGTTTCTTTCGAAGACAAATTCATTGCCTTGAATGGGTTTGACAACAGAAAACCTTAGTAATGAATGTGATTTTTACAGGTTTACAATGAGTTTTTAGTTGTAGGCTACTGTGTTATCCAGTATTTTTGAATATCCGACCATGCTGGAGCCAGTTTAGATTAAAAAAGTATTTACTGTAAAGACACAAATTAATAATTTATACTACTACTTAAAAGTGTTATAATTATGTAAATATTTCAGCAACAAAACCCAGGTCCACTCGATCTGTGCCTTCGACCTCGAATAAGAAATCACCTCGCAAAGAAAAATCCATTTACACGCAAAAGACGCAAGTTACTGCACAAAGTAGACTGAGGAAAAAGTCAGAATCTTTGAAAGAAGATAAAGAAAATAAGAAAACTGAACCCTCAGAGGAAAATGGTACTGAATGCAGCTCTAAAATAAATTTTGAACAACCTGACCCAAAGGAAATAGTGGACAAGAAAATTGACGATGGTGTTGGCACGGACTTGAAATCTATGTTACAAAAACTAGACGAAACCATGGACCAGTTAACTTCTGACAAACCTGCTCAAGTAACAGGTAAAGAATTTATAAAAACTTTTTGCTCAATATAAAATTTAAGTTAAGATATTTAAAAAATATATAAATACGGTAACTAGACATTATCAGAATGCCTATTTTGCATGATTCACTGTAAATTAAGGAATATTACCTTATCAGACATAATAATTCTGATTGTTGTTTAAAACGGTTTAGTAAAATGCTGAATGAGAAGACACGACACTTTGTCATGGCCAAGGAAATTAAGTTTAGGCCTACCGATCTTTGTGATCTATCCGTCAAAAGCCACCCTTTGAATTAGGCCTATTTCCCATCTCTCGCTCGTGCTGACAAAAACCTGGAAAAATGTAGCACCAGACATAATCTCCCCTTATTGAGTAGCCACAAGGGGTTGTTATCAGTTTGATATTTAGTTGGAATTCTAAGAGCATTTTTCATCTGTGGTTTGTGCTCGCCCCCCTGCCTCAGTTTCACCATCGACAAAAAGAATTAAATATAGACTTGTCAGCCGTGCTGAGGTTACCATAGGTTTTGGCGCACACCGCTGGGAGCGCCGTGTAGCTACGTAGCACTAAAGCCGTACTACATGGCGTTCCCAGCGCTGTGCGCCAGAACCTATGGTAATCGCAGCACAGCTGATGGTCTATATGGAATTCTTTTTGTCTATGGTTTCATATAACTTGCTTGCTGAAATAATGTGAATTACCTAGTATGAAAGTCTTTGTTTTTCAATCTCTAATTGTTTGGTATACATATATTAGGCAAGTGATAGAAATCAGGCATACAGTAAGCAACACACAACACACATTGTCGTTATCAAGCCAGTTTTGTGATTATTAATCCTCCTGTCAAGATCTTAGGTAGCTTAACACGGCTAAATGTTCAGTATCAATTGAGCACTAAGCAGATATGAAAGTTAACTACATTAACAAAGCAATTATTGTAAAGCTGCTGTTGTCTCTGGACTTTCTGTTAGTACGTTCAACACAACCCTCTTTAGCTTGAATCCTTAATTCTCTTAATCACATAGTTTCGGCCATCTTTGAACGTTTAAACCATTCACTCAAAAAACTTATTAATTTTTTGCGGTATCATTCCTTTCTACCAGAAAACAAAAAATGCTTCAAAATTTATGGAACAGGTCTAGGAGAATAATTTTGTACGCCATCTATATTTGGCTGCCGTACATAAGTTAATTGAAAAACAATTTTGGGGAGGAAATGGCGGTGTTTAAATACAGTAGGCCTAGTGAGAGTGACCTGACACCTTTGTTCTCTTTCTGCCACTTGTCTAGTTGCCAGCACCTGTAATTCTTTGATATTGGCTTACTAACTTACACTATTGTTGTTGTATTTAATTCATAAGTAGGCTATAGAATTATTGGTTTTTCCACAGTATTGTTTTGCTTTACTATATTACACTGTAATATAGCCTAATAGTGGGGTCGTATAGCTGCATATAGTGGCAGAATATTTCAGTTCTGGCGGAGAGGCTGCAATTTTAGGTTGTTGGTATACAAGTTTTTTGAACATAAAACCGCCCAGACCCCAATTTTTAAGGACCTCGGTCGTCCGTAATGGCGGCCGTAAGAGGATGCTGGGTCCCCATGAATTGGCTATAACGACCGAATGCCTGAACCGATTTTTATGAAATTTGGCACACAAGTACTTTAATACATTATCTCGGACCAGGTTGTCAATGGTCGAGTTTGATAAAGTCGTTTCAAAATGGCGGCCGTTATAAGCCAAAATAAAAAATAATCTTTCAGTGTTTTGTGTTCTCAACTCCCTCCAGAGATCTGCAGCAACCTATTCACTTTCCTTGCAATAAAAGGTTGCATTACCGTCTCTGAATTTCATGGAATAGGCAAAATACCCCCACCACAGCCAACCTGCAGATTAAGTGAGTTACAATTTTCCTGATTTGATTTTCATTAAAATCAATTTCAATAACATTAGGTTTCATGAGTACCTAGGTTTGCTGTTACAAGGAGATTAATAAAGTGAGTTCTTATAAATATATTAACAGCTTAGTTTATTAAATCAAATCAGGAAAATGGTAACTCACTTAATCTGCAGGTTGGCTGTGGTGGGGGTATTTTGCCTATTCCATGAAATGCAGAGACGGTAATGCAACCTTTTATTGCAAAATAATAATAATTATAATAATTATAATAATAATATAATAATAATAATAATAATAATAATTTTATTGCAAGGAAAGTGAATAGGTTGCTGCAGATCTCTGGAGGGAGTTGAGAACACAAAACACTGAATGTTTTTTTTTTTTAATTTTAGGTTTTAACGGCCGCCATTTTGAAATGACTTAATGAATCTTGACCATTTTCAACCCAGGCCGAGATAATATATTCAAGCACTTGTGTACCAAATTTTATGAAAATTGGTTCAGGCATTCAGTTGTTATAGCCAATTCATGGGGACCCAGCATCCTTTTACGGCCACCATTTTGATGACATCATTACGGACGACCGAGGTCCTTAAAAATTGGGGTCTGGGCGGTTTTAGGTTCAGAAACTTGTATACTATAACCACCTAAAATTGCAGCCTCTCCGCCAGACCTGAAATATTTTCCTGCTACCCAACCTGACTATAAATAAATAATTTTACTAAGAAAACTGAATCATAAATGTACAGTACTTTTTAAACGTGAAAATATCCTCATGTGTTTTATGAATAAAAATCGCAATTCTCTTATATTCTTCCCATTTAAATGCATCCAAGTAAAAACCAGCATAATAATTTTAAAATAATTTCCAGCTACAACAAATAGAAGTACAACATCAAACAAGAGCGTTGGCAGCTCTCAAAGAAATTCTAGTCTCGAAAGGAAGAAAACACAAAATGACGTAAAAAAAGATGATGTTCTACACAGTGCTAGATCAAACAAATATAACAGTAAAGACGTTAAAGCTTACATGCAAGCCAAACGAGTAGAAAGGAAAATACAGATGTCTGAAGAAACAAGAAGGAAGCAAAACATGTTAGAAATGCAAAAGAAAAACTTGGAAAAACTCAGAGAAAAAGCACTCCAAGTCTTGAAAAAAAGTTCTGCAAAATCAACGGATGAGGTGAGAGACTTGAAGATCAATTTACCGCACCCCGAATTTACTTAAATCTCAGTATTAAAAAAAATTGTTCTTATCAATAATAAAAATAAATTGCTGAGTAATTATTTTAATTTTTTTAACAGTGAATTTAAAATGAGTCTAAACTTTCCATCTATGAAGCTTTTGAAAGATGGCTTGATTTAATTTTGAATTTATGTTTTCTACAGTAAAAAGTGACAAAGTTTTAATTTAATTTTCTACAGAGTATTGCGAGATTTCTTTTGTTAATCTTTCACAGAAAACATATAAAAATTGATTTAGAACTCTCTGATGATTAAATAAATCCATATGTTAGGCAAGCGGTTTAAATTGCAATTGTTAATACAATTCAACCAAGATTAAGGTATATGAAATAAGGTATACCTCCTAGTCCAAGGTATTGTCACCAGGGTACTGAATGCTCAAACTTAGTGAGTTTCAAAGACATCTAAAAAAAATCAAGAAGACAACATTTAGGGGAATTAAATTACAGGTATATAAGTAGGCACCATAGTTATTTTTGGGACGTCGACTACTTTTTAATCAAAAGTTTTATGTGGGCTTTTTATGAAAAACCAAATGTTACGTTTCCTGATGGATTTTAGAAACAAATGTCCTAGGCTATTTTACAATCCGTGATTAGGATATAATAGCCGTGTACAGAAAAAAATAATGGCTATAGTAAACCTTTGTAAATACATTTTGATGCCACAGAAACATTTATTTCTGTACTAGCAGAGTACCCGTCCTTCGTACGGGAATGGCATTTAAGTATAAAATGCTTAGTACAGTTATACTCAAGCTTAGCGTTTGCAATGAGGGAGGACAAAGTATGATAAAATTTGCTTCTTTAAATTTACGGTATACTATAGTATTACACATCTACCATAGCCATAATGTTCTACCACTTCACCCAAACAATAGAAAAAAATTAATTATTAAAGATTCACAAAATATCACAAATTATTTGTGAAATTAAAAACATAAACATAACTGTAAAACAGACAGTTCTCATTGTGTATCACAGTTTTTTGTTGCTGCTTAGTTCAAATTAGCTGTTTTCATAAATGAAAAAAATAATAGTGCTGCATCCTGTTGGTAAATCTTATAACTTTTAATGCCTTTGCATATCATAGAACCAACCTTTTTAGTTGAAACAGCTGACTAAATTCTTTAATTCCATTTAAATATGAGTACTCTAGAGCCACTGAGGCGGAGCCTGAAAGGATTTTTGAGATAAAATTATGCCTATATGTTAATCGGGAATGTGAGCTATCATCATGCCAATCCAATCCATCCAGTAATTAATGCGTGATTGAACTTCAAACACACAAACAAACAAACAAACAAACACACAAACTTTCACATTTATAATATTAGTAGGATGATTGATTTTTACTAAAAATGAATAGCCGTATACTTTTTTACTACTATTAACTTAAAACTAAAAGTAAAAAAACATGCTTGAAACCTCAAGTTTTTATATTAGAGAAATAGAATTGTTCATAAATTTTAAAATGTATTAACCAAATGCAATTTACCTTCAAAATATTAGACATGAAGTAAAGAAGTTATTAGGCCTATGTATAAAAAACTTTTTTTAACAATGTTCAAAGTCATTGTCCATCAGTCAAACTAGTTGCCCTCAAGCTTGCTTCAATTTTTATTTAAAATAAATTGAGTGTACTCTGCTAAGAATATTTTTAACTAGACAGTTACTATTAAAATGTTGTCCTGACATGCATTCCAAAGGGGTTCAAAGTTCAAGGGAGTTGCTAGATATTGTTTTGTTCCTCCTACCTTATGAGCAAGTAGCCTATATAAGGTGTTTTATACAAGTTAAATATTTAGATTATTTGGTAGTAGAAATATGTTGTTACATTATTCAATTTTTATTTATTTTTTATAAAGTAAAGTGTGTGTTGTGAAAATAACTCTTCTAAACCAAAGTTTTCTCTTTCTGTAAGTGTTAAAGTTATTAATATAATTTTTGCTAGTAGTTGATATGTTTATAGTTCCGATAAGTACACTGATTTATGTACAACAATTCAAAAAATCCAAAATAAGACGCCAGCCTTATAGACAGCCTTAAAATGTTCATTTTCAGGGTCAAGATTATTTTTATTTTTAGGTTATGTGTATTAAAATTATAATTATAATATGATTGCTGCTATCGCAGTATAGTTCAGCTATGTTATGATTTGATGAGTAAAAACTTTAACTCATGAGGGAATTTAAATGTAATTTTTTTTATTAACTTCCCAGTTAGGGAATAACCTATTCGTAGATCTCATGGTAGGCCTGGGACCAATTACATTTTCTCTTTAATGTCCCCGTAGGCCAAAAACACCATCTGCTCAGATTCATGTGTCTGATGGCACGTTAACTAGAGTAGAAATCATCTGATTTTAATGCAATTCGGTACAAACTTGTTTAAACGTAAACCTACATTTATTTGAAGGAGATCGTGAACTAGCATGATCAAACTATGGGAACGAGGTTTTATGGCTTAAAGTTGGGTTTTCCCATTTTGACAATGAATAACTTCTTGATCAGCATCGTACGTGTTATTAAATTACCTCAAAAAATAAACAAATTATACGTCTAATAACACTAGTAATAATATATTTACACTTATACTATTGAATCACAAGACGGTAAATAGATATGAAAGATGGTAAGTGGTGATCGATTTCGATTGGACACTCCAATCATCATCAGACCCAATAGGTGAAATGTGGGACCCATTTTGCCTATTGGGTCTGATGATGATTGGAGTGTCCAATCGAAATCGATCACCACTTGCCATCTTTCATATGTATTTACCGTCTTGTGATTCAATAGTATAAGTGTAAATATATTATTACTAGTGTTATTAGATGTATAATTTGTTTATTTTTCAGGCCATTTTGACAACAAAACATAAAATGTCACAAAATTTTACCTATTTTGTAGAGCTTGGAAAACAAATAATTTAGTGTAGGCCTATTGAAGTGTAGTTGTATGCCTAATGGTTATGGAGAAAATTCCATAAATTGTAAATTTTAAATTCCCATGATATTTTTATAGAGATTTAATAAGCTTAAAAACTGTTGTAGTTTGCTTCTTTAGGGATATATTTTGATCAAATTTGTCTATTTCATACTAAGCCATTTAAATAAAAACCACACTTTATGCCTTCCCTGTAGCACCAAAACCTTAAAACTCATTAAAATTTATGTTTTAAATGGGAAATAAATCTAACAATGCTAAGGGAATATGTTAGTAAAAATCCAACCAGGTACAGTAGTAGCAGCTAGTCTGGGCGCGCGGCCACGCTTGGGCGGGGGGTGTAGAGGGGAGTGTTTATTGCTCATTTCCAAAAACATCTGGCCCCCACGGCTCTCTGGGGTTGTTCAGCGAGGCTATGGGGGTGAGCGAGCCGTTACTCTCAGCACGGCTAGTACACAAGGGTCCGCGCGCCCAGACTAGCTGCGACTACTGTAAATGGATATTTGCTTAGTCTGCAGGTTTACTGCAACGGGCATATTTTAATCTAGGCCTTTATGTTGAATACAGTTAAAAAGGCAAAGTCAGAAAATGAGTAGGCTTACTCATTTATTAACATAGGTCACCACCATGAGTGAAGTCAGTAGCTTTCTTTACATGTCGAATCCCTACTGGCCCTTAATTTTAGCCATTGATTGTTAAGATTTTAATAAATAATTCTGTTCAATCCTGTTGATCTTAGCCACTAATTTGACTATCATAATGTTAAATAAACGCTCTTTTTTACAAAAACAATTCTTTCGTATATTAAATATTCATTCACGTGTCTGCTAGAATTTATTTTGGTGTATGTAACCAAAATAAACAAATATTTGCAAACAAATTGAGGTCATTTGAATTATTACATTGTTTAAGCCTTGGACATGAATTAAACTAAATGTATTTGTTCACATTTATGATTAAGAAATTAAATTATCTCTTGGTTCAAAAGAGTTTTCAAAATACAGCAATTCTTAGTTCCAAAAATTCTACATTCCTATTAACAAAGATTATATTCTTGGAAAAAACCGATTAAATCAAATTATTTATTTTATGACAAAATTGATGTGTAAAACATTTTTACTGGCTAGCCTATCAATGTGTGTTTTTTTATACCTCTAAATTAAATGACCAAGACAACATTTCTTGTGCTAGAGATTTTGGTGGCACTTTTCCCTGTTTTCCCCCAGTATAATTACAGGCTAGTAACAGATTTGTTTAAACTAATTAACTAGGCCTACCTTAGTATTTTTGACAATATCTAATCCAAATTATTTTAGGTTATAAATGATTAAATACCCCTGCCGCAGCAAACCTGCGGACTAAGCGAATTTCAACTTGTCTGATTACATTTTTACTAAAATATTTCCATAAATAAGACATATTTATTCCCAATTTAAATAACATTAGATTTAACGAGTGCTTAGGTTTGCTGCTACGGGGAAGGTAAAACGTGTTTTTTTTTTACCATGGGTCAATAGTATAGAATGAAAAAAATTAATTTGCCAAATTTTATCAACGTATATCCATAAACAAGTAAACTACAACAAATTTCATTTTCTCCTTAAAAATAACATGGGAATTTTAAATTACACTTTTTTAAATTTTCTCTGTGACTGTTAGGGATACAACAGTGCTTTAACCCTCCGAGTGTCACGTGTTTTGGCCTTAATGTCAGCCTATTTTTTGCTCATTTGCAAGGTTTTATTAAAACTGATCTGAGAAGCTTAAAAACAATGTTAATTATACTGTTCTATATACCATTTTGTTTGGAAAATCTTGGGCTTCAATATTATATATAAAACATAAGGAAGATTTAAAAAAAAAAAAATTTTTTAGGTAAAAAAATTTATAATTTCGAAAATTTTCAAAAAAAAATAAGTTTGCGCTCAATGAAATTGTATAAATTATAGGCCTATAAATATTTGAAAATAGCCACTTTGTTCTAAATTTTATGAGGATTACAAATCTATAATAATATAAGGAAGTAGATTTGCAAATAAAAAAGTTATGGGCAAAAAACAGATTTCAGTACATAGCGTTTAGCTAAGAATGCATAGCCCAACCATAGCTAGGAATCTGGCTGATAATTTACATCAATATTACTACCTACTTCTTCAGGATCATCAACCAGCACTTCAAAACCACTTAAATCTTCTTATAATGCACCACGTATATCACTACTTTTGATTTTTAACACTAAAACAATGATAAACGTAATAAAACACATCAGTCATCGGTCCGAGGGTAACCTAGCTTTTTACAAATACACGCACGTCAGCTCAGTCAGCTGTCTGCTACAATATTTTCGGAACTAAAATGAATAGTGCTTAGAGACAGACCTCTGCAGAAAGCTTAGAATATTACGGACAGAACGATACCTAACTCAATCCAGTACAGTCCGATTCAGTTAGTCATAGAGCCTTCGCCGTAAACAGTGTTCGCGAGTCGCTGCAGCGACGCACGACACTATACAAAGTGCGTTACGCGTCGCTGCAGCGACGCATGACACTCGGAGGGTTAATATACTAAATTATTAATTTTTTTTTTTAAGTTTTACAAAATGGTTTAGAAAGAAATTGCAAAATCTTTTGTTTTTAGGGTCAAAAATGAGAAATACCCATTTTTACCCCATATTTTTACATGTTGAGTAAACAATCTTAAACAATTTTTTTTTAATATTCATCAATAAATATCAACTGGAAAAGTCGAACACAATAGTAAGACACAGCCATCTATCTAGACGTACGCCCTATAAGCTGTTGACTGTTACGAGGACTGTCCAGTTACCGGGTGTCAAGTTAGTGAGGTTGACCCCTCTACTCTTTCTTTGTTATATTAGAGGTTTTCCTGGGACTATTCCTGGGAGTGACGGATCCATGTGTCTGTATGCTGATGATTCTAATATCCTGCTAAATAGAAATTCTAATTCTAAAATTGAAACATCTTCTTCAAAAAATCTTCAAGTAACTCATGAATTTTTAAAAGAAAAAAATCTTCTTATAAATGCAAATAAATTTAACTTCATATCTTTTTCAACCAAACAATCAACAAAAAAATTTGAGGCAAAAATTTGTATAAACAATGACAGCATTGAGCAAGTTGAACAGACGAAATTTCTTGGATTAATTATCGACAAAAATCTTACTTGGGACAAACACGTTAAACATTTGTAAAAAAATTGACTTCTGGTGTATGTGCTTTGAGACAGATGTCTCAGATCTGCAGCATAGACACTTTGAGGATAATATACTTTTCATTACTGCATAGTCACATATCTTATGGAATATCTATATATGGAGCAACATCAAAGGCCAATTTGGATTCTATCCTTATCAAACAAAAGAGGGCTATTCGTCTAATGATGAAACTGCAAAAAAAGGATTCAGCTAAGAGATACTTTAAGGAATTACAAATCCTAACAGTATAGTCTGTATATTTATGAAACATCCGTCTATGCAAAACAAATTCAATTGTCATCCACTTCTAGCAATACTGGTGACTATAACACTAGGTTTAAAATTAACTTACCACAACATAGATTGGAATTTTTCAAAAAGAAAACTTAGTATTCTGGTCTAAATTTTTCGCAACACCTGCCGGCTCATATAAAGAAAGAAGACAATTTGAATAAATTTAAAAGAACACTAAAAGACTTTTTAATCAAATTTCCATTTTATTCCATAGAAGAACTTCTAAAAAATAAAAATTAGTAGTAACATAACTTGAACTCCATAGCAAAATTAGGGGAAAAATTTAAATTTTCACCATGATTAGTAATACAGTACATTTATTTTTATTTTTTATTTTTATTCAAGCCCAAAAAATGGATGTACGTTTTTTATTTTATTAACAGCTCATGTCATTGTGATTGAATCAACGTTAACTTATATTTTTAGCGAATTTCCCTATAGGGAAGTAGCTATTACCTTAGGTCTCATGGTAAGACCTAAGCCCGGGACCGATTTACTTTTTCATTTTGATGTCCCCAGAGGCCAAAAACACCATTCGTTCAAATTTTTATATATCTATATATATATATATATATATATATATATGTGTGTGTCCATCCGCACGATAACTTGAGTAATTTTTGTCCGATTTTGATAAAATTTGGTTTGAAGGTGTAAGGCAGGATAAACTTGAATGAGTTCGCGAACCAGCATGATCGGACTATGGGAACGGGGGTTTATGGGGGGTTTTATGGGGTAAAAATAGGTTTTTCCCATTTTTGACCCTAAAAACACAAAATTTCACAATTTCTTTTTAAACCATTTTGTAGAGCTTAAAAAAACAAATAATTTAGTATATTGAAGCATTATTATGCGCCTAATTGTTACGGAGAAAATTCAAAAAAATTTTAATTTTAAAATTCCCATGTTATTCTTATGGAGAATAAGTCAATTTCAATTTCAATTTTTCAATTTTCAATTTCTTTATTCATTGAGAAGTATACATAATACAGCATTTGAATAGTGTCAAAGATTACAATTATTAAAATATAAAATACAGATTAAAAATAAATCTTAAATTAAAAAATACATCTCCCCATACAGATGCCTTCTTCTAGTATTCTTCAACTGTTGTAGTTTGCTTGTTTATGAACATATTTTGATAAAAGTTGGAAAATACATTAATTTCTTACTAAACCACAGTAACTTTTAATATTCTACATAAAAAAAAAACTTTTTACCCTCCCTGTTGCAGCAAACCTAAGTACTCATTAAACTAATTCTGTTTAAATAGGGAATAAATGTGATATTTTTAAGGAGACATTTTAGTTTAAATCCAATCAGGCAAATGGAAATTCGCTAAGTCTGCAGGTTTGCTGCGGCGGGGGTATTGTTTAAATATTCAGTTAGAAATGCTTCACTTTTTAAAGATTATTATTAATTAATTTTTTCCCCTACAGTAAATCTTAGTAATATACTTTAAGCACATTGTAATATGTAGTTATATGTGTTTATAGCCTATTTGACTCTATTCAATACATGTTATTTTAAATGTATAGTGAATAAAGAATGATTTGATTTGATTTGAGGTGATACTGTACTACATGGGTTTTAGACAAATAGTAACTAGGCCTATTACTTTTTAGAGGCATTATACAAAACCTTTTCATTGTACTGACTCTCACCCTTTTTTATAAATTTAGACTAAACCAAAATGGCAAGGACCACTAGAAGAAGAAGACAGTGAAGTGCTACCTCCAGCGATTCATATTTTTGAAAATAAAATTCCTACAGCCAGAAAACCCAAAACTAACCTGAAAGTTGACGAGGCGAATGTTGAAAAAGAATCTTCGGGTGAAAAACCTTTGGTAGAACATGAAAAATACTACAACAAATCTGAAGAGCTTGAAAAAATTTTGAATGAGGACAACGAGATAGAAAGGATGGATTCTAAAAAACCTAATCTTGGGTTAGACAATGCTCGGAGAAAACTACGGCTGTCAAAAAGTAAACCGTGTATAGAAAATCATCCGATGAATATCGGAATGGAAGCAGCTGCAATGGAAATTGTTCCTCTACTTCAGCTTGAAATGGAAAACGCCAGGAGGAGTTTAGAGAGTAATATACAATCTCCTAAGCTGTCAAGAGATGGGAATTATTACAATGTAGCTCTTGAAACAAATGAAACTGCCAATGGACCCCATAGTAAGTATTTAGCTTATATATGCTCCGTTCACAAAATTTAGCCAGTTTTAAAATAATAGCTCAACAGCTGTTTGCCAAAACATCGACAAACAACAATATAATATAAACAAACATTTATTCAACCCGTCATTCAGGTGATACATACATTAAGCAAAAATGTGATGGGGAAATTTCCTTTAAATCGCCTTAATTTTGTAAACGTACTATAGTAATAGTTTTAAACTAGTATTAAATATTAGGATTTTAATATTTCTCCTCCCCATTGTAATCATACATAATAGTTATACAGTTTATGAATTTTCGACTCTATGGATGGTTTTAGTCAAGAAAACAGCTGTTGCCACTTTGCTTGGTCAAATGTGATATCATTGTGCTTGCACAATACTGTATGGTAATGAATTTCGCCATACACCTGCTGACTATAATTATTTGAAGGGATTTTTCAAAAGAAATATAGTTCAGCTAGCTTTTCGGGAAAATTAGAGTCCATAGAAGCTGATAGATACGCAATAATAGAAAACAAAACATAACACTGGTAATTTGTATTCGGACCTGATCTGACAGGTCTGTTGAAAGTAGACTTTGCCAGGTCGAGCAAATTTATCATCACAATTGAACTGTTTTTAAGTATTAACAACATTTTCAGGCAGTAGAAGAACAACATTCACATGCACCCCAAGAGAATCAGTAGAGGCTGATCTTCCTCACTTAGAAGAGTCCTTCTTGTATGAGGCACCCACCAAACTCTCTGCACATTCAGATACGTCTAATACAAGTAGTCATCGAAAACGTCATCATTTCTCACCTGCAAAAACCAACAATACATTGTCAAAGAAGTTATGTGGAAATACCCAAGAAGAAGTTTTGAATAATAAAGTTTCGGTAAGGGAGGAAATATTTGATCCTAAGTTACATTATGTAAAAGTCTGCTGCCGATTTATAGTATTTATATACATTGCAGTAACCAGTAACTAACAACTTGTCCTGGAGGTGGGGCTGTAGAGGGTGTTCTAGGAAACTTGTAGGCACTGACATTGAAGGACCGATATAGATCTCCTATGCTGCAATGCATAATTTACCCCACATCGATCATTATTAGTAACACATAATTACACTGTATATTTATTTTCAGAACTCGTTTGAAGACCAGTTGAGAAGAATCCAAGAAGTTTTACAAAAGCAAAAAGAAAACAATGAACCTGAAAAACTGCTGTCGCAGATAAAACCGGATGGCTTCAGTATAATGAATGTCATGAAGATGAAACTTCTCACCAACGAAAACAAGTACCTTCCCAAAACAAACCCCAAGGAGAAGATTATAACGACGAAAAACTCATTTGACGATGATACTGATGCACCTTCAATAATATCAATGGAAGAAGATTTTAGACCTCACATAGAGCCTTTGAGATTGTCCGACTTACAGCTGAAGTTGGACCGAAGTGATCAGACTTCTTTAACGTCCCAGTTATCGGCTGCGACCTCCAAAACATCTGGGAGGAATGCTGTTGAAAGTCTCAAATCATCGTCTTACACATATGATGCTCCACCGTTGTTAGTGCCAGAGTCTGTACAGAATCTGAAATTGTCTTCTAGCCGGAGTTATAACGAACTTTCCAATCCTAGTCAAAAAATATCCAGCCATTCTAGTACCATAAACACCAAAATATCAAGCCATGCGACTTCTTCAAATTTATTTCCTGGGGAACAAGAGATCTCAAACTCTTTGTCGTCTGTTAGTAAATCTAGTCAAGGTCATCCAAGGGTAAAAACATTTCAAGAAAGTATACATTCCGACGTACTTCCTACAAATCCAGCAAAAGATGTGCAAGCTGTTCAAAGGGTATGTCTAGTTGTATTTTTCACCATCTTAACAACTAACTGACTTTGGGTATAGAAGTAGGCATCCCATCTACAATCTACATAGACCAGCTGTAGCCATTTCTTTATAATAGAACATCACGACTAGTAAAAAACAAAGTGTTCACAACATTTCGGGATCTGGAATTTAATCTCATTCTCCGGTAAGAAAGTACCTGTAACAATATTGGTAAACAAACCCAGCTAAAACTGGAAAATCACATACAATAATTGTTGTTATGTGTTTTTATTTGTATTTGTTTCAGGTATGTTTGGGTTTTTTGCATGTTCTGACTACTATACAGTTTTCTATTTGGTTATTCTATGTGATTTTCCAGCTTTCAGGATTTGTCTGCAAATCTTATTATTTTTTAGGTACTTTCTCCTTCTCCCCTGAGGGCAGGTTTAGATTCCAGATTTTGAAACCTCGTGGAAACTCGCTTTTTACTAACTGTGATGGAAAATGCCCCCAATAGTAGTTTATGTTATACAATAATCTTCAAACATTATAAACATAAATGAACTTCAAACAAAGAATAGAGCATGGTTGAATGATCCTTTCATAGTGTGCAGCTAATGAATATTTGAACTATTTTCTCTTCTAGTGTGTAAGTTGATGAACAATCTTCTTCATAAGCAGGTACTTAATCTTCTTTCTTCCAATTTAAAGCAGGTACTTTAAGGCAGCAAACTATGTCAGTTGTTAAATCAAACTATCTTATTCTTAGTCTAAATCTGGCTGTAACTTTGTGGTATGTCTACTTCACTAAAGTGTGTCCTAAAGTAAAAAATTATACTGATTAATTGTGACCATATTTGTCAAATGTTTAGTGTTTTAACAATAGGTGTTGATAAGGTTGTGTAGTCTGCTAACTTTAGTTGTTGTTAGTTGTTGTGTTGATTAACTCTTTCAAGTAAGACTAACAGTTTTTTAAAGTTTAATAGTTACATTATTTGTTAAACGACAACATTTTTGTAGTAGGTTCCAACCTCATTTGAATTCTAGTATTATTATTAAATGTATTTTTGATGTATAAATAACCTTCTCTGGTTTGGTGGATATCAAAAAAAACCTGGTGTGGTCGGTAACAGAAGAGTACCTCCCCATAAAATATAATACTGACTTATCAAACCAACTTTTAAAGGAAGACCGGTTGTCTCTACGAGTATGTACTGTAATATGCTTACTTCGTCAAAGCTTTAACACGTTCGCTACTGAGCGTCGCATATATGCGACGCCGCGGTCATTGCCACAGACCGAGGTATACATTTGAATCTTACACATAGACCGGCTGTCACTTGGATAACAGTACACACAGACCACGGGCAAAAACCTGTAAAACAGTGATCATTTACAGTGTAATACGCTACAATCGTGTTTGTGAATAAATTATTCTTGTTCCTTTGTATTTTTTATAACCTTTTGTAATGTCGCATATTTGCGACGTCCGGTCTACAGCGAAGACAATAGTGAAAGTTATCACAGTTTTCTTAAAATAGACTAAACGTCGCATGTATGCGACACTTCATTTTTTTGTGTTTTAAGGTAAAAGTAAGTAAAAAATAAACAGATTATTCAAGAACAGTTTATAACTGAACAAATATAAAAGCTACATAGGATAATGCAACATACATACTGCATACATACGTACAGTGTTGCAGAAAAGTAAATACCAGTTTTTCCAACTATTATATGACGTCAAAAATCGTCATATCCACAGACCAAGCGACGCAGTTGTGCGTCAGACATCTCTGTAGACCACTGCAGGGAATTCAGTGCCTTCAAATAAACCACTACAAAGATATAAGCATTTTAATAACATTAGAACCCCGACGCAAATATGCGTCGGCAGTCTATTTTAATCTGACTAGACGTCGCATATATGCGACAGCAGTCTATGAGTGGAAACCGGCCGTCGCATATGTGCGTCGCTGGTCCATGTGAATGGAAAATTTCGTACTATTGCAGTAGCGAACGTGTTAAAAAATTATTCAAGCGATCTTACACCAAATATTTATACTCTATGTGCACCTTGTAAAAATGTTGGTTTTAGTCCAATCCGGCAGCGCTGTTTTTGCAATTCCACGCTGAGCTGAGCAGATTGGATGCCTTTGATCAGAGTCTAGCGCAAGTGATAGCTGCCGAGAGACTTCACAGCTTGTCTGCCCATGTACATGTGTGTAACAGGCCTACTCGTACCATGTCTGACGTAGGCTACGGTCATGTAGCTACTGACCGACCTGAACGCACCAGTCGAAGCAGATCTTCTCATTATTCCTCGGTGTTTGAACAGCCTTCATCTGAACCCAAGGTAATTGTGAACGATTGACTTTTAATATTCTAGATTGATTGAATATTGTTGAGAGTTAAGTCTGCAGGGATAACACATTACTTCAGGCTAGTCCTAGTGGGTTGCGGCATTATCACATATATAAAATCCATTGGTGATAGGCGGGATTTGAACCCGGGAGCTCGGGCACCGAAGCCCCGCGCTCTACCACAAGACCAACTCATCGTGGATTTGATCACAACACATTTGGCGGTGTAAAATGGAAAGGCGAACTCTACCACCACAATTAATTAAGTTATGAAATTAACCTCAACATATCTCAACTTCTATTTTAAAACACTTGAAGATATGATTCTATTTTCAATTATTTCCTGTATTTCACACAGGCTAGTTTATGTTTTCCTGTGTGGATTTGATCGTAGCACAACTATTAGTCCAAAATTGAAAAGATTTATCCTTCTAACAGACCTTGTGGTTAAACTGATGCAAGAGACGGGTTAAATCCCAGAATATCCACATTAATTGTTGAATTTGGGCTGCTTTCATTAAAGAGTGTTAGGAATTATTCAATGACAATTCCACTGGCATAGACTCAAACAATAATAATAAACAAGTATGTATGACAGTAGCCTAAAACAATTTTCCCCAAGTACTTTTATCTGTCATTTGGCCAATGAGCTGATATTAGAACTGTCAGATGAGATGAAGACTTGGTTTTTTTTTTTATTTTATGTGTTTTCCACGCCAATTGCATTTTTACATTTTAAAAGGGAACAGTCCAAATCCTGGTATTATTACTATCTAATGTCAACCTTTATATAAGATATCATCATTAATTCATAGCCCAATAACAAATGGCATCTGGGTCTTGAAACGATCTTGCTTGGAATCGAAGGAATCAAACCAGTGACCTTTATTTTTTATTTTTTTTTATTTTTTTTTTTTAAGAAATCTTTATTGTTTTTTCCATACACAACACAAAATACATTTACACATGAAAAAAAGAAAAGAACAATAACCACCTTAGGTTAAAAACCTATGTTGGTGGATTTATACACTATCTTATGTTCTAAAAATCGAAGAGGCGGTTTTGTCCGGTCACCTATATCACTTGGTTATAATATATACAGTGAGAGTGAGTTCTACACAGTGATCTTCTTCAGCACAGAGTAAAAGTCAATACACTTACAAACAAAATGATACAACAGAGTAGGTATTTATATTACTTATTATCTATATTAGTCACTTCTATACTACTGTATATATACTAAATTCCATAAAAGTACATTTCAGCATTTTCCAAACATAATAAATAAGGCCACAGCTGCCTAGAAAAATCTGCTTCTGAGATGGTTTTGAGATTGGATGGTAGAGCATTAAACATTTTAGGTGCAAGGTATAAATAAAATTTCTTGAAAGCTGTTAAATTTGGTTTTGGAACTATTGCATTATACCTATTTCTTAATGTTATTCTCCTTTCAGACATAGTTTCAACCTCATCTCCACTTCTTTTATAAAATATTCGTAAAACTTTATACATATATAGATTTCTCAAAGGCAAAATTTCTAACTTTTTAAATAGTGGTGCTGCATGTTCTGTTCTACATTTGTTACTAATTATCCTTATAAAGGTTTTTTGCAAGACAATTAATGGCTTAATTGACGAAAAGTAAGCTCCTCCATAGATAGCTAAACCATACTCCAATTTAGAATTTATCATCGCATAATAAATATTTCTGAGTAGGCGTTGATTACACATATTTTTTAACATATAAAATATCCTGACGTATTGTATTAGTTTATTCTTAACATAATCTATATGGCGTTTCCAATTTATCTTTGAGTCTAAGTGTAATCCCAGATATTTAATTTCCTCTACCTGCTCAACAACAGGACAATCACAATTTGTAGATTGGCAGTTTGTTTGGTGGTATTTTATCGGAGAAATAAAACTTATGTTCCTTGATAGATTAAAAATTACATATTTAGTTTTTGGGCTCATTACCATGAAGTTTTATTTTTGAAGGCAAGCACTGTGACCACTCGGCTACTCAGACAATTGATTTATCGTTGATACCTGTTTTTCTGTTCTAGGCCTCTCCCATCAGTGATGTAGGAAGTGTTAAAACTGTAACCAGTCATCAAGACCCTCCGGGAGGCTCTAGATCAGTGTCCTCTGCTCACTCTGTAGTGGAACAGCTGTCACCTGTTTTGGGTAATCACAATAGATTTTGACCACCAATACTAAAATAAATACTTCATTCCTATGTTTATGTTGTGGCCAGTTTGGGAAGAGAAATTAACGATTTTCCAGAACTATCAACAGAGTGCACTAATGTAATGATTGATATATGTCAAATAGCTAACTTTTTAACCAAGCCTAACTGAAAGTACTTGGTGTAAGCTGTATTAAAGGAAAGCCAAGTGACTGATAAGGATTTTTCGTAGAAGAGGATTTAGTTCAGCTTGTTACCTGAAAATCGAGTCTTCTGTCTAATAGATACACAATAAAAATTCACAATACATAAACATGATGTTTAGTCCTAATATAGGACTTCCGCAGAGCTAGTAGACTAAAGAGAAGTCCTAGTACAGCAGGACAAAATAATACAGTGATAAGTCTAATAGGTATTTTAGCTAAAAGTTTTCAGGGGTGTTTATGTTTCCTTATGTTTCAGACAACACACACAGTGATGTAAAGGAAGTGCCTCAGAAGTTCAGTCCATTCCTCAATTCTTCGTCTTCTTCAATTCCTTTACCTTTCTCCCCAAAAAGTATACACATCCTCAAAGTGGTAAGCCCAAATAACATCTGAGGTTTTTTCAATTTAAATTTTCTCCAAATAGTTAGTGAATTACGACATATATCTCAGTTGCAAATTTATGATTATGAAATATGCATTTTTTAAACTTGGATTTTACATAGTGTATTTTTTCCTGTTTCTTGATCTGTCTATGTTTGTTTGTTTTTGTTTGTATGTAATTGTATTCATGATGGGTACATTAATCCTAAATGTGGTTATTCGTGTTGGTGTTGGTATAAAAATGGGTAAAACTAAATGGGTATCTAAATAAAATTAATTATGAAGAACAAGCGCTACTTTTTCATTTTTAATTCAAACCAAAAATACATTGTTATCTAGCGGATTTATACATTTATTTCTTACTTAAACTTGTATTTTTGTGCATCTTATTTAGATTAGTAGTAGTCTTGATGCACAGGTGGTATGTTTATCATTAATGTTTAATAGATAATTGGTTTTATTTTTGAAGAAAAATCAAAATGATCTTTCAATCTAGGATGTAAACCAATATTATAAGATTCTTGTACATGTGGGGTGAATTAAGTTTTATATCTAAAAGGATACCAAATTAAGAAACTCAAAAAGTAAATCATTAAGCTTTAAAAATTTTACTTCCATGTTGTAAATACAGAAGACGGTACACAGTTCAGAGTCCGACTAAAATTGATGTCATAAACCCAAAATCGGTCCTATTTAGGGTTTATGACAAAGAATTTGTGGAAAGTCAATATATTAAAAAACGAAGGATTATCAAATGTCCTTTTATACATTTTACAGGTAGACTTTCTCTGTATTTATTTGCAGTTGACACTTAAATTAAGCCTTTTAGCATGTCAAGTCACAATCTATTATAAACCTAGGCCTAATTAGAAATCAACCGATATGATAAAACTGGTGCTTTCTTAATTCTCATTTGTTGTTTATTTTTTCAGCTAATAGACGATGCAATGTTCCAAAGGAAACAGGTTGAGTTGATGTATAAAACTCAAGAGGATATACTGTTAGCACAATACAAAGCTGAACTATCCGAAATTGATATGCGATACAGGTTAGATCCACTATGAAACCTTAGTGCTACGGACATTTTTTAAATCCAGTACACTCCATAATTATCTACGAGTTGCTGAGTGATTGTGGGCCTCCTCACATTTAACTTGCATCGTATTTCTTTATTTAGATTTTTTAAATCATGGTTAATCAACTAGTGGATAATCGGGAGTCTACCGTAGTTATCTGTAGGTTAGTGTGCAATATAGGTAAACTCGTCTGGTATTTTTGTGTTGTTTACTACATGTGCAGCAAAGGTATTTTGCTTACAAATAACAGATGATTCAAATTTCTGTGTTGGTAAATTTTCTGATAATATTTTACTTGCACTCTAAGAAGAAAATAGTTTATGTTTGTGCGTTTTTTTTTACTCTCATCATTTTCATCCATTTTATTTCCACATTCATTTAGGGTCGTCAATTCGTTTTCACACAGCACATTTTTCGCACGGCTATTATGTCGTTATTACTTTGTATTTTCAGTTAGAAATCTGGAATGCGGCTTAGCACCCTGCTAATCACGAAGAATAGCCAGTGTGCTAAATTAATTATTTTCAAAATAACTCCACCCTTAAATGCTTTTAAAAGTTAAGTCTTTCATTACGTAATATATATAATTGTTGGTTGATTATCCCAGTTTGTTCTATTTATCCTCTCAGTAGAGGTTGATATTCTGAAATCAGTAATGGATGTGTATTTTCAGACGAGACGGTCAACTAACCAACATTGGAATTGAGACCAAAAAGATTGTTGAAGAAAAATATCAAACTCCTTTGATCAAGTTGAGACAGTAAGTGCAGAATATGTTTATTCGTCTAATGGAATATTATAGGCCCTACATTGTTTTTTATAGACAACTGACAACACATTTTTTACAAATTCTTCAGCAAATCTTTCTCAATTACTTATTTTCACCAATAACTTATGTCAAGCCTATATTAACTGAGCGAAGTTTGCAAAGCTCTTATAATACTCTTCTATACAAGCACACCTTTAAAAACAAAATAAAAGAAAAAACTGGTTAATACCATTAAGCATATTATTGAATACTGCAGTAATAAGATAAGATAGGGAGATAAGAACAGTGCTTTATTTTAAAACATATTATAGAAACTTAAAAATTGTATTTTTACGCACAAAAGGCAATGTATACAAGATAAGAAACATAAATGTTCAAACTATGGAACTATGGATTCAAACTTTGGATACCTAGTTACTTCTATAAATTTGTATCCAAACACAAAATTTATTGTTGTTCTAATTTTTTTCCCCAAAAACCAAATTCTTTTAAGACTCAGTGGTTTGGTCTTAGTTGTAAGAATTATAAGAGGCTGTAAAATTCGCTAACTATTTTTTTAACTTGTTTATCCTTTAAAATATTTCAGGACCAGAGATGAGGCTCTCTCTAACTCAGATGCTCGAATAGATTATCTAACAAAACAAATAAGCTGGTTGAAGAAACAAAAGAAAAGTAAAGGAAACCCTAGGTCAGCAGAAACATCCCCCAAGGTAAAATGAATAGCAGTACCTGAAACTGAATAAATTATACTTATAGCATTAGCATTACAAACTACACTAACAAATTTTACAATACTAGAATTGTACTAGAAAAAAAAATCAAATCAGTCACTGACAGTGAAATATTCTAATGTTTTGTGTATATAGTGTAAAGTTTTGTTTTTCCTGTGCCAGTTACGATTCTTTCTCATTCAGGTAAGCCTCTCAAAAAATCCAAAAAATTGTAGACATACGAATATTTTTACTCCAAAACTTCTATGAAACAAGGTAGAGATGAGGGAAAATATAACTTTCAGTTTTCATTTGATGAAATCATCACTTCAGAATCTACATAACAATAACAAATTTTATGACCTATGCTGGCAGTGTCCATTCCCCTTTTATGAAGCAAACAATTTAATTCATCTTCAACCAAGCAAATTGTTCAGTTATTTGAATATGCGTATGGAAAACCGTGTCGTATTTAGGGTACTTGCGGCCCTAGGCCAAATTAATCTCAGCAACTCCCGCCCCTTAGGTGAAACTTTCCCGCAATTTCGGCAAAATCGTGAACATCTCCCACGATCCAGGAGGCATCATCATCATCGTCATCCGCAATCATGGAGAAATTCTGAACACCTCGCCATCATGGAAACCTTATCCTCGTCGACTGTGATAGCGTCGAAATTATGAACATCCCGTGCGATCAAGGGAACATTATCATCATCACCAGTGATCACGACGTAATTGTTAAGATCAGCACAATCAAGAGGACATTATTGTTACTCCCAATCGTGGAGAAATGGTGAAAATTTCCCACGAAGATCTTGAATAGCATCATCGTGAGCAATTTATAAATTTGAATAAATACAATTTCAATTATCGTTTTAAAATACAGTAGAGTCCCGTTAGTCCGAAATGGTTGGGACCGGGCCTATTTCGGATTACCGAATATTTCGGATTAAACATTTTTATTTTTTTTTATTTTTTTTTATTTATTTTTTTTGAAATTTTTTTTATTTTTTGAAAATTTTTTTGTTTTATTCTTACTACTTTTTTTCGGACGCAGGCACGAGCCCGGGATTGTTTTTCACATTACTTAAGGCTAGCCCTATTGGCTGCAGCATTATTACTTAGTAAAATCCATTTGTGATTTGGCGGACAAAAATGTAAAATGTTACGGTTATAACAAAAATGGTGAAATATTAATCTACTAAAATACTCTACAAAAAAAGTCTATCTCGCCCAGCCGCTACAGAATTCTTTGACGAGGTACAGCTAACTGTGTCAAAAGTTAAATAAAAAAATTCAAAAACTTTCCGAAAAACTTCAAAAATTTCGAAAAGAATTTCAAAAAAATTCGAAAAAAATTTTGAAAATTTTCGAAAAAAATTCAAAAAATTTTCAAAAATATATTTTTTGGTTTCGGATTAAGCGGACTTTCGGATTACCAAAGTTCGGATTATCGGGACTCCACTGTACCCTTTTGTTCAATAACGCGTCCTAGTTGGCCTAGTAGTAAATCCGGCACTAATAGCCACATTAAATGTGTAATTTTTTTCTCCTACCATTAGTTATTAACAAAGACTGTATTGCAAATATTCTGTATAGAAAAACCTTTTGGTACAGTTTACTTGTGGTTGTTGCAGAAATTAACTCCTTTACGCAGCATCTCTCTTACTTCTGTTGTCGAGAACAGTTCTTCGTCAGAGTCATCGGTGGGACTTGCAACATTCGATGATAAAAAGAGGTTAGACTTGGTTTTACTAAATATAAACATTGAAATATGTCGTACAGTAGCTTAAAAAGGGTAGTGACTCCATTAAACTAAATCTTAACTCATTTATGTGTACGCCAAGTTTTGATTAAGTAAGTTGAAAAATTTAAGAACTATGTATTATTTTAAAAATATACTGTATTAAAAAAGAATGTCCATTAATATTGGGTATTACGTATTACAATATTTGATAAGTATTTTATTATAAATTATCAATTTTGTGGATGAGCTGAAAACAATCTTACGGTACATATACTCCGATCATTCCTACAGGCTTTGATATCTTCTATTTAATGACTCTTATTTTACAAACTTCAAAAACTATTACCACCAGATAGAGCAATCTCAATCTCTGTGTAAACTAGTGCTTCTATTCTGGTATTTCAACCTAAAAAGCATTGGAGTAAAGCTTGTAAAATGTACACCTAAATAAGCAGAAAACATTACATTTACATTTACACAAGTGCACTTATATATATTTACCACAACAGACATTAAACCACAATAAAAAAGACTTCAGATTTTTCTTTATGATGAGTTATTTGCATTATACAAATTCAATTTTATCACTAAACTTTTTTATTCCTTTACATTTTGCAACCCAGCCATTCCGTCCAAAACTAAAAGAATGAATGATTGGTCTTATAGCTAAAACCTAAAACATTAATATGTTCATAGGCAAGAAACAGAAAGAAGTAAATCATCATCAGTCTCCAGTAGAAGGAAAATAGATAGGGAGATGTTATGGAGGCTTCAGGAAGAGTTAGCGAGGGTTAAAGAACTCCAGAAAGGGGAACGATCTCAGAAATCAAGTAAGCTGTCTGGTTATTCCTTAACTGATAAGTTTTTTTTTTTACAAATTTAATTTATTTTTTGTTTTAATTATGATACATCAACACTTGGGAAGCAAGCTGGTCTAGTGGTACAGTTTGGCCAAAGTTTCTGTGGGTGCGACCTGAGGAGCTGGCAGGGGTACTTTTGTGAAAACATTTGTGTCTTGATACTCAGTCGCTCTACCCCATGCACTGCCATTAACCGGTACCCGTATGTTTCATTTTGGCAAGTAGCAACCCGTATGTGCGCACAGAAGTTTTGGCCAAACTGCGCGAGACTTCAGTCCATGAGGTCCGGAGTTCAAATCCCACATAATCACCAATGGATTTTATTAAAGTGATAATGCCACAACCTGTTCTAGCCTGAAGTAACGTAAAAAACAATGGTGAGCTAGAGCCTAATGTCCTAGGACAAAAAAACCTGCGGTTAAATCTATATATATAAAATCCAATGTATGTTTGTTTGTCCTTTATGGACTCCGAAACCGCTCGACAGATTGTAATGAAACTTTCAGGCACTATAAGCATTATTTAAGGATGGTTTGTGTGAAGTTTGGTGCAGATCTGTCAAAAGGGCTCCGCCCCAGTGGCCATGGAGTTTCCCATGTTAACCTTATCAGTACTCATATTTAAATGGAATTAAAGAATATTAACAGCTGGTTCAACTAAGCAATTTGATTCTGTGATGTTTGATGTTCAATAGCATTAAAAAGCTAATAGGTTTACCAACAGGGTGCAGCACTATATATTTTTTTTTATTTATGACAACAGTTAATTTGCAACCTAAAGGTGAGTCAGCGTAGCGAACGAATTACAACCCGGAGGCGAGTTAGCGTAGCGAACGAGCTAACCTGAAGGCAAGTGAGCGCAGCGAACGAGCTTCAACCTAAAGGTGAGTGAGCGTAGCTAACGAACTTCAACCAGGACGTGATTGAGCCATGCGAACGAAAATGATCATCAAACCAAATGATCATCAAACGAAAAAATCATCTTGAAAATGAACGAGCATTTGACATAAAACCACATTAGGACAGGACGACGTCTGTCGGGCCAGCTAGTTATATTATATATTTAATTAACTATATATTCGTTTGTTTATTTTTAGGTAGGTCAAGGAGAGACAAAAGCACTTCACCGCTGGAGAGTGTACAAGAAACAAGCACCAAAGACGTAGCGTGCTCTGTAAATGGAGACGCTGAAAACATAAGTCCCCAAGCTACATCTAGGTAGGTACTCTTTTTTACCTATTTTCATTTTAACTTGAAAGCAGTGAAAATAATTCATTGGAGGAAAAGTTTGTGAGTCCTAGTCCTGTAACTTTTATTGCATAATCAGAAATACATCAAAGAAGAAACATTGCTTCGATTAAGTTTTTATCTTCATTTGCTTAATTTGTGACACATTCTAAGTGGGCAGGGTTTGTATCCAGTGGAAAGTTTACTTTTACAGGTGAGTTGTTGCCATGCGTGTTAAGAATCTACAATGGTAAACTTGGTGCTGCTTTCTGTTTATACTTAAGGTTGAATTAGTTCTCAAACAAATATCTAATACTTTACATAATATTAGACAAATTCTTACAGCAGTGTGAGAACAGTCGAGGAAGCACGCAGTACAGATGTATACAACAGCGAAAGTTTTGAGTCACCAGAGTCGTCTGAAACTCCTCGCCAGCCTAAGATGATTGCAAAGATTCCTCTGTCCAGCAAGCCTTTTGTGACGGTAAGCTGATTTTAGATTTTACATAAACTTTTTTCCATACAATTTACAGAATTGGAATTGATGTACAAATGTAGTACCTCTAACCCCAATGGATACAGAAGCTATGTTCAACAATAATAACAATAGTGAAAGACCAAATAAATGTTCTCATCTCACACCAAATAATTGAATGTGTTTCAGGCCCGACCGAACAACAAGAATAAAGTGCTAATCAAAGTTCCGTTGTCTCCTCGGGTGCAAGTGCGAGCCAGACGTAGGGGCTCCAGTGGGTCGGACGAGTCGTTGCTACTCTCACAGAATGGTAATTTCTTCAAATTTAGAATGTTAGTTTGACTAAGGAATACCTCAAATTTTATCAGGAAATTTTAAAGAGACAAAGTTCAGCTTGCTGAGAAATTGGGAGTCCCTCAAGATACACTATAAAAGTGTCAATCTATCAGTTATATTTCGTCCCAATATGGTACTTTTTACGTTCCTAATATGTAGGAAATTGTATCAAGCTCACTAATTGTAAAAAATAGGTTCAACATTTGGCTACAAGAAAATCCTATTTATTCAATACCGTATCTTCTCACGGAAAAAACGTAGTGTTCTAGTGTAAAATTTATCTGGTCTATTGTTATAGATTATCTACTATCACTGATACATGTCAATAGCATATAAATAAAACATTCTTCTTTCAGTGAAAATTTGATATGCCCCAATTAAGTGAAGGGCCCTAAAACATTAAAACATCGTGGTGGTTCAGTTATTATTTTCTCGTGGTATATGTGTGTGATACAATATTCTCAACAATTAGATTGATTTGGTTAATTTGACAGAGACTCAGTCGGAGCAGAGCGACTACGAGGTTAGAATCTCAGCGTTGAAGGAGCAGAAGAGACAAAGGTTTGCCGAGCTCAACAGATTAGAGAGGGAACTCAAGAGAGCACAGAGGGAGCAGCTCAAGGCTACCGAGGCAGCACTTGTCAAACAAATACAGGTATAGAACTAACAGTACAACCTCGATTACCTAATAGGACTTGTCAAGTTTGACTTCTTATCGAGGTTTGCAATAACATGTACCAAAGGGTAATATTAAAATCAAAGAATACCAGTACAAAAAATTATTTGTTTCAAAGGCAACTTGTTATCAAGGATCGCATGCTTATCAACTACCCCACAAGTATTCATAAATCGATGAAATTCAAATAAGGTCATGTGGCTTTAGTGCTAGCTGACTCATAACAATTTTTAAGTAGTCTATTAGTTAAGGATGTAACATATAGCTCAAGCTCCTAGGTTTTAAGATATTTGCTAGGTAGCAGGCTTACAAAAATGAAAAAGAGTCCGCTCCATCACATGAAACATAAAACACTTTATGCATACACTATACTCAAATGGTAGAATATTTCACTGTCAGAGCATTTTCAATCTAGGAAGGTTTGAGTTGGGAAGAGAGCTCTTTTTTTAAACTCAAACATCTCTTTGTACCTCAACAAACATCTCAACTAAACATCTTCTGTATTGTTCAATTAGTTGTCTTCTTGTGCTGTAGTGGACTCTTTCCATTCAGAAAAACTTGCTATCCTTGCAAAACACTTTGATATTTGGTCTATGTTAAGTTCAACATATTTTGAGTAATTTTCAAAATTTGTTTACAGGAAACCTTAATGATTGACACATGATCATGTAGAAACGATATAAATGCAGACATGTAGAAAATACAAGTTCTAAAGCTTCCCTTGATTATTGGGCTTTATAAATGGTCAAAGAAGCAGCTGATGTTGTTGAGTAACAAAGCTACACTGATAATCTTACTCTACTCACATTCATGTTCAGCTTACATATTTTAAATCCTACTCCTACTCTCTTGGACCAGAGATTTTTGAGACTTATTCAACTTTTAACACTTAGTCTCATGGGAAAAATATTTTTAACAAATTGTTTGTTGCAGGCATATGAGTTGAAGATAACACAGACAAAGAAGCAACTAGACGAAGTTACTGCGACTAACATTGTTCGACCACAGATAAAACATCCTAGAGTATCTGATAAGTTCTTTCCTCGCACTTCCGATGTTTTCCAAAAATCCCAAATTATCGAGGAGCTTCCAAAACAGCAAGAACAGAACGTATCAGACTTGGATACAAATAGTTTAAAATCAATATCCGAGGCCTCTAGCACCGAGACAGCCATTCAGAGTTCAGGAGTAGTTCCAGTAACAGAGCCATCCAGCAAATCTTCAGTAGAGGCTGATAATGAGACTAAAGAAGTTTTGTCTGTAGAAAGCGAAGTGAGAGAAGCACTGTCTAGTGTTGCTTCTGAAACTGACGTACCAACGGTTCTTGACACTCAAAAATCATTTGTGTCTGAAACTCAAGAATTAAATGAATTTGGAGTTAAACCAGTAGTTTTAGAATCCACAAATAAGGATAATCCTATCAACTGGATGGATGCTGAAGACTATTTCAATCAGATGGATTCTTCAGGAAATGTACCATCTGACGAATCAAAACATGCAAGAATAAGTTCTGAAAAGTCAGCAAGTTCCATTTCTCCTGAAACAAACATATCAGAAGAACTGTCTAATGAACCCTTAGACAAATCAAAGTCAAATACATCTAGTCAAGAGTTTCATGATGCGGAGGAAATTCTGGGTACTCCAAAAACAGAATCTATTGTTAATAGTTCATCGAAACAAAGTGATACTGATAACAGTGAAAAAGTTTCTGAAGAACCATCTCAAGCAGAGTCTCCTGTTAAGGAAGAAACAATTAATTTTGACGAAGGAAGAGTAACCAGCGTTGTTTCAGAATCCCCTTCAAATAAATCTCAACATTCGGTTCCAGAAAGCATAAATACTGATCATCAATCAACTAGTCATCATTCAAACTTTTCAAAGGCAGAATCTGATGTCTCACAATACGATGACGATGATGTAAATATTTCCAATATCGTAAGTGAGAAATCTGACATAACAGAAACATCTCATTCGCTGCTGGCATCTGTAGGAACAGCTTCACAATGTCAATCTGCTGACGAAGAAAACGTACAATCTGATGAAGAGGCAACCTCTAATACTTCACAGTCGGAAGTGATAAAAGTGTTTGTGTCAAACAAAACTCAAGAATCCAAAGAGCAAACAGACAGTGATAATAATAATGTCAACTTAAATGAAACATTCGTTGTTTCTGAATCAGAAACTAAACCTGATAAAGATGACTCAGTTGTTGACAACATTACTGACAAAATACTACAAAATCTATTGAATGAATGCTTGGTTTGCAGAAAAGATGACGAGTCAATAGAAGTTGAACGTAATATTCTGGAATCTGATGAGTCGAGTGAGAGAACTTCTGATGTGCAGTTAAAAACTCAAGTATTAGTGAACAACTTCACCCAGACAGTGTTAAATAAATTTGTTCAAGATGCTACAGACTGTATGCTAAAAATAAAAGATGCCAAAAAGGCAGCGGAAGTAAAGAGAAAGGATAATGAATTAGTAAACGGCGAGGTATCATCAAACAAATTGCTTGAAGCTCTGGCACTCGAAAGAAAAGTCAGTCCTAGTGAAAAAGGTAAATATATAACGATCTTTTATAAATTTATCTTTTTGAAAAAAAAGTTTATATATTCAATGTACCTTGAGAAATTTTCCAAGCATTGCACAAACAGTTTCAGTCGGCAGTATACTGATGGTTTACTTTTTAATGCTTTCCTTTTATTAAAACAGCATTGTAATTAGGCACCCTGTTGACTCATATCATAGACAAATAGAATAAATATAGACTGTCAAAGGAAGGTTCTGCGATGTGCCGCTAGGAGTGCTGTGTATGGTGCACACCACTGCAGGCAGGCACGTCGTAGGCTCTTTGCCATATTCTACCAGTAGACGCTGCAGCGGTGTGCGCTGTAATTACACAGCACTCCTAGCGGTGTGCACCGCAACATATGCTAACCGCAGCACTGCTGACGGTCTATATTTATTCTATTTGTCTATGCTCATATACACAGAATGGGCTAAAAAAAAAAAATTAAAAGGATATAACCTAAACATCGTTATTTTAACTAAAAAACTAGATTTGACATGAAAGTTTATGAAATAATTGAATAGGTACGGTTGTCTTTTTAAAATTAAGTTTCAAATCATATTATTTTAGGTGATTTTTTCTGTGGTACTTTTGATTTGCACTTTTTCAGCCACTTTTCGTACTGAAAATAATAAATTCCCACCTTTTCCCCACTGTGTTGTCAGCTATTTTAAAATTTCAAATCTAGTCAACTTCAAAACTGTTTTTATGATAAACAGGTTGTTTTTTTTTAAAAACTTGCATCTTTATTTATGTAAAAACCGCTATAGATAGAAATATGCAGTTTGCAGGAATCATCTATTGACGTAGGGGGCCCAATTGTTTTGAATTCAATGTAATCCCCCTGCCCCCAACTTAATTTTTTTAAATAGCAAGGTACCCCTTGTGACATATGAAATAAAAGAACATGAAAAAAGAAAATGTTTGGTGAAAAAAATTGAAAATCGGCTCATGAATTTGTGTGATAATCCCCCCCTTTCCCCCTACCCAATACTTTTTTTTAAATAGCAAGGTACCCCTTGTGACATATCAAATGAAAGAGCATGAAAAAAGAAAATGTTTGGTGAAATTCATTTTTCATTTAATATGTCACAAGGGGTACCTTGCTATTATAAAAAAAGTTATCGGTGGTGGGAAAGGGGGGGGGGAATTATCTCATGAATTCATGAGCCGATTTTCAATTTTTTTTCACCAAACATTTTCTTTTTTCATGCTCTTTCATTTGATGTCACAAGGGGTACCTTGCTATTTAAAAAAAAAGTTCCTGGGAGGGGGGGGGATATCTCACAAATTTATGAGCCAAATTTAAAATGTTTTTCACTAAACATTTTATTTTTTCATGCTCTTTCATTTGATATATCACAAGTGGTACCTTGCTATTTAAAAAAAAAATAAGTTGGGGGCATGGGGGAAATGTGAATGTAACGTTGAATTCAAAACAATTGGGCCCCCTACGTCAATAGATGATTCCCGCAAACTGCATATTTCTATCTATTGCGGTTTTTACATAAATAAAGATGCAAGTTTTTAAAAAATTACCCTGTATGTATGATTTTGAAACATTTAATTTTTAATCCTCCCAGGCATTTTATAATTGACAACTGTAACCAAATCAAGAATATAAGAATCTCCTAGGTTTTTTTTATAAAACATTGTGCAAAGAAGCATGGGCAACAGTTGTCATAAAATGATAAAGAAAGTTAAGTTTTAGCTGTTAGCCTATTTCAAAATCTTTTAATTAGCACAGTTTTATTTCCACAGCTTTTGGCCATATGGTTTGAACCTAAATGTGTTAATTATCCACATCTTTATCATTCCGACACACTGTACATATGGCCGGTGTTTCATGTATGCAATTCAGTTGTATGCTGATTAACGTGTCATTTCAAGTTTTTGTTACTTCTTGTTTATTTGTTGTTTGGTGTTTCCAGTTCGTGAAGAAACCACGGCTCCATCAAAGCCCACTCAGGGCTCTAATAACGAGGTAAGATGCATGAAAACTTTTTAGATTACAAGTATTGCTTTAGAACTAATAGTTATATTGTAAAAAAAATCAAAACTATAGGTGAATTTTGGAAAAAAAAAATATACATAATCTTGCTTTTAAATCTGTTTTTTAGGTACACATTAGGCCTATACTGTATAAGTTATAGAACTACTCATACTTAAAAGTTGTTTATGTTAGGGAGTTTCATATTTTATAATAATAAGGTTAAATACCTGTTGTACTTGTCAGTGATCCTGGAATTTAGGTCAGCGACCCAGGTTAGTACATACAAATAGGAATAAAACATCATTTATATTTTATGCTTTACATTTTAACTATCTATTTTATATGGACATTAATCCACGTTTCTCAAGAATTTTTTTGCATTTATCTACCAAAAATATTGCTTAGAATAAAGCAAAGTATAGAGGTTTAATGCGATTAAATCATGAGTAAATAAAACTAATTCTTTTCATCCACATATGAAGTGTCAGATTCAAACTTTTTAAATTTTTAGCTCTAAAACTTAATAGTTTTAAGCCACACAATATTTTTATAATAAATTGTACGAAATTAAATATAAAAAATGTTGTAAAATAAAACATTTTTTGTAAAATCAGAATAAGTAGATCTCATTTTTCAAAGTAGGGCTCATTTAAAAAATTATGATTAAAATGATATATTAATAATATTAAATTAAGAGTTCCCATATAAAATTATAATATGTGGATCCTTAATTTGCAAGTCATTAGAATTTATTAAGGATTTTCACACTTGAAATCTAAATTAAATTAAGCTTTCAAATAAGCCTTACAGCTTGAAAAACGCCGAGTGTATCTTAAATAAAAGTTAATCTAAATAACTATACAGCCCATCTAAATACTATACAGCCGCATATGTAACTCACGGGGGATACAAATTCTAGACCACTTCTAGATGAGCTAGAGACTTGAAATTTTCGGTGTTTTGTAGGTCTAGTTCCCAAACCCCCGGGAAAATTCCAAAAAGTGACATTTTTAAATTTTAACCCCCCCGAAATTAAGGGTTTCCCCCCCATGTTATTCTTATGGGGAATAACATTAAAAATGGCCGACTTTCGTGTGCCCATCTGAACGGTTTAGAAACGTGCTAGAGACTTCAAATTTGCGTAGTATTGTACTATGGGATCTTAAATTAACGGTGAGTTTCGCAAAAGTCCCATTTTCCAATTTTAACCCCCCCAAAAATCCAAAATGGCGGACCTCTGAAAACGACAAAACACGTTTTTTTCAAAGGGATATAGCTCGAAAACGGTAAGAGATAGAAAAGATTTGAAAGTATATCCAGGAACAGGAATTAAATTTTACACAAAATCCTCTTTGGCGTTTTCCAAAAATCGCACTCCTTCAGCTTCAAAAAACGCCTTACTTTCAAAATTTGGTAAATTTTTATTACATTTTTACCGGTTTTCGCCATGTTTTCATACTTAAATAATTTTGTTTTTCAAAAACTATTATTGCTTTGTATTCTCCTTACTTTACTTTAAATTTTACTCATTACATGTTTTTTCGTAACTTTACTCCTTGACCCCCAAAACTTAATTTTAATCTCAAAATTTGAAGGTTTTTCGCCACTTTTACGTGCCCCGTGTTATTCTTATGGAGAATAAGATTGAAATATAATGACTTTGGTATGGTCATATGAATCGTTTAGAAATGTGCTAGAGACTTGTAATTTGGTAGTATTGTAGTAAGGGATCATAAGCTAATGGTGAAATTTTCAAAAGTCCCATTTTCAAATTTTAACCCCCCCAAAAATCCAAAATGGCGGACCTCTGAAATCGATAAAACGCGTTTTTTTCAAACGGATTTAGCTCGAAAACAGTAAGAGCTAGAAAAGATTTGAAAGTATATCCAGGAACAGAAATTAAATTTTCTACAAAACCCTCGTAGATGTTTTCCGAAAATCGCACTCTTTCGGGTTCAAAAAACTCCCTACTTTCAAAATCTGGTAAATTTCTTTCAACTTTTTACCGGTTTTCGCTTTTTTCTCATACTTTAATCATTCCTTTTTGCAAATATTATTATTGCTTTGTATTCTCCTTACTTAAGTTTAAATTTTACACGGTACGTGTTTTTTCGTAACTTTACTCCTTAACCCCCAAAACTTAGGTTTAATGTCAACATTTGAAAGTTTTTACGAGCCCCATGTTATTCTTAAGGAGAAAACATTTACCCCTTAAAAACCACCATAAGTCCCCGTTCCCATGGTCCGTTCATGCCATAGATTTACTCTGGTTTACTTAAGGTTTTATCCCCCTATCATATTTACAACCCCCCCCAAATATCAAATCCCCCCAATGTTATTCTTACAGGTGCATAAGTCTAAATCACGTTTACACATTTCTAGATTAACTGGATATCTGAAATTTTGAATGATTGTAGATCTTGCGCCCTTTCCGAAAAGTGACATTTTACAAATATAACTCCCTACCCCACGAAATATAGAATCCCCCCCCCCCCCCAATGTTATTCCTACAGTCCTACAGGTCCATCGGTCTAAATCAATTTTACCCACTTCTAAAATAGCTAAGAATCTGATATTTGGCTCAATTGCAGGTCTTGCGCCATGGCCCATTTCTATTTACCCCCTACCAAAAAAGGGGGCCTGGGGGCGGAGCCCCCAGCGAGCCAAAGGCGAGTTTCTAATATACAAAACAACTTATTCATTAAATAAGCCAACTAATTCATAAACAATATATAATTCATAAATTTATATCAACTGTTTCTGTTTTTATTAAGAAGCTTCATTTCAGAACCTCTAGAAATATATTTAATATTGTATATTTATCAGTTTACATACTTCGGCAAAAAGAAACAAACCTTTAAAATGCTTTGTACGTTTATGTAACATTTCAAAGAGCTATGAAAAATGTATATTTTTTATATAACCCACAAATATTTTGCATAATAAATATACAATTAACTATTGAATAGCTATAGCCCAAAAGTCCCCTAAAATCCCCCCGGTGCTTTCCCCCCCACCCCCCCTCAAAGTCAGGAATTGCAAGGTTTTACTAAATCACGCTTAAGTCCAGTATGGTTTATCCGATTGTAATCATTTATAGCTCGTTATATTCCTAAATAAATTGTCTAAAATAAGTTCCTTCACACTTTTGCGTTAAATCCAATACTTTCTTCAAAATTTAATGATAAACTCTAAAAATAAGCAAATCTTTAAGCCGATATTTCAGTTTTTCTGTCGTAGTTTTTTAAATAGTAGAAAAAATGAAAAACGCCTTCTCTAAAGGTTGTAGAGAATGTCTTTCTGAACATTTTCATATAAATAAGTATAGGATTGTGATATAAATATGGGCAGGGGAACGGTAAAACGAGACGAGAGTCTGGGCCTCGACGACGCAGCAGTTGTCGTGCCGCGCGCCGCCTTATAACCGCGAGTGAAGCTATCCACCCTGGGTAAGGTACAGTACAGAATGAGTTTGTTATGCAAAATCAATTATCTATTATTGAGGTTTGAACTAATACTGTCAGAGACTACATAGTAGACTTTAGTGTTATGTTATAGTGTAGTGTTTAGTGTTTTTTTTATTTTTTATTTATCGTTATTATGAACAGCCTAATGCGGCTATGAGTAAAAAAACTAAAACACTAGTTCAGCTTTTGAAGTATGATAAGATATTTAAAAGAAGTATTGATTATATTGAACTATTATGTACATCGTGAGTTTTCCATAATCGATTAGTTGCCTCTTTTAAGGTCATCGAAAATTATAACAGCTATTCTTTCTTAAAATTAACGCCTGTAATACTTCGCAATTGCTTGAATTCGAGCAACAGGTACAGACGTTACTTATAAATTCAAACATAAATTTAACTGTAAACAATCCTACCTTGACAGTTACATTGCTTATCACAGCCTTTTGTTTTTGCACCTTGGTTCAAAGTAGCTGGTGTCATAAATGCAAAATATTAATAGTGCTGGACCCTGTTTGTAAACCTTATAACTTTGTAATGATATTGAATATCATAGAACCAACTTGTGCAGTTGAAACAGCTGAAACAACTCTTTAATTCCTTTTAACTACGAATACTCATAAGCTTAACATGCCAAACACCAGAACCACTGGGGTGGAGCCCGAAAGGTTTTTTTTGAGATAAGAATAATTATGTCTATATGTTAATCGGGAATGTCAGCTATTATAATGCCAACTTTCAGCCCAATCCGACCAGTAATTAAAAATGATTGAACTTCAAACAAACAAAAACACAAACTTTCACATTTGTAATATTAGTTTGAAGTAACAATCAACATTCAAAATACATCAATATACATTGTAAAGTTAAGTTTTGCAAGAGACGGTCTTTGCGACTAATTCTTTGGGTTTTGGCTCTCCTACCAAGTAGTATGGGGGTTGAAAGGATGATATACGGTTCAATGAGCAGAGTGACCGCTCCGCGCGACCGGTCTCTACCCTTGGGGGGCCATAAAACTAACACTCGTCAAAAATCTGACCACTCCGCGCAACCGGTAGGTGCCCCTCAAAAGGACTTAACACTATTGTACAGAGTAGCTTAAAGCGAAAAGATGGTGTTCACGAAAAAATTGAAGGTAAACAGACCATTAAAGTTCATAAAAAGTGTAGGCATGATTACACTAGACCTTCAAGCATTGCCGCGGCGGTTTTGTCATTGGGGGTGTCAGAACTATGTATCCCTTCAACATCAACACGGCGAAACGTGGGGGAAGTATTTGACTTCACAACTAAATGTTTTATCTGTGGAGATTCGGCGTTAGTCACTTCCAAAACTCCTCTGGACCGAAGGAAAGAAATTCAAGTTGTGGCAACACTAGAAATAAGGGAGAATTTCCTTCAGAAATGTGACGAATGGAGTGATGATTGGGGAGAAAGAGTAAGAGCTCGTCTGTTGAACGTGAGTGACCTTGTTGCACCTGAGGCTCGGTATCACAAAAAGTGCTTCACATCGTTTTCTTTTTCTGGAGAGGGCTCTATTGGAAGGCCAGCTACTGCCGAAGATCATTTTGCCAAGCTGTGTGACTACATGGAAGAAAGTGACGAATGTCAGTTCACTATTAAGGAGCTTCAAGACTTACTGAGCAGAATCACGGGAGTAACGGATATGTATTCAGACAGATGGCTAAAAGAACGTCTTGTAAAATATTTCGAAGATCGTATCTTAGTGTCTAGCGTGTCAGGCAAAAAAAATTTAATCTGCTTGTCTGACACAGTTAATAAAATTATAGATAGCTGGTACAGATATCGAGAGATTGACAAGCAGGCTGAAAAATTGAGGATTGTGACAAAAGCAGCTGATATAATAAAGGAAGATGTTCAAAAGATGACTTATGACACTCAGTCTTATCCAGGCGTCGATGAAATCAAAAGTGGAGATGAAAGTTTGATTCCCGAGTCATTGGCACTCTTCACAAGTAGGCTTACGAAGAAAAGAACGTCATCAGAACAAAGTAGTATGAAAAGGAAACGTATCGTTATTAATCATGCGATCATTTCAGCTGTCAGGCCACGATCTTTTCTGTCCTCAGTCCAATTGGGGCTCAGTCTAACACTTCATAGGTTATTTGGATCCAAGCATTTAATAAACATGCTTAACTCAATGGGAATTTGTGCGTCCTATAATGAAACGTCTATTTACTTAAACTAATTAATCACTGCGGGATCGCCTGTTATAAAGGAAGAAGCCTTTATACAACACGTTTTTGATAACGACGATGTTAATGTGAGAACACTAGATGGCCTGAATACATTCCACGCTATGAGAGGTATTCAATGTATCACACCAAAGAAATAATACAAGTTTAGGTTTAAAGCCAACCAATCAATGTTATCTCTGACAGTATTAGTTCAAACCTCAATAATAGATAATTGATTTTGCATAACAAACTCATTCTGTACTGTACCTTACCCAGGGTGGATAACTTCACTCGCGGTTATAAGGCGGCGCGCGGCACGACAACTGCTGCGTCGTCGAGGCCCAGACTCTCGTCTCGTTTTACCGTTCCCCTGCCCATATTTATATCACAATCCTATACTTATTTATATGAAAATGTTCAGAAAGACATTCTCTACAATCTTTAGAGAAGGTGTTTTTCATTTTTTCTACTATTTAAAAAACTATGGCAGAAAAACTGAAATATCGGCTTAAAGATTTGCTAATTTTTAGAGTTTATCATTAAATTTTGAAGAAAGTATTGGATTTAACGCAAAAGTGTAAAGGAACTTATTTTAGACAATTTATTTAGGAATATAACGAGCTATAAATGATTACAATCGGATAAACCATACTGGACTTAAGCGTGATTTAGTAAAACCTTGCAATTCCTGACTTTGAGGGGGGGTGGGGGGGAAAGCACCGGGGGGATTTTAGGGGACTTTTGGGAAAATGTACATCTCTATGTGTACTATCCAGTGGTATATAGTTTTGCTTGTCATTAATTTGTTCCGACATAAAACCTTTATTGACTGGGCTACTAGTAAATGGCAATTTTAACAAACACTGTAACGTAAATCCAGTAAATATGAACATTTCTCTTCATTGTTACCCAGTACAGAAGCCATGTAGACAAAAAACATTTTTTGTATTATACAATTTTCAAAATAAAACGCTTGAATCCAGAGTTATTAGAAAACCAATGTAAATCAATGTGTTGGCGTAAAAAATTATGAACCTTCCATTTTTGGACTACTGCCAAGTTTGACAAAGCAACAGAGATCTATAAATGTTGAACTAAGCCTTCTGGATCTATTAATGTAGACTAGGCTTTAAATAAACTGCTTAAAATGAAATGTTATTTTACCAAGGTGATTTTTTTTTTTAATATTCCATACAATGATAATTACTTTATCTTGATTTTATTTTCACTCCATGCAAAAATGGTTTTGTTAAAGATTATGTATAATCTAATTAAATAGCAACATAAATTTATTTTTACTCATCAATTAATTGATTTCTTTTAATTTCTGCTAAGTTAATACATTATTCAGCATCATTAACCACAAACTACTATTTTATCGGATATTTTTTATGTAAATCTCAATAAGCGCCGGAGCAGCGTGTGCGTGCGGACACTGTAAATAGCCGGCCGTATCCGCTGTGTGTTGTGATATTAAGACAGTGACGGTGTGACGGCGCCGCGCCGTGGCTCTGGCACATGTTTCCGCACTATTATTAAACAATCTGACTTTTGTGATTGCCGTATCAGCAAGATCATGTTCATACTAATGACTAAGCAGGTCTTGTCTATTGTTTACTGTTTACTGTTTACTGTTGCTTAGGTTCAAATATTGTTTGCCCTCCACTTTGTCATCAGTCTGTGGATGTGTCTAGCCTAGTTGCTTTGTATGTTTGATATTGATTTGAATGTGTAAAATTGAATTCTCTGATTTGTTTGAAACTGTAAGCCTCTGACTTTTGATTTTGTTTTGAAATTTTGTCTGATTTAGTTTGTTAGTTTCAGTGCTTAAATTTTGTTAATTGAGGAAATTACTTTTGTTTAACTAGTAACTTATTAAATTTATATAACTCATATTATCTAATGTAATGTGAATGTGTGTAAAATCAAATTGTTGTTTGCTATAATTTTAATTTCTCAATGCACATATTTTTTTAAATTATAATTTTACTCTACTCAACTTTATTGAATACAATTTTGTTTTGATTGTATTTAAAATTGGTTCCTTTTTGAAATTTTACATAATGAATGTATAATAAATATATTGCAGTAATGGATTAGTTAAAAATACTTAAGTAGGTACCTAATTTTGTCAATGATAATGAATTCAAACACTCTTTTAATTCTAATGATGATTTACAAATTCAAAATATTTTTATTTTACGGTTGGCGTTGTCTTCTCATACTCATTTAAAAATTTGACTTTTAGCCAAAAGTCTGATCTAAACAATAAAAAATGAGAATCTGAACTTAAAACTTCTCAATCAGTTTAAATGAATATTTGATGAAAGAATCCTTTTTTAACGACTATAGCAACTGAGATTTACGAATTAGATATTGACTTTGTGAAGTTTTTAGGTTTGGTGTGTTATTTTTTTTTATAAGTAGATGCTAGCTTGTAAACAATAGTTTAAAACAGCTTATTTGTTTCTCGCCTACTGAAAATTTTAGTTTTAATGATTGCTGGTCACCCCTAAATTTGGAACTTGACCGAAATGCTTTTTATCATATGTGTAACTGACTTGAATTTAAGTGTTTGTCCCGTTGCTCTTCACAATATGGGGACAGTAAATGACCTTACTTTCAAACAGCTTGGCTCAAAATATTTTGTCAGCTCAATTCAACTATTTTCTTTTTCAGTCCAAACCTGGCTGCGACTTTTAACATGGGAATGGAAAGATCTTTACTCTTCATAGTCAAAACTAATACAGTCCAACCACTAATCAGTCAACTACGGGACTGGGACCACGGTTGGAATAGTGTAAAGATCGGATTAACTGAAGACCATTTAATATTAAATAGCCAAATTAATTACTTAACTGACTTTTATTATTGCGCTATCACGGAATACAATGATAATGTACCTGTGACCGTTAAATATTTTGTCAAGATCGCAGGAGATTTTTAATGTTATGCAACAACTTCAGGTGACAACTATGATGTTTCCTTTACCACAGGAGATATCCAGGCTAAAATACTAGATTTGGGCACAATCACAGATAACGACGATAGTTTCCATGATTGTTAGGGATGTTGATGATGTACACACCACTATGGGGGATGTTCAGAATTTTAACGCGATCTCCAAAGAATGTTCCGTGACCGTGGGAGACATTTAATATTTTGCCATGATCGCGGAAGATTACGATGTTTCTGTGACTGCAGGGTATAAAACAAGATTTTTGCCGCAATAGCGGGAGACGGTAATGAGCTCTAGACGACCATGGCAAATAGTCACGATATTACCGCAACAACATTGTCAATGATAGGCGATGGCACGGTCAGATTAAGTCAGAATTCGGGCTGGATGAGGTCAGGGTTTGTGGGATTCTACTGTAACAGTGTTTTCACTGAACATGTGTTATGTGCAGGTGGAGTTGACTGCAGGCAATGAGAGTGAAGTGTGGTTTGAGGAGGAGTTGCCAGCTGTTAGTCTGCAGACACAACGAGAGGCAGAGGAGTTGCGACTCAAGCAGTTGCAGATAGAGCAAGAGATTGAACAGGTGTGTTTTATCTTTTATTTACAAAACTGCATGTATTGGTTGAACAAGGGTTGCTAATGAAAATTATCTCATGGATGAAGTCAAGAGCATAGGGGTGGTGTCAGATTTAAACTGGATCAATGGAGACCTTTTATTTATGGAAACTGGACAGCCCTTGTATGACTATATATATAAAAACATGTATAAGCAACAAGTAAATAATTAATAATTCTTAACCAAAAAAATATTTTATTTGCATGTAATTCAATATACTTTACTATGTGTCATTCTAGTGTCGCAATTAATTAGCTAATTAGCTCCTTTAGCAATACTGCATAATTTACATAATTTGTACTCCCTAATGATCCCTTGAATTGCTTCATAAGGTGCTCAAAACTCTGAAGAAAATCAAATTTCTGTGTGGAAGATGCTGTAGACACGCTGTTAATGCAGTAACTGTGTAGGATACAAATCAAGTGTGTTTATTCTGTTTTAAGCGTATATTTGAACAATTATTAATGGATTTTCAGATCAAACAGTTGGAGGCTCAAGAAAGCATTCCCTACTACTATCTACGAGAAATACCTAACAAACCTCCCCCTCCGTACACACCTCCGGGCCAGTCTGTCGCCAGAGAGACACGACTTGTCCCTACGAGACGGGAGGACATAGAGAAACTGGTCTCCACGGCAACCAAGGAGCTAGTGACAGTGTGGCAGGCAGCGGACGACCTGTCAGCAGCTGAACCTACTGAGGAGTATCGCTCGTTAAAAATCGGAAACAAAATTTACAACAAGTTCTTGTTTGACTTGGTGAAACAAATTTTTGTGAAAATCACATCGACTGGTGTCGATGAAAAAGAACTCCCACCTTGGGAAAGAACTGGCTGTGAAATGAAACATTTTGTTTTGCCAAAGTTCACAGAGGAATCTATCAGTGATTTTGTGATGAAAAAGGTGCAAGTATTGTTTGGTTTCGAGCCAGACACGATTAAAGAGAGTGGCATCATCGAGTGGTCGAGGAAAAAACGGGACAGAGTGGATGAACTACTTGTGCGTGAATCTCAAGAGGAAGAACGGGATTGGACGGACTACTCAAAGTGTGCAGTGGCTGTAAAGAACAATGTAGCTTTAGGTATTTTGGATAGTCTCTTAGAGGAGACAGGACAGGTGTTGAGCGAAGCTTTACATAAGAAACTGACATATTGTCAGAAGTCAACGTGAGTTTGTTGCATGTAAAAGAAATTAGTTTTTTTCCAGTTGTATTTTTAAGTTTTGTTGTACGTGAATGAAAAGCAATTTCAACCTTTAAGTTGGACTTAATAAATAAAGAATAAAGTCATGTTAAGTTATGGCAATTTGATCATAAATTAGATACCCTAAACTAGAGTTGTTATTATAATCTAATTACTCAAATTATTAGGTAAAATTTTTGTGTACATTTTCTTTTGTTTTTCTCTGTATTTACACACTTGTAATTTTTCTTCAATTTTATAACTGTAAGATATTTATAATATTTAATTGTTATCATTAACAGAATGTTAATAGGACAATTATAGTCAAATTTTGTACAATTTTTATATTTTTAATAAAGAACATTCCGAAGTGTCGATATTATTATATACAACCTACGTAGGTAAAACTATATTTTTTATCAAATATGTACATATTTAGAACATTTTAATATTGAATTTATATAGTATAAAATAAAAATGTTTAAAAGCTCTTTGTTTTGTCAGTGTAGGGCCAGCCACCCAGCCCCAATTGGTAAAAAGTAGTAAAAACATATAACATTTTTGCCACACACAACCTGACCAGGATGTAGATCAGAGGTTGGCAAGTTTAACAGTTGAGCTATGTTTGTAAATATTATCAACTTGGCTGGCCGTTGTATTTATAGTTACTAAACAATAATCCACCTCCACATTTTAGAAGGAACGCCTATTTTATGATGATCTAATATAATTTATTAAAAAAGACTCAAGAACCTGCAATTACAACTAGGTTTTCAGTTGAAACTCATACTGCATACAAACTAAAACATCCTAAATGGGATTTGTGAAACTGCATTCCATTTTCTTCAACCAATTTTGGTTCAAATTTCATTTTGCCAACTTTCAGAATAGATTTTTCTGTCGGTCAGTAACACATATATTGTGATATCCGTGGATAAGTAAAGTTATGTTTGGTTTTCCTGCTTTAAATTAAGTTTTAAGTTAATAAATGTAGAATAAATAAAGAGTTAAAATTGTATCAACTTTCTTTCTTTAGTATTAGTTTATTTACAATCAATTATTTCCATGGAAACCAAAAATAAAAACCAGCTGTCTCAGCACACTCCCACATCATTAGTTAGTTGTTCTGGGCCCCTTTTTTTCTTTCCGGAATTCACGTCAGAGACTTCAATGGGATACAACAAGTTAATAGGTCTGGTGATGTATTTCCCAGATCCTAACTTTAATTTGGCACTTCTTACGTTTCCATCAGCACTGACGTTAAGGACTTCTATTTTCCCAAGTCGCCATGTCCCTCTGGGTAATGTGTCGTGAACATGAACTACATCACCAACTTGTGGATGTTGGGTTGACAGAATTCTTCCTTGTTTGATATTATGTTGAGTTCTCTCCCTTAAACTCAACAGATAGTCTTTCTTCCAAATCTTCCAAAAGCTATTTAAGTTGTTGGTTCCCTTTTTCCACATCTTTAATAAGTCCGATTCAGTCACTTTAGAAATAAACTCCATGTCGTTTTCTTGACATTCATTCAAACTATTTACAAAACCATTTTTTCCATGGAAGTTAAGGAAGTGGCCAGGAGTTATAATAAAGTCAGTCAAACTTTGATCTGAGGAAGATACATAAACTAGTGGTCTTGAGTTGACAACAGCTTCTATTTCAATCATCACAGTGTCGAGTTGTGATTTAGTCAGAGTAACTGAACCAATACTCTTTCTTAAACATCTCTTTATCAAAGATATCAACCTCTCGTACATTCCTCCCATCCAAGGTGCAAACTCTGGGATGTAAGTAAATTCGATGTGGTTTTCACTTACATAAGACAGTAATTCTGGTGTATCGAGATGTTCAACAAACATATCATTCAAGAACGAGGAAGCCTTCTTAAACTGAGTAGCGTTGTCCAAGTAAATCTTCTTCGGAGTACCTCTTCTTCCCACAAACCTCCTGAGAGATAGTAAGAATTCTTCTGACGACAAGTTATTGGTGATCTCTAAATGAACAGCTCTCGTGACTAAACAGGTGAATATGCAACCGTAAACTTTTGAAACTTCAACTCTAGAAGCTTGAAAGGATTTAATGTAGAGGGCCAAAGTAGTCAAGTCCTGTAAATTGGAAAGGTATACTTTCAGTCACCCGTTCTGTTGGAAGCGAGGGTATTTGGGGCAGCTTGTATGGTCCACCTTCGTATTTTAAACATTTCAAACATTTTCGCAAAACTCTGTTGACTTCAGCTCTGCCATGGATTATCCAAAAGGATTTCCGAAGTTCCGAGAGAGTTTGTTGCACTCCCATGTGAAAAATCTTACAGTGACACTCTTCTATGAGCAGTTGAGTAAATAAATCGTTCTTTGGTAGAAGTATAGGGAACTTGCAATATTCTTCAAGGTCTGCATTTGAGATCCTACCCTTACATCTGATAAGTCCATTCATATCAACGAATAGGCCAAGTTGATTCTGCAATCTATCATACCTACCATCTCTTATATTACTTAGTGTTTCACTAAAACAAGTGTTTTGAACATGTTTGATCCACGATAAACGAGCATCTTTGAGTTCTTCAGATGTAGGAATAACATGATTTGGTTGTTTATTCCGTCTGCATCCACTTATAAACCTTTTACAAAAAACTGTTGTCAAAATCAGTTTCGAAAGTAATGAAAACCTTTGTATATCTATGCCAAAAGGACTACTAGTTTCACTCACGTCTTCGGTCTTTGTAGTCAAGGTGACGACGTTTTCTTCAATAGTTTCAACCATATCGTCTTCAGTTAATGGCTTGTTAAAGTCAGAAGACCAATCCGGCCACAAGTCTTGACTACAAGACAGCCATTGTGGACCTGACCACCATTCATTGCAGTGTTTCAGATTATCCACCGTTTTACCTCGAGTCGCCATATCAGCTGGATTTTCGTCAGTAGGAACGTATCTAAATTGCGTCTCGGTGTTGGTTTTGATCTTCATTACTCTTCTCTCCACAAACTTAGGAAGCAGCTTTGTTGTGCTAATCCAACGTAACACGCATTGTGAATCAGTCCACAGTATCTTATTAACAACAGGAAATTTTAAGGATTCTTCCACAAAACGTAATGCTCTTGTTCCAATCAACACTCCTAAAAGTTCGAGTCTTGGAAGGGTAATTTTCGGCTTTGACTTTGAAGTTAAATGGCTTTTACAAAACATGAGAGTCACTTTGACAGTCTCCTTACTAATTAATTTGATATACACAGCACACGAATATACATCCTTTGATGCATCCGTAAAACAATGGAGCTCTACATGATCTGCTCGTAATCCTGCGAATCGAGGAATAGAAACTTCAGTTACTTTAATAATATCACATATAATATTCCATTCCCTACATTTAGGCTCATCTAGTAATTCGTCCCAATCCAAATTGTCTTCCCACAACTGTTTGAGAAAGATTTTAGCCTTCAGTGTTACAGGGGATAATAACCCTAAGGGATCAAAAACGGATGATATAGTACTTAAAACTTGTCTTTTTGAAATAGGTTTGTTTCTGTCATTGTTAACAGGTTTTATGTGAAGATTGTCAAGATTGGTGTTCCATCTTAATCCAAGAACATTAACATCAGTAGGATTCTCAGTTGTAGTTTTTTCCATTGGTATTTGTGTCATTAGTGTCTTTGAGTTTGAAGACCAACATCTAAGGTTCATGTTAATATCAGAGAACAAACTAGAAGCAGTTGTAAATAGTGTTGTGGCCTCTTGATCTGTGTCACATCCGGTAACCACATTATCAACATAAAATGAAGACTTCAACCTTTCATTAAGATTATCAAGTTCACAATTTGACAAATGATGAAAAACAGTAGCACTGAGTAAAAATGGACTGGATATGATTCCAAACGGAACCCTACAAAATCGATACTCCTCAATATTATCCTTAGTAGGTGCTGACAAAGGATCTTTGAGCCACAGAAATCTAGTTACATCTCTATCTGGAGTTTGAAGATTTATTTGAAGGAATGCCTTCTCAATATCAGCAATAATTCCAATAGCATTCATTCTAAAACGTAAAAGTAAACTACATAGGTTTTCCAAAATTACAGGTCCACGGTAAAGACAATCATTAAGACTATTGTTGCCTTTTCTGGTTTTGGCTGACGCGTCATACACTATCCTAAGTTTAGTTGAGGTTTTCAACTCAGTGATAATAGGGTGATGAGGTATATAGTGAAGGACTCCATCGTTTCTGTCTGAAAAACTCACTCGTTCGATTATACCGTCTTTCAATTGGGTTTGAATTACCGAGTCGTATTCACATAGAAGATTATGTTTGTCTGAAAGTCTATCTGTTAAAGATTTCAAACGACCGAGAGAAAGATTGTAGTTTGTGGGTAAATTTGGAGGATAATCTTTCCAAGGCCAGGAAACTGAATAACGACCATTCTCAAATTTAACAGTCTCATTAAATTTAATCAATGCGATGTCATCATCTTTCACGTGTGGGTCATCCTTAATACCAATAGTCTCTAATTGCCACAAGTTTTTGATGTCGTCACCTTCACAAATATTGATATCTGGCTTTAAAGTTTGTGGTGACCTAGGAAATAAGTTGTTGGGTTTTACTAGAGTAAGAAAAGATGACTCGTACATCAGAGGGAAATGATCATTGTTATCGTTATGCCTACCAGTTACGATCCAACCAAATTTGCTATTCACTAAGAATAAGCCTGGTGAAATTTCTATCTTCTGACCCTGAATGATATCAAAATAATAATCGTTCCCTATTAATAGATCAATATTTTGTGAAGTAAACTGGCCGTCTGCTAACTTTAATTTGGGATAGGAGGAAGCAATTGTATTTAAGTTGATATTGGTACTAGAAACTACCTTCCCAGTGATATGTGGAACAAAGTTTACTATAATATCCATACATGTGTCATCGTTCAGCAGTAATCGAACATCTGTTACTTGAGTCTCAACAGTTTTAGATTCACGGTTGCCGAACGTAAATAAAGACAATGATTGACAATATTTACTATTCAAACTCAGTTTAGAAGCCAAACCTTTGGACACATAAGACCTCTGACTACCACTATCAAAAAGAACACCACAACGCGTTTCTTGTTTAGTATCAGCATTACGCAAAGTAATAGTTGCAGTTTGAAGAATAACACTCTCCGACATAGAAATTAAAGCAGACTCTTCGGTATTTATAGGTACCTTGCTCGGGTTGAAGTTACTTGCAGGCAATGCTTTGGCATGATTAGTTGATCGGGTGTCTACTTTGATGGTGTTTCTAGAAATTTGGTCTGTAGGAAACTGTTTGGTACATAAGCTTCTATTGTGATTATTCTGCTGTTTACAGTAAACACACCTTTTATGTGATTTACAAAATTTCACAGTGTGTCCCTTATTTAAACATACGTAGCACCTACCTTGAATTGCTTTCTTACGTGCCTCAGCAGATTGATATTTTGTACATTGGTCATTCCAATGTGTTCCTTCACAAAAAATACAATTTAATTGATCGTTTCCCACGAGTTAGTGGGTAGGTAGTTGTCAACCTCTTAGTGTCCGCCTGTGGATTAGGAACAGTAACAAAACTATTAGAGTAAGATGAAGTGCTAGGTGTTGAGGTCGTCAGTTGCTCTGCTTTCTCCCGAATCGAAATTAAGTTATTTACAAATTTGCACAAAGTTTTAACATCCAATTCCCCAGAAATATTCATTTCTTCAACTTTCAAAACAATCTCATAGGGCAGCTTACTGAAAATTTGAGAAACAAAGTAGTTAGAAGTAACGTCTTCACCTAAGGCTTGAAGACAACGCATATGTTTCTCAATGTTGTCAAATCCTCGCCTTAGTGTTACCGTGTCACTGGACTTGATAGGTGGCATATCCCTCAAGGCACAGTAATGAGAATTCACTATTACCTGTTTCTTAGCAAATCTGTCTTTCAACAAGGTAATAGCAATATCATAGTTTAGATCTGTAATGGGGAGTCCAGCGATGCAACGTTTAGCGTCACCTTTTAATTGTGCAATCAAATAGTTAAATTTGTCAACGTTACTGAGTGTGGGGTGGCTATGAATGGCAGACTCAAAACTATCCCAAAACTCCTGCCACCGTAGCATGTCCCCTTGGAAGGTTGGTAATACCAACTTTGGTAGTTGAACATACTGGTGCTGTATAGTTGGTATTGTCTGAATGGTAGACGTATCAGGCACTGTTGCCTGTGACTTATTAGTTTGAGAAATATCTAGTCTTACCGTAAGCTGTGCAAGCACCTCCTCACAGTCCATCATAGTATTTATGAAGTCGTCCTCTGTGGTGGGTCCTTCAGTTTGTCCATCTTCAGTAATAGGCTCGGTGTCCAAACGTTTTTGAATTTCTTCCACTCTCTTTACAAAGCTTGTCAATGTCCGTAGTCGTGTTTGAAGTTGTAGTTCTGTTAAGTCTGTAGTCTCCAAGAATGCATTTGTATCAGTAGTATAAGTCTTCAGTCGTAGTAAGGCAGATTTCAATCGAAGGTCCCATCTTGAAGTCATTCTTAGTTATTCGGGAAAGTGAAGTTCAAAGTTGGAAGTTGTAAAAATTTTGAGTAAAGAAGTTAAGTTTAGAAAGTTGTAAAAAGTTAAAGCAGGAAACCACGCTCTGCTACCATATTGTGATATCCGTGGATAAGTAAAGTTATGTTTGGTTTTCCTGCTTTAAATTAAGTTTTAAGTTAATAAATGTAGAATAAATAAAGAGTTAAAATTGTATCAACTTTCTTTCTTTAGTATTAGTTTATTTACAATCAATTATTTCCATGGAAACCAAAAATAAAAACCAGCTGTCTCAGCACAACATATGACATGTATAGGGTGTATTTACTTGGATCTTGTGCACAGTAAAATCCCGCTACTCAGACATCTGATGATCCAATAATAAATCTTAATTGCCATTAGGATACATTAGATAATAGATATCATTGATTTTGCCAAAATCATGGTCAAAACACATTTTGACAACAAGTCAAGTTACAGAACATTCTTTCATGTTATTTATTAGCCTTCGAATCATTTCTAGTAAATTTAATGAACTCGTTCGAACAAATTTTTGGAAGGATAAAATTGGATGGGAACGATTAAGACAACAGACAACCTTACACTACTTTCACACTGCAAGGTTTTCATTGTTCGGTTAAAAACTGTAGGTAAGATTCTACCCCATGTTTTTTTTACTAGTATGATTTTTATTTGTATGACACAGTAACTCCAAACAACCACAATCAAATATTTGAAGGATGAACAACTTTGGTGAACAAAAATATTTAATTTAAACAAAAGAAATGTAGACCTAGTCCGAGAGCTGTGTAAGCAACGCAGTGCCCCTCAACACCCAATGGTTCTCGGAGAGCCTTGTAGGCAGTGGCACAGTAACCACATAGTTAGTGCTCTGCCCCGTAGTGCTCAGTACTCCGGCCCGCACTGACGTCTTGTACAGAGGACAACTGTAGCGCAACCGGGACTCATCCTGCTTAGTCACTGGCACCAACTGTACAACCGGCAGCGGAGGGTTGATCTCTCCTACAAGTAAATACAACACAGGGTGAGTCAAATAACTTTGTTGTATCATTATTCATTTGCCACCAAGGCATATTTGAGAAACTCTTGTGGAAAGTGTTAACTGTGCAGTAGCTGAGATTGACCATCCGTAGTGGATGAAAATACTTGCAAGTCATCGAATTATATTACTCCCCCTCCCCAGTCACCACCATTCCAGTTGTGAATCAAGTTTGGTTCATAGTAGTTGTGCTGTGATCAGGACCACTCTGTTATTGTCACAGAGAGGTAAGGTACAGAGGAAACTCGCTATGGGCCAATGCTCAAAATGTTTAGCCCTTGTATGTTGTGCTGGTAATATACTTGTGACGATCAAGAAAGAGCTGTCGAGTGGCGAGCACTGTGCGGATTTCCTATCACACAGGGCACAGGGTCTTCCACCATGAGCGTTGTAGTACATGAGGGCGAGAGGAGTGGTGTTAGACTTTGCTCTAGACACCAGCACTAGTGCTAGACACCACTTATGTTATGTGTACCATTGAGTGTTTTCCACTGTACCTTACTTCTCTGTAGTTATTGTATATATATCTATCGTGTCAATTAGATGACATGTGGGGAGGGTAGTGCGAGAGAGACAGAAAACTTCCCCCACCACTATTCCCCTACATATGTATTATTACATATTCCTTGATACATATTCAACTAGATGAAAATTGTTGAGATGACTGAGCAAAATAGAAAAGCGATGATGATAAGGGAAGTGTTCTTATGAGGTATCCTACTAGCCACTTTAACCGGTTCAATCTGTACTATTTTTGTTTCATACGACAGGGGCAATATATAAACAAACATCACTGAATGACTAAAAACTTTGTAGAAAAAATCTCGCTAATTAATTAATTATGTGTGCTGGTAAAATATTCACATTTTGGCAACATTGAAACAAACTCTCCCTGGCTACTAATAGCAGATGATACTTTGTTTTTAAACCATTTTTACCCACACTGATTAACAATGCAACTAATTATTCATCTGAATTTATGAATAGCCTTTGACTAATGATACAGACATTCCATCCCCATGTTAAAGCTGTCAAGAGTTTTTAAATGAAAATCGTCACAGTTGATGTGAGCCACCGACAGATTGCGCAGATAGAAATTACTGATTTCTGTCAAATACGCGAGAGATTTTTACCAGCCAAACTAATGGTAAAATGTGTCCTTATGACATGAATTCATTTTTATCCTGTCAACTGTAATCTTAATATTTGTATGTATTTATTATATGTAAACTATTTATAATACATGATTTGTACTGACATGTCACATATTCATTGCTGATATTCAGCCTCTGTACTATGAATTTTTGTGATGAATAAATTGATTTGATTTGATGGAATGACTTATTGTGAGCTATTGCAACTGTTATGACTCATCAACTTGTTCAGAAACACAAAATAAAGTAAAAAATATAATTTTAAACACTAGCACATTCTGTGACTGGCCCACAGAACTACGTCCTTTTTTCAGTATCCAACAGTCAATGACATAGTGTTATATTTTGACCCCGGATACAGATTTGTTATGAAACTTGGCTATCCTGACAAACACTTGGTTGTAGTCATAGTTGTATGTTTGTCTAATTACCTGATCTTGGATCAGATAAAAATCCAGATTTAACATCAAAGAACCCAGCATCCAAGAACAATCCATGGATCAAAACACCATCAGTGGGTGGTTGCAAATTTTGGTAAGCTTGTGCATCCTGTAAGATTATAAACATTAAATAGAGTAAAAAGCTTAATACAATGAAAATATGTATTGTCCTTAAGTAAAACAGTTATCAGTTATGGCAAAATAAAACAAGCTTGTACCTTTTACTAATGAACGAATTTCAGACAGATTAGACGATTATCTTGCCTTAATATTTCTCTTCAGTAAGACAAAACGACTTAAATTCTACTATGTTACATCAATTTGTCTACAATTTTTTATTGAGGTACAGAAAAGCAAATAGATTATTTCAAACAATGAATTTTCCTTTCCTGGACATGATTGCTTTATCAGAAGATGAATATACTGTATCTATGATCTCTAAACGTACACAAAACTCGGTGAAATGTAAATTTTTTGAAATGAATTATTTATTTGACTTATCTCCAAACTTTATTGTCAACCATCCTCTCTCTACCTTTGCATATATATATTTTTTTACTGATGCTCACCTCTTTACCAAATTGTTTGTGGAAGCGTTCAACATCCTCTTGATCTATGAATATGTTCATGGGATCTTTGAAGTCAACAACCAGCTCATCAATGGCGGTGTTATACTTGCGAGCGTGAGTCTGCAGACACCCGGTCATGAAGCCTTGGGGGAAGAATAACCCAGACAGCCAAAATGAGTTGGGCTGACCCCATTTGACCCACATCTGTAATGCACTTGAATTAATAAATCACAAGGTTTTCATAGTCAACCACACCATATATATTTTTTTTTGTTCAGCTGAAAACTAATTTTTTTTTTCCAAATAGTTTCATAAAAGCATACTTTGTTTTAAGCTTGGCACCGTTCATTGTTTGCAAACCTGTACACGAGACTCATTAATACATAAATAACAAAGATTAATATATTATGTATACAGATGACTCATGAAAATCCGACTCTTACGAGATTGGTAGGGTTAAAGATTACAAAAAAAATTTCAAACTGGAACCTAACACAATAATACAAAATTTATCATTATTATTACCTAGTAAATTTAACGATGACTTAATAACAGATTTGTAATATGCACATTTAAAAACCATGAGGCAGTCTAATTAATCAGTGTGAGGAATTATTTTTGTCCACAAAAACTAGTGAGGCAAACCTAATTAACAGTGAGCTCCATACTGTATATGGCGATGTTGTTTCTGTTCACAGCAAAAAGTCCTCAAACTATTTTGTTAGGCCTAGAGGATAACACGATACAAATAAGAATTGTTAATCTCATTAAAATAATAATGTTTGGGGCCAAAACTACGTATGTTAAACTATTCAAATTTTAATTAAAAGAATCACTCACTGAAATAAAATCAAGTCTTAGTTCAAGATCTCTTATCCAACTTCCGAGGCTTTTCAACGATGGATAAGCAGTTTTCGCCCATAGCTTTGGAACCTACACACAAAATCATGTTGATTATAAATTCAGGTCATTTAAAATATATTCACATTAATATACATAGTCGTTCGTGGAGGGAAAATTGTATCAATTTATCCATTCACAAAAACTATTACAGATTAATTGGGTATAGACGCTATTATACTTCTTACTGAATGGAAATTGTTTAATTAATTCTTTAGCAGGTCAATATTTTGTATCATTATGATTTATGTTTCATAACTTGTTAATAGCAAAGCAACTATTTATTTATTTTTTTTTTTTGTTCATTCACTTCATTTGCAAATAATTGTAACTAGTTTTTAATGTCAACCCGGCAGATGCACCAACAGGTCTTCTATATCTGTTGATTTCTGACAATGTAAAAGCCATCGAGAACTACCCAAAATTTTTTTTTGTTACAACAAAAGTTTGTAGCTTTTTCTTCAGCTGTTGTTGTACGGTTTAACCCTTGTAGCAATTTTATTTTTGTGGAAAAGCTAGCCAGTATATTTTGTAAATAAATACAAAATTAAATAGGCCTACCAAAATGAAAAGTCAAATACAACACCAACCTGATTGTTTAAGAAGGACGTGTAAACTTCTTCCAGTTGTTCAGACATAACCACAAGGCCTTTTATGGCCAACTGCAACTCCTTCAGGGAAGAGTGGATGACTCTCACCAACTTGTTGAACCGATCAACTTCTTGCAACAAAACTGTCGTCAAAGAAGGAAGAGACCCTCGCGAGTCAAACTGCAATGACAAATCACAGATGTTAATGTTTTAAAAAAGCCTCTCGGCCAGGATTGTGGTTTTTAAAATAAAGGGACAGCAGCTAGCTTTACCTCAGAAAAAGTCCAGACTGAAGACACAGAAAATTCAGATTCATACATCCCTCTCAAGTATGATAGTACAAAACTAAACTGATAGAGTGGAATTTTTTTAAAAAGAGTCTGGCTCAGAATTTTTTTAATGATTGGCACCAAAGTAGAAAGGGCCATAAAGCAAAAATATTTTAGGACAGAGGAAGCTCTTGTTGTCCGAGTGATCCTAGTTTCCTAGATAGTTGAATCTAAAGCCAGCTAAAAGATTCTGTGTTTTTCAAGACTCATTATAACCTCCTAGGAGCAATTTTACGTCCAGCTAGACAATAATGCCATAGGCATCGAAATCGGTTGCCCTATTGAGGAATGGACAGAATAAAGGTACTTAACCTCTTGTATACAATAAAAGATAGGGTCTAAACCACCGAGTTGTACAGCATTATCTTCTGATAAAAACCACCACTGTTAGATGAATTTTAACTCAGACTGACAGACAGAAGTAATGCGCTCTAAGCATTAAGCCTGTTCTGGCTGTTACTATTGTACTGCTGTTTTACAATAATTAAGTAACACTTTGCATTTAAATAAAGTAAGTAACAAGCTAATTTTTATATTCTATGTACACATAGTATCTGTTACTTGTTTTTATTATAGTGCAAAAATATTGATGATCAAATGTTGCAACCCCTAATACCTTTGATTAAGAGTGCATGAGATTGTTTATGGTAAATGTGTTAGTTCAAACTAAAATAAGAAAAATCACAAATGCTATCACCTAAAACAGTTCAGCAATGGACTCTTTAAACCAAAGCAAATAAGTAAAACTGATTTTTTTTCTTAGTTCTGTCTTTTTTCTTTCATAACAGAACGTAAAAAGGAATGTTGTGAGTGACAAAATAGAATACAAACACTAAAAGAGATTTTTTTGCAATAAAAAAACCACCGACACTTACCCGAAGTAAAGATGGGTGAGTTTCATCAGGATCGATCCTAGTTATTATTCTTTCTCTGATCATGTCTGCCAACTCAAACGCAATCTCATCACTAGATTTCCCTTTAGTCCCTGCAGACTCCCTTGGTTGTACCTCCATGATAGTAACTATCACACCAGCAGTTTCTTTGGTCTGAAACATGCAGTCAGGGAGTTAACATACAAGATTTTAGATTATTAAAAAGATTATTGTTGTAGAACTTAAAGAAAAGCCCTACGCTTTACGCTTACAACTTCTATTTACCTTAGAAAGGTAAAACAACTACTAAGGCTGTCTATTAAGACGTATTGACTGGATATAAGTCTATTCAAATGACCAGTTGTGTTCCCTTTGCTTTGGTAAGATTCTGTTATTTGATAAGTTATGATCGGTAATATTGGTAAGCAGTAGGGTTGGCCCTTACCCGTAAACATTCACAATAATTATTAATCACCTTTGAGGAAACCTTTTGTCAACTTAAATAGTGTACACATACTTGGAAAGCAATGTTTGCGTTTTCATGCAGACCGAATATCTCAGGTTCTTCAATGAGTGGAAGCCTGTCAATAAACTCTCGAAACTCTGCTAAAAGGGTGACGTTAGGACTGTAGTAGGTCCCAGATTCCGAGTACTTGTAACCTGTCAAGGTAAAACAAACAACAAGTTTTGATTTTAACTTTTGAGATTCAATTGGCGAGTTTTTAAATTCAAAAGTTTGGAAAAGTTGAAGATTTTTGGCAGTTCTGGTTAGAATTATATTATTATCATATGTATTGTTTATGCCCCTTTGTCTTGCAAGCACAGATTTTTACGAAAAAAACATTAATGTGTTTAGACAACTAATCTATAACAGTGCATCTACAGGTTCAGGGTGTAGGTCTAGAATTCAGACAATTCAAGGATGATCATTCAGATGACCAAGGATTATATTGGCAACAAGTATATTACATTTAACTTGTATATGTGGCAACGTCGTGCTAGTCCAGTATTGCTATTGGCTGTCAGATTACACTACTGCAGACTCTCGTGGCCCCTAGTGTGGTCATATATTCAAGTTACTATGTCCGGGTCAAGGAGTCAATTTCTTCCAGTTTTGATAGTAATCATTTTATTATTGCCTGTATTTTCTTTTTGCCTTGACCAAGGAAACTAAAAAAAGTTCTGGGTGTATGTTTTGAAGTTCTAGATTTGGAATTCGATTTTAAGTTTTGATTTCGGTTTTGAGATTTTAAATCACTGGTTTGATTATTATTATATTCTAATAGTCTATTTTTAACAGTATCAAGGTAATTTGGACCGGTAAAAAAACAGCACTACAAACCTTCTTCTAATGTTTCTGGGGAAAAGAATCCCTTAAGAATAGTCTTCAGCGTCCGCTGATCCCACTCATCCGTTACTCGGCCTCCATAAGTCACTTCACCTGAAACATAAAACATTGAATAATTGAAAATTGCATATCAAATTACATGATTTTAAAGTATATGTTTACAGTTTATCCCATTCCAAACTGGATAGGAAGCCCAGCTTTACTAAGTGACCTGTATCGACTGGGTCACATAGTCTAATGAATTGATTAGTGATAGGGTGACCAATCGTCAAATTAATTAAGTTTAAACGTCCAAGGGGGAACTCGAGCTATATCATTTACCTGTTGTATACTCGAGTGCGTCCCACGGAATCTTGTAGCTATCCAGACAGAACAGGTGGAGGTTAGACAGAGCACATTCACGATCACTGTCGTTAAACTCGTACATGATGTTCCAGCCGAGAGGTCCAAACTTCTTTCGCTCCTGTATCACAGCGTGAAACATGCACAGCCCAAATATCATCTTGCGCCATTTTCCATACAGAGCTGCAACGGACAAAAACAATCCACTAAATAATATGTAAATGATAAGCTGAAAATACCTGATGTACTGTTGAATGATCCTGTTTTTTTTTTGTTTTTTTTTTGCTTTTTTTGCCAGGTTACCACTGGTTTCAAAACCGAAAGGTTCATTACTCAAGCTGAATTCTGAATTGTAAGTGGAAAACAACAACACTACTGAACATTTTAAAAGTTTTTCATATGTAGAAACAGTCAGGTAATTTATGTATGGTAAATAATTACAATTATTAAAAGTCAAAACTTGTTTTTGTTTATCACCTTTGGATAGGAAAAGTCTCTTTTTACTCTACAACTATGCATATCATTGCAAATCTACCATTTCAAAACTGTCTTATCCATATCCAATGTCCTACAACTTTTAAAACAGCTTTACAATGAAACATTCCAAACTCTTTACTGGAGACTCACCATGATCCTCAAAGAAGTCTTCAGAGATCTCGTTAAAAGCTCGTTTTAAATTTGCTCTGATACCTTTAGGTGGTTCATTGGTGACTTTTACTGAGTTTTGCAAAACTGATACAGGGAACCGGTTTGAAGGCATGGAGCTCAGGAACAAACGGAAGTCTATATGAACATCCCTCGGGTTTTCTTGGATCTGCAAGATGATCCGCTCCATGTCTAACATCCATGAGGAAGCCAAGTGACAGTTCTGGAAATTATACCAAACGATATTATGGTTAGCATCTAAACATTAAATGCACTTCACCTTCCATCTTCACCAAGCTAAGCAATGCCTTTATCATTAGCATTGGTGGCGACAAATATGATATTTTAAATTTGTGGTTGCAAGAGGGTCAAAACTCATCTGGTGAATAGACTATTTAATATGAAACTATAAAAGCTCATTTAAAGTATGAATGAAGAGTACTAGTCTTCTTTTCATCAGGGTTTACACCGGTAGCTTTTTATGTAAAAGAATAACAAAACCCTTAAGTAAAGGAGGTTTAGGCTCAAAGTTTTAAGGATATGCCATGGATCATCCATTTACTCCCTCACCAAAGTCAGAGAAACTAACTACTAGAGATTTTTGGCACACCTTGCGGTCTTTTAATTTTGGATTTTTCCCACACAGTTAATTCTGATCGATTTTGATTGGACACTCCAATCATGTTCATTCGCCTATTGGGTCTGATGATGATTGGAGTGTCCAATCAAAATTAATCACCACTTACCATCTTTTTTGTATATTTACCGTCTTGTGAGTAACAGCATAAGTGTATTATATGTTTTAAGAAGTGTTATAAGACGTTTATTTTATCTACTTTCTGTAAATTTAATAACAAGTAGGCCTACAATGCTGATCAAGAAGTTATTAAATGAACATTAGCAATACTGGCAATCATAACCATGAAGCCTACTAAATGAGATTTCAACCACACTAACAAAAGCCACTGAATTATTGGGAGCATGCATTAAAGTGCTTTCAATTGAGTTAATTTATCTTGAAATATGATTATTGATTACAGTTATTAAAAAAAAATTCACAACTGATAAAAAATTATTAAAATAATTATTATTTAAAATTGGAGTGGTAGACTTAATTTTAAATAATTATTTCTGTAATAATCATTTAGACACTGAACTATATTTGAAGACCAAGATGTTGAACACACCTGCAAAAACACCCAGTCCCCTCGTTTTTTCCCTGTGTCAATCATTTTCTCTGCAATGGGTCCCTGGCCCTGACCCAGTGAGATGGACTGGACCCGGTCTTTGTTGCCCGTCTCTGCAGCGAACCTCAAGAACGCTCCTACAGGGTCTGAACCAGTTGATAGCACAAACACCAATGGAGTTACACTCGAAGTGTCTTGATAACTGAACAAAGAGAATACAATATACAATACCTCATTACATGTTGTCTCCTGGCCGAAATAGTCCAAGATTAGATAAAGATCTTCTGCAAGATCAGAAGCCACTACGAAAACAGGGTTTATTTAAAAATAATATTCCAAGTTATTGTAACTAGAAAACAAATAAAAAAACCTTACAAATTATTATCATACAAATAATTTAATAATTGTAATTCATTTTTATAGAGCTTAGTTTTAAGTCAGAAATTATTATAAATTATAACAACAAAAAATTTCAAAACACTTACAGTAAAGGTAGGCTCACAAGGGGACTTTCAACAAACGCTTTCCCAAGTTGTGTTTTCACGTATTCAGTTACTGCAAAAACTAGCTGAAATGAGAAATAAATTAACTTAAAAATATCCAAATAATAAGTCAAGACAAATACTATTCAAATGTAAGGTACAAACACTGTTCAAAGGATTCTTTTAAACTAAACAAACCTAAAATAATTCTAGATTATGAAAACTAAACCAAATGAATTTATTTAAGATATTGAGGGTGTATCTGTCGAGAAAAATAGATTCCTTTAAACTTTGGTTGAATCTGGTAGGTTTACCTTTTAAGCCCCAAAGGTAGCAGTTGATAGAACGGATGACGGATGGATGAACTCTGTGATTTTCACCTTATATCAGATAAGTTTTGCTTCTTTGTACTTATCCTTACTCTTAAATAAAAAAATCAAAACAAAAATCTGAGTCTAGTGAAATTAATGAAGAATATTAATATTGAAGGCTAAAAGGGTTTGCCGGTGAGTTGTTTGTTGTACACTATGAGAGATATATTTATTGGCGTAAAAAATCCTTAAAATAGGATATATAAAATTTGTTGTGTTGTAACAAATTAATAAAAACATTTTTTATGAATATATAAAGTTTATCAAATTATGTTTTCAAAAATAACTTATTAAAAACTTATGCACTTGCAAGTATCTTGTTGGAAAGTAATATTGAATTTAAACACCTTTTTACAGCTTTGATTATCTACTAAGTTCTCAAAGCAGTTTTTTATTTTATTTATATATAAGCATCATAAAACGAGGTGTATGATTAAATATAAAACAGATCTCTGCAGGTTCACAAATAAAGAAAGTGCATAGGAAACACAATTATGGGACAACAGTGCGCTTTTAGCTCTAGTATGTTATGCCAGAAATATATTGTGAAGAGCAAGGAAGAGCAAGGAACAGCGAGCACTGTGCGGAAATTTCTATCGCACTGGGTACAGGCTCTTCGCCACAGAGTGTTGAAGTACATGAGTTTGAGAGGAGTGGTGTTGGATTTTGCCCTAGACACCAGCATTAGTGCTATACACCACTTAAGTGTTCTGTTGAATGTTTTCTTTGTACCTTATTTCTCAGTGGTAGGTTGAAAACCGTGTAAACATATACTAATTCAAAAATGGAAATAATTGTAAAGATCACATTTCCTGACCTTTTCTTCTTTCAGGGCTTTTAGTAACATCATTTTCTCAAACTCAGTCAGTTTTTCATTCCAATCTACTCTGCTGATTTTCTTTTTCTTTGGGTCCAGGTCAATGATCTGTAAAACATAGGTTTAAGAAGTAATTAATTAAACAAGTTTACCACATTGCGTAACACGTAATGTAATTCAATGTTTTATGATCAGTAGATAATTACCATTGACTATGTTGCATCAATAGTCAAAATTGCCATGATTTTCAATATTAACAATACTGTTCTAAATATAAGTAAAACTCCTTTTCTTTTGCCAAATATCAAGGAGCTTATCACAGCAGCCACCTACTAGCCTGAACCAGATAAAATTTATGGTTTGATCCACTGTTGATCATACCGCATCAGAACCATCTTATAGAAAAACAATTCACAATTGGACCATTGAACTAATGAATGAAAATGAAATGAAAAATCATTTCTTTTCTCAGGCAAAGTGTTGAACTAACATAGGAATATAAATACATATACAACAACTAGGTCAATTAACTAGGGTCTGCGGTACAGAAAATTTAAGGTCGGTACGGTTCGGTACAGTACAATATTTTGTACCTCGCTTCTCGGTACAAAATCGGAACGGTACGCGGCTACCCGTATTTTTGCGGTTTTCTTCTCAGATCTGTATTTGAACCATTTTTTTTAATTTTAATACATTGACATTACTATGAAAATGGATAGTATCCTACATTCATGGTTTTCTAACAACAATTACTGTACCACACATTATTAAACCCTTTTACTTCTACGAGGATTGTGTCAAGAAAAATCACAGTTAAGATAAAGGCTTTACCTATTTTACTCTGAGATACTTTGAATAGCCACGATAAAAATTATTTCCAACCAATACAATGTCTAGTTGTTTTTTAAACTTTTAAAAACATATAAAAGCATTCAGTACAAAAACAGTGTAGTTGACAGCTATTCACATTCAACAGATGACAATGAAAAACAGGACGTTATGATGAAGTAATGGCGAATAGCATCTTTTTTATCAGCCTGAAAACTACTTATAAGATGGATACATCTTTTGCAAAGTTTTTTTCTTACACTAAAATTTGGATTACCACAGATTAATATTATTGTCTTTTCATTTACAAAGTTAACATCCACAAATATCAATCATTAGTTCATTAACTCAGACTCAATCCAATTTTCTTAGTATATTTTAAGGATCTTCCAAAGAGTCAAAAGACCCAGGCCTAGACCTAATTATTTAGGATGGCCTATATAAATTGAGTAGGTTACAATGAGGGTAGCAAAATCACTATCATAATTCTAGTTCATAAGATTTAGATTGCATAAAGTACCTTTAAAACAATAAAAAAAATCTAAGAGACAAAAAACATTTCAACCTTAACAGCCACATCCAAAAATATAAGACAAGATACAGAACATGCAATGACATTAATTTAAGACCGAGTAGGCTTGCATAACGGAAAAAAATATGCAAACAACAACTACTACGCTTGTGGTTTCATCAATAGAAAGATAAATTATCCATAACAAATATCTTAACTTATAAAATAAGATTGTAGATTACAGTAGACCCCCTCTTAACCGACCCTAATGGGACCGGACCTAGGTCGGAAAACTCAAAAGGTCGGATAAAACGGATAATCCCTAAAATCATAACATAATGAAGTGCTATTCATTTGGAATTATATGATCATTATTTTGGAATCATAATTGCATTATTTATCAAATAAACTACTCTTATCTCCTTTTTCCTATTGATAGAAAAGTCACAAATAAACACAAAACACGGTTAAGTCAAATAGGCCTACTTTCAGTGGAATATATTATAATACTAGGCAAGAGTCAATAAAATTCCTATTTTAATAGCTTTAGTACTGTAATTTATTAATTGATGCTTTACAAATCCATCGTAATGAGGTACAGAACCTTTTGTCAAAATTAAAGATACAAGCAACCATTTTGTTACAAGACAGGACGTTTATTTATAGCCTCTCACTGGAGGCTCGAGGCACAAAAACTATCTTGACCTTGGAGTTGTTAACCCCCCTTCCCTGCCCTCTCTACAAGTTGCGTTGTTTGTTTACTCCAGCGATAAGATAATCAGTTCTCAAAATCGTAACACACTTTATGATGTTATAAAATTGCCGCACAGATAACGAACAGATCAGATGCGCTCGAGCTACGAACGATGATGACAAACTGACGATAGGCTGTGCTATATTTTTTGTGATCGACACAAAATAACTTATTCTTAGTCATATTCTGTGGAGATAAGCGTATGGTTCGGTTCTCATCGCCCAGCGTGGGAGCGGAAATGCCGAGATTCCTAGAAAGCGGCGGTTAAAACGAGCTGCTCTCAAAGCAAGGTCGGTTAAAACAAACTACGACTACTATTTTACGATCGAAGGCGGATAATCCAATTATCGGTTAATACGAGGTCGGTTAAGAGGGGGTCTACTGTAGTACCGACTTTAATATGTTGCCATAAACAGTTTTATGGCAGTAGGCAATGGCCAGCAGCAAATTGAATATTCACGAAAATACTGACTGAGTTAGAGATAACATTTACAGTCATCATATGATAAAATAGAATTGGGGAAAGTCGTAAAGGAATAATACCCCCGCCGCAGCAAACCTGCCGACTAAGCGAATTTCCATTTGTCTGTTTAGTTTATTAGTTAAATATATTTTAATAACATTAGGTTTAACGAGTACCTAGGTTTGCTGCTACAAGGAAACTAATAAAGTGTGTTTTTGAGTAAAATATTGATAGCTTAGTACAAAATAAATAAATTTGCCAAGTTTGATCAAAATATATCGATAAACAAGCAAACTACAACATTTGACAATATTCTCCATAAGAATAACATGGGAATTTTAAATTTACAATTTCTTAAATTTTCTCCGTTACCAATAATCGAACAAAAATACTTTTATATACTAAATTATTTGTTTTTTTAAGCTCTTTAAAAAGGTCTAAAGAGAAATCGGAAAATTTTGTGTTTTGAGGGTCAAAAGTGAGAAAAACCAATTTTTACCCCATAAAACCCCCCGTAAAGCCCCGTTCTCATCATCCGATCGTGCTGGTTCGCGAACTCATTCAAGTTTATCCCGCTTTACACCTTTAAACCAAATTTCATCAAAATCGGACAAAAATTACTCAAGTTATCGCGTTCACGGACGTATATATATATATATATATATCTATATATATATATATGTCTATATATATATATATACATATATAAAAATTTGAACGAATGGTGTTTTTGGCCTCTGGGGACATCAAAATGAAAAAGTAAATCGGTCCCGGGTCTAGGTCTTACCGTGCCACCTACGGTAATAGCTACTTCCCTATAGGGAAATTCGCTAAAAGTGATAAAACTCAACAGTTCTTGGAAGTACTAGAATACAACAATTATTGTCGTGATAAAATTTTAATGGATTTGGGACTGCTAATGAGTTTTTTTTATTGCATCATCACCCTAGTAATAAATTATGAAGATGTAAACAAACATCTGATAAGACTTTCATGTGCTCAGAACAAACCACCTTGACTATGATAAGTAATTTATTATTATAATAGGCTGTACCGAACCGAATTTGTACCGCGTAAAATGCTGTACCGAACCAATGACGGTAATTAAGCTTGTACCGTACCGGACCGACTTTTTCGGTGCACCGCAGACCCCTAACAACAACCAATACTAACACTTATGTAATGTATTTCCTCTACTCAACAACCACCATCAACCCTTTTCCCATCCACAAAATAACTTAAAGGATATAATTTTCTACAAACCTGTTCAAAGTCTCCCACAGAGATGGTTATTATACTTGTGCATTCTGACTGTAGATGTTGAAAGGATGGAAAGTTTTGAGTCAAATACAAAACACAAGACCACTGATTGTCTGACAATGTTGGCACGTTAGGCTTGTTGGGTTGGTCCTGTCAAAAATAAACTATGTATAAAATATGTCTCAATAGATTAATTTAACTTGTCAGCTTATAAGTGATAATATGATTTGGTTTCTTAATGCAGAGTATGTATTATTTTTTTGGTAATTTAATCTGTTACCACAAAACAATTATGATTTTATACAGAACATTGTTTGTTTCAAGCTCCGAAAATAGCTGCTATGTATAAAGGATAAAAATTCCCTTGCAGTAATTCTCTCTTTATCTTAATAGTTAAGAAATAGTATAGCCTTGGGAGTTAATTGTGTTGACTGTTCGCTATTCAAATAGTAATTAATAGCTTTATGTTAGAAAGATTTCCCAAATAAATTATAAACAAAAATTAAAAATTGACAATATATTATACGAAGCTATAATACAGCGAAGCAAATGACAAGCATGATGAAGCAACATACAGCGCCAGATCCAGTGACAGCGCCTCTCAGTAAGAAGCTCCACTCGGCGTTACTGATGGCGCCGGCGCCTCGGTAGATACTGGCGCACAACATGAAACTGAACACTAGCTTGTGGCGCTCAAACAGCCCGCGCGACACGTTGGTGTAGACGGCCAGCGTGATCTCATCTACCAGGATCTGCAGACGCTCTGACAGCTCCGAGGCAGCTGGGCTCGACACAATCACACCGTTGAACACCTGGAAAGTAAAGTTCAAAGACATAAACAATAAGCTCCACAATCACTAGTGACACTACAAACTAATGAATGTGTACAAACACTTCAAAGAGATAAGCTCATTTCAGTGCTAATAAATGCCTTGTTGTTGCGGACAGCCATTTTCAGAGAATTCAACTGAAAGAGGTAAAGACTAACTTGTTCCCCAAATGGGGGTTTTAGACTATGAGTTTAAAAGAAAAAGGGCTATGTTTCATTAACAAGAGGAAGTGACAGTTTGGTAGAATTTAGCTTATTTTTTCTGTGAAATTTATAAAGTGGGCTACATGAAAAGAGGCTTGACTAAAATGTTGAAGAACAAAATTGTTTTCTTAAATGACATCAATATCAATTGATAGTATTCCTGCACTTCAATATTTATTTTGTCAGATTGGACATCCTCATTAGTATTTCACAAACCACAACAGACAGCTTTGTTTAATGAGACTCTGATGTAAAGACAAATTATTTTCAACAATACTACAATAGATATACCTGGTTGAAGTACTTGAGTGAAAACTGGTACATGGGGTCTATATTGGCCAGGTCTGCCACCACAAAGTACAGTAGAGACCCACGGTTGGCCACTGTTCTGTACTTCTCTCTGGCCGTTGAGATCTTCTCTTCTGTAGCCTCCGCTTCCATCACCCGCGCTCCGATGATGGCTGACGTTTCCTGTGAACACAACAAATCTTCATCTATAGTGGTTTGCTAGAGTGGGCAGGTTGTAACTGTACCATTTTGTGCAGCAATTATATATTTTAAAGCTATTTTTTTATTAAAAAAAAATCTAATAAATTTAAATTTTCCCCATTACTGGAAGTTATTGGTGATTATCTTACTTTACTTTATCTCTTTGAAAACACCCTGTAAACCATGCACTAACAATCAATATAAATTACTGAAATAACAAATACATAATATTTAAAAAAAAACTAAGCATTGGAAATGAAATAAAACTAATTATTGGTTTATATGAGATATTGATGAACTGAAAACGCTACAAAGTCCGACATTATTACAGTGATCAATTTAGTTGTAGTGATAAATAAATGTACTGAGTTTTACTTTTGCACACTATGTGAGTGAATTTGATCTAAATAAGTAGTTCAAATGTGAGACAGTGCTGCAAATAAACAACCAAGAAAATGTCAAACATAAATGTAAAGCTAAAATCCAACTGTAGCAACCTATAAATACAAAAATACAAAAACAAAATTGACTAACTACAGTTTTCTATTTATCAAACCCATAAAGGTACGGTACTTTGCTTTCGTTCAGGGTTTCTATCAATTCTTCGTCATCTAAAATGTTCCCTTCACTGGCAAACAGAAGCTTGAGGATTTTATCTTCGATTGCTTTTAACTGGCCTTTATCATTATTGATCCTGACAATGAGTTCTGTTCTCTGGCTTTCAAGATCTGGCTTTTCTAGCCTCACAACATCTCTGAAATAATTATTTAACAGTTAATAGTTTTACTATTTTAAATCTGTTACAATAAAATTACTATACCATATTTTACTCTGATAATCTGTATTTAAACTTACGCCAACAGCTGATCCTCCAGACCGGAGAGAGTTACGGTAAAGTTGATCAGAGTCACTTGAATGCAGACCTCAGGAAGGTAGTGTGGGTTGGATAGTTTGGTTGTTACATACAAACGGAAATTTGAATCATACTCCACATCAACATCTCCTAGGCGTATCATCAATCTTCCTCCCTAGAAGAAAAAATTGTTCTTGAATTTGAACACAAATTGTGTTTATAGAACCAAACACTACAAGAATGAAAACATAATTTACCTGGATAAAAGTTTGCTTCAGCATGATTGGGCCCAACGTGGGGTCCAATACTTCTCCGACTTCCTCAATTAACACAGGCATTCCAATTCTGATGCCGGCCTCCAACATTCGTACGTAGTTGGAATCTGTGAGTTTGACGATTTTCAAACTGTGGTTTGCCTCCATTTGGCGAATCCATTGGTTTGCCTGAAAATCATTTGAAAGGAATGAATCATTGAATCAATGTAGCTGTTGGTGTAAACTTAATAGACACTCACCATAATATTAATCAAACTATTCTGAAAAATAAAATAAAAACTATTAAGAAAAATAAAGAAGCAGATATTGGAAGGGTTGAAGGGTAATTTATAAATGAGAAAAAAAATCTGAAAGAAAGGAAATATATAAGACTGATTGTAAAAAAAAACAAAATTACCAATGGTCTGGATTAGATGGAAATTTAGTAAAATTGCATGAAAGTTAAAACAAATAATTTATATGACTGCAATAAGCACATGTTGCTCACAGAATCAAAAGACCCTTATCGTCCCCGCGATCACCGTAACTTCTGCGACAGCAAAAATATCCAAGATTATCTTTTATTTTGATCCCAAAAGTAAAAGCTCGGCTCACTCAACTTGAGCAAATTTGACCTAAAAATTATTTTGTGTCCGAACCGTCACGTCAGACCAACTGTTGGGATTCGCAGACCCCTATTTCTGCGTTCGACTAAGAATACTATGTAACGGTATGTATTTCTCCTCTTGGAATACTTACCGCTACTTTGGGTGACGTAGCTCAGGAATGAAACTCGCTTACAAATCCCAACTTTATTAATTACTCAAAACAACACAAAGAACACAAAAATTAACTAACAATCAAAAAGGTAGAGTAGACTGGAACTGAATAAATAATTTAGTTAGAAACTGAAACCCCAATTTAGAAAAGGCCCTAAACCCCAATTTTGAGAACCCTTAACATTTTCTTACCTGGACCCAAGGCTCTTGGCCTTGGGCTCCAGCTCCCCCAGCAGGACCCCATCCTCTGGTGCACCACACAAACCACTCCACACAAAAACTGACCCCCTGATCAAGTGCACTGGCCTACTTAAAGCAACAGCTTTCAGTAGGTCAGCACAACAAGTTATTGTTTAACAACACTACCAGCCTACTCACACAACATTGCCAAACACTTCCTCTTTACAATATTTGACCCTCCTATTACAACTATATTGTGACAAGATTACCTGCTCCTGAGGGTCAATCATGAGAGGCCAACGACCGGCCTGTGTGACCAAGATGGCGTTCTCAGTAGACACATTGTCCCTAGGCAGACCACAACTGTTCCACGTCCGTATCTCATAGGGATCTGCCAGCACTGCTATCAAGCTGCCAACACCAACATCAATAAATCAATGTTTCAGATGGGGGCTTTACCAAGGTGTATTTCAACCAACCCAAATTTGGATGAAAGATGGTCAACAGAATGGTTGAGATAACGAGCATAATTTGTTTATACTAATGTATGACGTTTGATTACAGTAATCAAATGTTATACCAAATCAAATGTTATACTATTGACAACAATCAATGAAATCGGTTGTCAAACAAACACCAAATAGAAACCTAAACTTTCACGTGACATCAAACACAAAACGCTTGATACAGTACAAATGTTTCCCTCTTCCTAGGTTCAAGTATACAACTATAGTTCGGCCGCTTAGAAAACGACCTGCGCGCTAATGCTAAACCAATGCTGGAGGAGGTCGCTTTCTCAGCGGCCGAACTATAGTACCTGAACAGTGGAGAAGCAGGTATTTGCAGATCAATCAGCTGTTTGGTCCACAAGCGGGTAAGTTCCTCTCTGTAGGAACTGGTGAAGGCTCCGAGGTAAGCCATACAGGCAGCAGCCACCAACACATCTCCTGTCAGGTTCTTCAATGCTCTACCCAGCTCCTGAACAAAACATCAGGACAGTTATCTTGAAAATGGGATACAAATCTACAGAAATTGCATCTGACAGAAGACAAAGACTTTATTTTGGAGGTAAAATCAGTGCCAAAACTATCAAAACTACAAGTGCTAAAATGTTAAAAGATATATCAGACAATATTTTGTTTGTATTTGTGGGTTCTTTCAACTTTTACTCAATTGATTGTTATTGAAGGCTTTATCACAATTGAAGACTTTAACTCAAGAGACATACTTCTTTTAAAATGTACACCATTAAAGATTTGTAAAAAAAACTGTCATCGTCAGGCCTTAGTGGGAACTGACCATGCAGCATAGTATGCAATTACTGTAAAACAAACTCAACAAAGTTTTTTAATAAATGACCAACTGACCTCAACGGACTGTTCCCACCGCACTTGCTCATCACCCAAGGCCATAGTGAGTCTACCAGCTCTGCCCAGCCTAGCACTACATTGGGACATCTTGGCCTCCAGGCTAGCCTTCTCAGCCACACTGGCGTCATACGTGGCCTCCAGCTTGGCTATCTGGGCCTCTACATCAGCCAAGTTCTGCTGCTTCTGTCTCAGCACTGCCATTACTTCACCTAGCTCCTTCTCTGCTGCCTCCACCCTGTAAAAATATCACAACAGGCCAGTAGCATTGACTTTTGGATACCAAAGTTGAGATCTCATCCTCATCTATATCCCTCCATTAGAAGGAAAGCTGAAGTTACCTTTGCACTTGCAATGATTTGGTGAAAAATATTATAAAGCGTGCGTAAGACAATCTGACCTTGAATGTTCCTCCTATTGTACACCTTTTGCAGAACTGTATCACATTAGATAAATTTACCATCTTATGGGCTATACCAATTGTAGAGGAAACTGCTTTTGTTCCATCTCGGCCTCACTGAATGAAACATAACAGTTTGCTTCTATCACCATTGAAAACACAAAATGAGTCTGCAATTGCTAATTAAAAACTTTCAGACTGAATTGACGCCTGAATCAGCCAATAATTGTTGCATATGCAATATACAAAGAGTGGCGTTCTCACACCAATGCTGATAGCTAAATTATTACTGTGAACAACGCTGTAGCACTAAAAGGGTTAATAATTGTCTTTGTAATCATAAATACTACAACCATCACTCACTTTTTCCTCTTGGGGTCGACAATGCGGAACGTGACAGCGTAGCTATCAATCGCCCGCACCCACATACACATAGAACGGCAAACCTTGCTCTGGGTGGCGACCAGGTCCGGGACAAACTCCGGGTGTTCTATGTACTCCTTGAGCTTCTTCAGCATTGAATCCGGGATACGATCCTTGTCGTAATCCTGTAGCTTCTTCAGGAAATTAACATCTCCCAGTACTTGCTTGGCAGATGCCCAGTCTGTCCTGGAATCAGAAAATGTTATACAAGGTTAAGAAAAGTATAAACCACTAAAGGGCAGGTATCAATTGAATAACACGTTTTTAATGTGTTCAAGTTAAGAAAACACACTGTTAATGATTCAAATTGGACCATAAACTATTGATTCCACTAATTAACTAATTGACTAATTAATTGAACTAATTGATTTTAGTCAGTAACAAAACTATATACTCATTCATTCAACTTAATTATCTTTGCGTTTAAATATATACTATGGTGTGTCAGTACCAAACAAATGTAAGTATGAAAATAAAAAAACCTTTCAATGCAACGGCCATTGTCATGTAGATACTAAAGTAGACATCCGACCAGTTGTAGCCAAATATTCAAGAACATATTTTAATCAGTCACTCACAGAAAGCGCTACTTTAAACCTATATTGCCTCCTGTAGTGTTTGATACTACGATGATTGATGTGACTAAAGAGATGCTACGGTTTACAGCAAGTCTTAGTTAAGTTTGCTTTGGTTAATAAGTTAAAGTATTCGACAGAAATTACTAATTGACATCAGCACACTCTGTTGGTGGGTAAATTAAACATCAATTTTCATCTAAACTGACAACAGCTTCAACATGGTAATGTGATGTCTACATCAGTAGTCACTAGTGATACTTACTTGACCCCGAGCAGTAGACAGACAGCTTCCATGACAAACTTGACCAGATGGGGAGGTTTGTTGAACACTCTGAGTTCGTTGATATCCGCTTTATTGAGACTCTCTAGAGCCTTGGACGCAGCCTCCATGGCAGGCAAGGCCAGGTCTAGGTCTGCCTGGGCCTCATCTGCCAGTGTCTGCATCTCTGCCGCTTTCATCTGGTTGTTGGAATACAACAGAGCCAGTTATAACAAAGTACTTCAAATACAGCAAACAATAAGCATACAATATGAGAGGCGTATTCAGGGACATTCTCATTGAGTTGAAAAACTTGTTATATATTTATGATGTTTTAAAATTAAATACTCGTAGCAGCTGGTCCATATAGAGGATGAATTTAGAATCAAAAGTCAGGGGAGACATTTTTTTTGTCCTATGACACTGGGCCCAAGCCTGTGATTGTTTTTAACATTACTTCAGGCTAGACCTAGAGGTTGCAGCAATATCACTTGGATAAAATCCATTGGTGATTTAGCGGGGTTTGAACCCAGGACCTCAGGGACTGAAGTCCCGCACTCCACTAGACCAGCTCGCTCCTGTTTAGTAGTAGGGCGTGGGGCTACAGAGCCCGAGGTCCCGGGTTCAAATCCCAATAATCACCAATGGGTTTGATAATGCCGTGACTCTCTAGGACTAGCCTTAAGAATGAGTTACACCAGTTCCAGGCTAAAACATAGCGTCCTAGAATGTGAAGGAGGGGCAAAGGATCCAAAGAATAGTACAACATACCTTTACAACCGCCTCGTCATTAACGACCACTTGTCGCACTTCATCCGCTTGTGCTTTCTCTCTTATCAAATTTTTCATCAGCTTTGCAGTGGCTTCAGACTTTATTTTCAGCTGAGGTTCCATTTCCACGAGCTCGACCTTCATTGTTGCCACCAGTTCATTTGTCTCATACAGTTTCTGTTCACAAAACAAATTTATTTTTCATACAGCAATAGTTTGATTATATTATCTTTGCATGAAGCTTTTGATAGGTAGGTATTCATGTGGGTGGGGTAGATAATAAAAACTCTTTTAATCTGTTAAGAAGACAGTTCAATAAAAAACTAATACAACTCATATAAGCTCTAGGCAGCAGCAAATTCCTTTTCCCACATTTCATAGATTAAATAAAATTCAACAAGTTAGACTCACTGTCAGTCCATTTTGTATACGATCCCTCATTTGAGTTGTTTGTTTAGTTTTTCTCTCCAACAAGCTCTTGTACTGCTTCAACAGCTCCAGGTAACTGCTGGGCGTCACATAGTAGTGTCTTCGCATTTCCTCGTAATATCTCACTGTCATGTCTCCAACGCTCTAAAATTTAAATTATTAGAATTCAAGCGATTTTAAACATGTAGGCATACAGCCAAATATTTGTAAACCAAAAATAATGACTTTTTGATTAGGTAGGCATCTTATAAATTTTATTAGAGTTTTATTACTGATTTTACTTCCCAATGTTTTGATTTTGTTTAAAATTTAGTATGTTATGGGCCTTTCAACTCCAATTGTACAACCCTCAATGCTGTAAAAATTACAGTTCAAAATTATATGTCTCAGCTTTATCCCAACCCATTCCTTTAACAACTTAACTAACCTCGGACTCAAATGCCAATAAGCTATAAGACAAATTTGGACTCAATTTTTGCGTACAACTTGGTGGAGCCTTTGGTGGATTTTTCACCACCAACTTTTTGGCTTGTAACTCCGCAAAAAGATTGTTTAACATAACTTCTGAATGGTTTTCAGGGAACAAACTGGCTCTTAATGACAAGAAACCCCAAGAAATAATGTTTAGCTTAAGTAAAACTAATTCTGTTTGTGACTCTGTCAAACTCTTGGGCTTTACTTTGGACTCTGAGCTTGTGTGGGATGAACATGTCAACGCCCAATGTACTTAACTAAACCGAGTAATTTGTCTTTTGAGGAAATTAACATCTGAATTGCCTCCTGACTTTGTGAGACTAGCATTTTTCTCTTTTTTTCAGTCACACGTTGTGTATGGAACCAGGCTTTGGGGTCACTCCCCACAGGTTCAGAAGGTCCTCGTGCTACAAAAAAGAGCAATTCGTGTGATGTGTAATTTGCCTTTTAGAGCACATTGTAGAATATTTTTTGTTGATATGCAGATCATGAGTGTCATCAATGTATATATTTACCAGTGTTTAGAAGCTATCAAATCGATGGAAAATTATCTTATTTTCAATAGAGACATCCATCCGTATAGCACTAGAACTTGTAATGATGAACATACTCCTAGCAATAGGCTAAGTAAAAGTCAAAAGTGTTTCCCTGTTTCAGGTTTCAAATTTTTCAATGCTCTGCCTGTTAGCATTAGAAACTTGTCAAAATTGAAGTTTATGAAAGTGTTAAAGAATTGGCTACTAACAAATCCTTACTATAAATGTGACGATTATTTTGAGGCTTTAAAAGGTTGAAAAATCATGTAGTGCATGGACCCGATGATAAAAAGGTATGCCTAATTTTTATTTACCTTTGCATGGTTTGCTGTTTGGATTTGCAGTTTTGTTTGTTTGTTTTCCTTTTTATATTTAGTTTTATTGAATTTTTATTGTACTTTGACGTAGCCTATTGTACAAACTTAATGGTCTAATATAATCTTTGAATCTTTGAATCTTCAGTTGTAATTTCTGAGCATTACACATAACTGGGTAGGGAAAAATATAATTACTGGTATAATGATGAATACCTGATGTATCGTATAGCACATCTTAGCCATGTCCTCGACCACATCAGCCTTGATTGTATCCTTCAGAGCGTCTTGGGCCACTGACAACAGAGCTTCCATTGGCCAATCCACGAACCAGTCGATTGTACAACAGTTCACTAACGAAGGGAACATTCTGCATCTCCTCCTGGCAAAGATTAAATTGACATGTATGAGTAATAATTGCAGACAACATCATGATTAGTAAAAAGACAGTTATCACAAGATGGATCTGATCATATCTTTAGGTGAGAAACAAGTTTTAAAGCTTGAGCATAAATTTATTTTTTTACATAATTTATTAATTTGTGATTTTTTTTAGATTTTTTATTATTTTTACTAATCCAAGTACACTCAAGGAAGCTGGGATCCTATGAATAAACCAGGTAAACACCAACACAACTAATGGTATCTACTTCCTGAACTAAAAAATATCTTAGTGAACAAAAGATTATCTAGGCAGTTTTGGCCTTCGTTACAGTTTTCACCTACCTAAAAGAATCTCCCACAGGGCTCATACAAATGACGAGATGCAGTTTGTTGCGAACTTTAGAGATGAAGAAGTCAAATATTCCGTCTCTGTTAGCCTCGTTGACTCCAGCCTCTTTGGCAGCTGGTCGACAGGCAATGATCACTTTTTCATACTCATCCGACTCAAACAAGTTAGGAACCTCTCCTGTAAAAATACACAAGTCACATATAACTATTTATGGACTCGTTTACAACAAATAGTATATTTCACTACTAGTCACAAAAGTGACCCATATCGAGCCCTGAAATGGGACTTTTGTGACGAGTATAGAACGATACATTTAGCGTATTATAACAGGGGGTACATATTATAAAGGATGTTATACAATAAAGGATCAATACAAATATTATAAAGGAGAGGTAGTTTATGTGAGCTTGTTTCAGGTGAATGAAAAAATACTGAACCGACTAGGCTTAATTTTACATAAGGTAGATCCTGAAATTGTAGTAAAATAAAATTACTTCCTACTAAATCTTCACAAAACTTAAGTTTAACAGAACAAAAAATAAAAGTCAAAAGTAAAACAACAAATTATAAACATTACTAACCTGAATTTAATAAATTGTTTATGTCCTCAAGAAACTCCTCTACGACAATCTGGGTGTCAGTAAACAGAAATACTGTGTCTTGGTTCAGCGCTCCAGCAGAAAAACACATCTTTCGCAAGTCTTCATGAAAAGAATTGTAATCATAGGAGCCTGTGAGCTCGATCTGAGAACATCTGAAAATAGTGTTTGTTTAGCTTTATTTTTGTAATCTAAACTACAGATATCTCAGTGATAAACTTAAATTGTGTACATTAAAAGTATATCAAGTTTAATACAAAATGTTACTAATTTATTTCTTTTCACTCCAAACTAATCTCTGAAGAACTCCCATACAGAAGAACTCCAATTATCCAAACTCAAACTATCCAAATCACCAATTATTCAATGCCTAATACCTCACCTTACCAAAAATGTGAAAAAACCTAAAACCACAGAAATAAGAATGGTTTTTTAGTAGGAAGAAGCCAGGAAAATCTAAAACCTCTCCCGCGGTCACGAAAATCATACTCATCCTCTGCAATTGCGGCAAAACCGTAAATCTTTTGATCACAAAATTTTCACAGACACGTTCTGTGATCGCTATAGTAAAAGCACGGCTTGACTGGGCCTGTAAAATGCCCTGAATTTCAGTAAGAGTCAAATTATCTGAACTTTTTACCATCCAAATGTGGTACAGAATTGATTCGGATCGTTGGAGTTCCACTGTACACTTGAGTCCCGCTAATCCGAACACGGTTAATCCGAACGTCCGCTTAATCCGAACACGTTCCCGATATTAATTTTAATAAATTTGCACTATATAAAATACAATGGGAAAGGTAAAACATCTTGAAATGAAGTATAAACAGAGTAATCAATTAAGGAATACAATGGTTTGTTTATTACGTAAAGTTTAAATTTACAAATCGTAATAAAAAACAAATAAAACAAAGAATTATTTTGTAAGAAATATTGCACATACCGTACTGAAAAATTAACTTTGGTTAGGCCTACTTGTTATTGGACATGAAGTCCCGCATTGTCATTTGCTGCAGTTTAGTAAGTCTGTTTTTTGCCGCGTAGTTCCGCCATTTTCTCATGAACATCACATCTGCAGGCGTGGCAGTAGACTGTTGTTCTAAGTAGCGAAGGGCAAGGTCAAGCGCTGCAGCTGCCTCATTGTGTGTCACTTTCTCCTCTCCTCCCCCGCCCCCTGGCTCCTCATCACTACCCTCCCCCTCGTCTCCCTGAACATGATCTTGCGTCACTGCTGCTACGATGTCATCGTCAGTCAGAGTCTCTGCACTAGTACCGTCTGCCGCCATCCATTCATCCACGTCCTCTTCTACCGCGTTTTCACAACCAGGAATGATTCGAATCATTGGTAATAAGTTAACTGGGTCATTTTCGGTAGGGGTTTCTTCAAAATCTAACGATTTCCACAACTTTTTCCACGATTTTCTTATCGCCCCAGTTGTCACATTTTCCCAAGATTCAGCTGCCCAATACACAACATCCTTTACGTTCGTTTGTTTAATTTTTTGAACCAAGGGGATTGTATCATCTTCAATTAGGGACTTTAAAAAGTGTTTGCGATACTTAAGCTTCAGAGCCTGCAAAACCCCCTGGTCCATTGGTTGCAATAATGGCGTCACATTTGGAGGTAAAAAGGCTGCCTTAATTTCGCCACATGTTAGTTCGTCGACATCTGGGTGGGACGGTGCATTATCTAGCAAAAGAATAGCACGTGGGGGAATGTCATTTTCTTGGCTAAACCGTTTAACAGATGGTACGAATTGGTCATGGAACCATTCTTTAAACAGTTTCCCGTCCATCCAGCCTCTCTTCTGGTTCCTGTAATACACTGGAAGTGACTTCATGTTTATATGCTTGAAGGCTCGAGGCTTAGCAGCTTTGCCTATCATCATAAGAGGAAGCTTATGGTTACCAGCAGCATTGGAACAAGCCATAATGGTTACTCGGTCCTTACACATTTTAAAACCAGGAGCACGACTTTCTGATTTAGAGGCCAAGATTTTAGTTGGCAGTGCTCTAAAATTTAGGCCGGTTTCGTCAGCGTTATATATCTGTTGGGGGGAATAATTTCCTTCGCTTATTAAATTGTCAAATGAAGCAAGGTATTCCTGGGCCGCAGCCTGATCTGAGGAAAGTTGTTCACCGGTGACAGTTAGCTGCTGAATACCATGACGTTTTTTCCACCGGTCAAACCAACCGGTGCTGGCTGTGAAGGAACTGTCGCCATTTAACAGATTGTTCAACTGAATTGCCTTTTCTTGAATGATAGGTCCACTTAAAGGGGTTCCCCTTTCCCTTTCTTGCGAGAACCACAGAAAAAGCGCTTCGTCAACTTTATCATACTGCGACTGTCGCGCCGTTTGCCGATTTTCAAGGGTTACCTCTGAAGACGTTGTGCAATATTGTTGAAGTTTCGCACGGTTTTTTTTCCAGTCGCAAATTGTAGCTTTGCCAACGTTCAGCTCTTTCGCTAGTTTAGTCACACTTTCACCATTATCCAAACGTTTTAAAGTTTCCAGCTTATCTTTAAGAGTCAAAGTGTTATGTTTACGTTTGTTAGACATTGCACTTATCACACTAAAAACCCGTACACACGCAAATCCACAGGTGACTGACCGCACTACGTAAACAAAAGCAGACTAGATCAAGGTGTTGTTGTGTTGCGATTCTGACAATTGAGCTAGTTTATTGGTGAGGGGAGGGGGGCAGACGTGTAGGCTACTGTGTACAGTCTCGTTAAGCAGTGCGTGCAGACGTACAGTCCGCACGCATTATCGTCACATCATACACGTCTGCCCACCCGTTCATATCGCTCTACGCTAGTTGATTGTTGACACGCTAGATATTGCACAACTGATGCGCTTATTTAAGTTTAACTGTTTTTTTAATTTTGTTGTAGTAAATGGACTATTAAAATTGGTTTTTGTGTATTGCTCGTTCATATTACGACACTACGACCCCTTAAAATTGCTTCCATCTTGATTATCTACATTATTTCGGCTAATCCGAACAATCAGCTAATCCGAACGGGGTTCAGTCCCAATTAGTTCGGATTAGCCGGACTGCACTGTACTTGGACAAAATATCAGCTGATATGTTTTGTTATAGTAGAATTAAAAGTAAAAGAGTGTTTGAGACATCAGTGCTTCGGCTGTGTTCGGGTTCGCTCGGGACGAGTCGGCTCACTCTGAGTTACAGTGTTGCCAAGTTGTTTAGTCTGCGTACTCTGCGACTGCCTCGCCTCTCTAGCACCGCACTACACTGTGCGGCTCATCGTAACATGATGATGTCTTAATTTACTTCTTTCTTAACATGGAGAGCTATACTACTCAGGTGAAAGAGTTTCGCGATGTGACAGATATTACAATTTTTTACATTATTAATTTATCATTTTAATATGGGACAATAAGGCAAAATCCATATATAAAGCCCAAAGTATCCATGAACTTTTGAGTAAACTACAAGTCTCACCCCCATAAACCATATCCTTAATATGTTCGTCATGACGAGAAACCTTGCGCAAAACTATCCATTAGTTCATAAATTGCCCTTTAAGGTCGTAATTGCTTTCCAAAGGAAAATTTCCATATACCTAAGTTAAAAATACCTCAGCTGTACTTATTTGTATGTTATTCCTTCAACTTATTACCTTATAAAAATTATGTGTCATAATTTGTTTGTACAGTATTACTGTATTCTGTTTGGTTTATTTCAGATCAACTTAACCAATTAATATTTTTACTACTTATACTGTTTATAACCATAGTGAAGCACTATTTTTTCCTTCTCCCTGTTGTGTAGCAGGGTTAAAATCAGCTATTATAATATTTAAAAAAATATATTTTTAAATACAACAAATATAATTGAGGTTACTTTAAATCAAGTCTAATTAGCTCAATGTAATTACATATGTATTCCTCATCATCAAAACCATGATTTAAAATCTGTATTATTATTATTATTGCAGCTACAGCTAGGGAGATAAATTAATATATACATTAAATGGTGGAACAATAATTTTAATGTTAGACTATAAAGTAATACATGGATGAAACAAAATCTATTTACATTATATAACTAAGTTTATATGGGAAACATTCTTGATAAGTAATACAAATACTTTAGTATTCCTCAAAGCCTATTACTCTTTCTTCAATCGGTGATAAGGGGAGAACATCACTAAAGTCACTGTCGGTTCCATCTACTTCATTTACATTGTTCCAATTGTCTTCTTCACTAATTCCATCTACTTCATTTACATTGTTCCGATTCTCTTCTTCACTAATTCCATCAACTTCATTGTCACTGTTCCAGATCTCTTCTTCACTCGAGCTATCATCTTCTCCATTGATGTTTATTATCATTTGCTCAACAGCATTTTCCATCAACCCCTCATTCGTCCAAGCTTCTAATATTACGTTCTTCGTATGATCTACTACTTTCTTCCAGTCAGACCCTTTAACATTCTCTATGGCTTCTTTAGTTAAGTGGTCTACTTCTGTAATTGTGAACTTTTTGTTGTTCGTAGCAGCATAGCCTTTTATTTGAGCCCAAATCAACTCGATTGGGTTAAAATGACAATGGTACGGTGGCAAACGAAGAACTCGATGGCCATGCTCCTTTGCCATTTCATCAACTTCATATCGTGTTGGAGGTTTGTTAATTTTCACTAACTCCAGTAATTCTGCTTTCAACATGTCATTTGTTACAGAAATATCATGATTTCTTAGCCACGCAATTATTTCCTCCTTTCTTGAGTTAGAATTAGGAGGTTTATCAACTATTTTTGAGTGGTACTTGGCATTGTCCATGACGATAATAGATGGTCCACTCAAGTTTGGTATTAATGATTCTTGAAACCACTGCAAAAACACACCATGATTCATTTCTTCATGGTATTCATTTGTCTTCTTGGAAGTGAACAATAATAAACAATTCGGAATGAAACCATGAGAGCATCCTGCGTGCAGAAGTATAATTCTTCCTCCTTTTCCAACAGGGGCAGGGAAAGTTCCCTCAACAGAGTCGTCAGTCCAACCTTTCTTTTGACAGTGGCCAGCGTTCACCCAAGTTTCGTCCAGCCAAATTATGTTGTCAAAATCTTCATTTTTTATTTCTCGAAGAAATTTGCATCTCCAGGCAACTATGTCACTTCTCTCCATTAAAACTTTACGGTTGCCAAACTTTTTGTATTTAAACCCTAGCCTCTTTAAAACAGTGGCAACAGAAGACTTGCTTCCTGCAAAGAGACCAGACTCAGCAAGAGTTACGTGAAGTTTTTTCACCGTAGGATACTCTTTCCTAGATAAATAGCCGTAAACATGTCTGCGGATGGCATCTTTTTGGAATGCGTCTAGCCCGGTCACTCTTTTTGTTTTAGCTACTTTTTTATTGGGAGTTCTTAGCTTAGTCCCATTCTCTTCATTTCGTTTTTTCTCGTTACACACTTTTACCACCGTGTTCTTGTAAACCTGTAACGCTGCCGCAGTTCTATTTATAACTTGTTCAACTGGTAGTATTGGTCCTTTGTTAATTTTTTCTTGTTGAAAATAATCTCTCACTCTACACACCATCTCCCGAGATTGACTTCTAAGAGGAACTCCTTGCTTCCCGACTTTAGTGTATGGAACACTTTTCGCATGAATACGTGGTCTACCTCGTTTTTTTATAACTGGGGTAGTGTTTTCAGCCATTATACAGACGACAACTGATAAACTAACAACAGTAAAAATACCGGATGACTGTTTATTTTAAAAAAACTCACAATAAAACACCTCGGTCAATAACACTTTACGGAGTCTGTTTGTATTGAAGGTACGAAAATGACGTTGGAAGTGTTGCTGAAACGTGGCAATGCTGTAGCCAGTCTAACCCCTCCCACGCGTAAGGGCTCGATCCTGATTGGACGGACAGCGGCGAGTTCACCCGAGCCACTTCGGCTATATTCGGCAGTGCCCGCTGCCAGTACTCTTTTACTTTTAATTCGACTTTACTTTTTTTGGACATCTGGAGTTACTTTCAGGCATGTTAGCTGAACTATATTCCTTTTGAAAAAAATCCATACTAGAAAATGGCTTTCCTTAAAAATATAACTTTAAAAAGGGGTACTTTGGCCCATCTCTGATGTTTCTCAGGGGTTCATGACACAATGGAGTTAGACGGTAACTTGCATGATATGCCACTAATTTTGGGTTTTTTAATTTACATTTACAATTATGTATATTTAAAACAGTACCTGTAGCCATTAAGATGAGCAGCCAGCTTGGTCAGGCTCTGTTTGCCCATGCCTCCTACACCCACCAACAGGCCATTGCCTCTCTCTGCTCTCAACAGTCTTGCTAGCCTACAGATGTGCTCAATAGCATCCATGAAGAATATAAGCTTCATCTCTTTTGAAGTCAGCAAATTGAAGTCCATTAGGTAGTCCTTAAACCAATATTATACTATGATTTTATTTCAAGCAGTTCAAGCATTGCCTAATGATCATGTGTACAGAAATTGATGTAACCCTAAAAATGAACTTAGATGATGAGTTAGTTTAGGCCTCTAAATGATTTTAATGATGCTGTAAAGTTGCTTATTTTAGGAACTTTTTAGCGCTTTTTTACTGTCCAAAAGTGTTTTGCTGCCCTCTTTCTAAAAGTCATAGCCACTTTTTTTTTTTTTTTTTTTTTTTTTTTTACGTAATTCACAGGAAAAGGGTAGTATGTTATTACAATTTTAAATAAAACTTGTTCAATATAAATAAAATCATAAACATTAACACGGCAATAACTTTATTCCTTAACCAATTGATAATAATTATGTTTCTCATCTTATTTGACAAAGGGAAATCACATTGGTGACATAAAAAGTTAATAGCCTAAAAATAAAGATAAGGGGGAACAAGTAGCGACATAATAATATCGCTATTATTAGTAATATTAGTATCTTTGCATACGCATATTATGCAGTGCCAGTGAGGAGTCATGCTTGGGAACCGAAGTAAGGAGGGGGTGAGGGGGGTAGTCTAGTGGTGCAGGGGGGAAGGTGGTTAATTTTTAGATATTTTCCAAATATATCTCTTGCACCCTGGGTTCATTTATAGCCGCAACGTCCAAGGAAAAACCATAAAATCCAATGACATACTTCCCGACTGAAAACCCCCTGATAATTCTGCTAGAGGATCAAAACTAGTTACAGGTTTCTAGCTATAACCCTCCCTAAGGAAATAGTAAAAACTGCAATATTAATATTTAAAAACAGTTCGCAAAAGAAAAATCATTAATGCCTTCTAATCTAGATAAGTTTGGATCATATAGTAAAGAGAACCCGACTTTAAAAAAGGGGTTTCCAGCTGAATTGGAACTTAAAAGAGTCCCTCACACAATCAAAGTTTAAAAGGACGATAAAAGATAAATGGTATATGCACTACATTTAGTGAGTAGGCCTAAGTTTTTTTCACTAAATATAATTAACGGGAATATACTTTCAGGTTTCTTGTAGAGACCTAAGAAAAATCCTAACAATTTGAATCCGGATATTAGAAACAACATATGGTAGGGATCCATCCCATTCTTCTTGCGCCTCTAATAATATGGTATCAATCAACATCAACACACTAACCCTTCTCTACCAGAGCATAACAAAAACCTCATAAAAGACACTCAAAATAAAAACCATCCATATTTAATATCTTGTAATATTTTATTCTGTGCAACAACATACCTGCAATATGCCTTTCAGTTTGTCAATATCCTTTATCTCGTCGTAAGGCCTATCTTCCTTGGCAGCCTGAGACATAAAGTCCCCAAACAACAGCAAGGGAGGTTCCCGTATTGGCACCGTGTCTGGTAACATGATAACAGGTGTGCCAAAGATTCTTTGACACACTTCCCTCATCAGATGGTAAAAGTAAGTCTTGTCCTCCAGGTTAATCAGACGGTCGTGAAAAACCCTTAGACACTCGTGGTAGAACAGTCTGCGAACCAATGGGGTGCTATTTAGGATTTGATAGACATTTTAAATCTTAATTAGAAAAGAACAAGTTTGCACCATACGCCATTGAAAGTCTAAAAACATGGGATTGATTTGAAAGAAACAAAAAAGTTACCATAATTTTTGTTGTAGAATTTGCATCAACCACCCAGCAAATTATTGTTATAACTTTCCATATTAATAAGGGAACTTAAAAAAGAGAGGAAAATATTTCAGTAATACGAAAACTAACACTTAGTAACACTCACAAATCATTTTGACCCATAGCAAATCACTGGAAAGGCGTTTGCATGGATGGATAATATATTATGGCTATGGTCAAGTTTACTGCAACTATATTTTTCATTTTCTATAATTTTAGTAGGTAGGTAACATTTGGGGTAACCATCACTTCTGCGTTCTGCCATATGCCAAACATACCTCAGTCTCGTTACCACAGCCATGTGGTACAGTCACTTGCTTGGTATAGTTTTTGAATTTAGTAGGGATCTGCGTTCCCAATATTTTTTCGGAGTGAGATCAGTATGGCTGGAAATAATTTTCAAACCTAGCACGGGTCAGGCCAAGACGAGCTTAGCTTTTATTTTGGCCACTGCAGAAAGTGTCTGCAAAGATGCACAATAGAACTAGCAATTTTGCTGCCATCGCATGTGATGTTTACAGTTTTGCCGCGATTGTAGGAGATGATGATGTCAGCATGACCGCAGATGATGTTGACGAATTTGTGACTGTGATGTTCAAAACATCACTGCAAACACAGGAGATATTCTACACTTCATTGTGACCTCGGAAGATGTTCATGATTTTGCTTTAACCCCTTAGGCTGTTCTTAAATTTCATCTGATTGCAGAAGACGTTCACGATCTAACGACTGCAGAAGATGTTCTAGATTTCACCATGACATCAGAAGATATTCACGATCTTACTGTGACCATAGGATGTGTTACCGATTTCACCGAAATTTGAGGGAGATCATGTATAATATTATGTATAGCCAAATTCAATTGTAGTGTTACAATATTTTTTAAAAATTTTGGACCCAGGCTCAAAGTAAAAAAGTCTTGTAGCCTGCAGACCGACTTGGATTTTATTATTTAGTTGATTTACCTTTTTCTTAAGAATTTACATTTGGAGTTTGCTACTATATTATAGTACTTACCTCAGATCACCAGCAAGAACAGAAATTCCAATAAAAGACTAACTGAATACTGACCTTAGCATGTCATTGGACTCTCTCATGGAACTCGGATCCGCCTGCAGCATTCCTTGCACACACTTGGACAGATCTCTCAGGTTGAAGACATAGTGAGACTTGGCAGGGGTAGGCAGTAGGTCCACAGACACTCTGTTGTATATATCTACGGCTGCAGCTACCAGCAGCTCTCCGAGGTCACTGATGCCTTGGGAGAAGTTGGACAGGAACCCACACAAAATCGACTGTAACACAAAATCCAGCTACCTATATTTTGTTTAAAATTACGTTAGAAACTAGGTTATGAGCACATTTAAGGAAAAAGAACTCTTTATAAAAGTTAAAAGTAGTAACATAACAACATGAGCAGGTGCAGATAGCCGTTCAAAGTAAACGTTACAGCAAGGTTAGTCATCAGAATTTCAATTTGCCATGCAGAGAGGAATAAACATCTGATGATTCTTATAGCTTTACAGAAGTGGAACATGCTAAAATTGTATTACATTGATCTATAATACGTGACAAATGTTAACACTAATAGTAAATGTATAGAATACACGTAATATAACCAAAGGTAAATTTAATACTGTTAGACTCAGACTATTCAGTTAAAAATCTACTATAGTTAAAAAATCTGCAACTTACCTTGAAAATAACCTTAAGTGTAGTCTCAGTGGGAGATGGTATCAACAGGATTGCAAAGTGACGGACGAACCTCGGAGTCAAGGCGTTGCGACCACCACCGGGCGGAGCACAAGCAGCAGATATGACCACATCCTGAATGTCCTTCCAGAACATTTTATCTCTGTCGTACAATCCTTTAAAATCCAAGTATTGTCTGGAAATAAATATTATCTTGGTAAATAATATTATCCTACGTTTTTTGTAGTTCTCTGGTACAGAGATACTGATAGTTTTTCTACTATACAAAAATAGTGGTATTTTTGTACTACCTATACTAAAAAATAAATACCACTACCCAGCTAAATACACACGATGTTCAAGAATCAAGAGATGGTGCATGGCCTTGTCTTGTCTTAATATCCTCAATGCTAATTGGCTTGGGTTTTTAAAATTTTCTTTTTCTTTTGATATATCGATCGAACATCATGAAAGCACATTGGTAAACAAAATTGTTATTTGTTACCTTAACAATTCAATGGGAGGTTGGGCTCCATATGTCTCCAATTTGGGCATATTGACATCATCTACAAAAAAGACAAACTTCTTGCCAGCTGGAGCACCAAGCAATGTTTTCTTCTTCCTCTCCAGCTTGGACTCGAGAATCTCTTGTGTGCGAGCGGAGCTGGTCTGAGCAGAGAAGTTGATAGTGGCCGTCACCCAGGTTCCAGACACACCTAGTCTGTTCAACACTGACTTTGCCACCACTGACTTGCCTACACCTGAGGTCAACACTTGACTTAGAAGAGAGAAAATTTTCTACAAAAAAGCTTAAAAATAAAATCAAAGCTGTCATTCCAGCTGGAAGAGTTCCATAGTAAAAACCAGTATTTAACCTCTTTGAGAGTGAAGAAAACTAATTGTTAGTAAATGCAGCTGTTTTCGAACCACATATAATTTTGCTCTAAGTAACTAAGCGAGTATTTATATGGAGAAAGGAAGGATACAAAATTAACTCACCTGAAGAAAGAATCCCAAGAAGTTAAAAAAAAAAAAACACAAAAACTAACCTCTGAAGAAGCCCCTGAAAGGGTTAAAATATCAAGTTGTGTGTATTACTTTTTTAAGTTCATCTTTCTGGGACACTTTCTTCAGGTGAGTATCTAAGCATTCTGGAATATTTCAGATTTCAGGTTGCAATGTGATTTTTCAGGAGGATCATTCATGTTATGGGGAAGGATCATTGCTCAGCAAGCCAAGTGTTGATGCATCAAAATGGGTTAGGTCACCGACCATTTACCTGTTGTTTCCCATTAAGTAACAGGTGTTCTACATTCCTGGTCTATGGTTACTTGGCAGGAAAACTGTTTCTCTAGTTATTGTGAGATGGGTGTAGTATTGAACACTCTCTATGGATTATTTACTTAAATGGATCAACATTGGCTTGATGACAGTGAAGAGATTGATGTAGGAGATTGTTTACACAATATCAGTGAAGATGAAGGTTGATGGCAAATGTGGCGATACATTTTCTGGCAACACTTGTAGTGCTCATAACAACGTTAGAAGGTGCTCAAGTTATTATTAGATTCTAACTAACCTTTTCCTCAATAATATGCTACAATTAAATATCATAAAAAAAAACTTTTTCAACTTTTTTTGCCACTCCCTGACGACATATTTTAGGTAAATAACTACTAACCAGGAATTGACATTTTGGAACAGCCACACTCTCAAAAAGGTTAAACTAAATCATGCTAAAACATTAAACATAGCAAACATCAGAGTACAGATAAAGATAACAACAAAGCCCCTTATACCTGTTATGCCTGTAAAGAGCACAGGTTGACTGATAGCCAGAAGTTTCTCCATGATGTAGCCGAAGCGCACAGTGTCTACAGTAGGGACGAGCATCTCAAAGAATGGTGTTTGCGGGTCGTATTTGTAGGTGGGCGTGATGCGAACCCAAGGCTCCAGCCGTCTCTGCGCTACATTCAAGTAGAGATCCCACAGGTCACAGCCTGCAGGAAGCCTGCACAAATAAACAAATATTTTGTTAAGGTTTTTTTTTGTTTTTGGAAGGAAACTGTTCAAACCCTGGTGTCTTACTAAGGTTGACCTTTCACTAGACATCATCATGAAAACCTAATGAAAAGTTGTATCTGGGTCTAGAATCGACTTCACTAGGAATCGAACCAACAACCTTCAGATTATAAGGTAGTACGATACCAATTAGCTACCCAGACAAAACCATTGTTTTAGAAACCACAAACATAGCAACTTAAAGATCATGCCTGTTGGTCACAAATTGTTATTGAGAGAAATCATTACAATTTGATGTTACAATTAAATTTTTTTATTAGGCCTACTATTTGAGTGTTTGCAAAAATTTTAAATAATAATTTTTTCATGACGTCCAAACAATTATACGTTACAATTTAAGTAACCATGTAAAAAGGAATTTGTATAGTACTGAGGTAATATAACTGCTTACACTAAGCTATTACCAATTCTTAAACTTTTGCTAGATATGTGGTATTCCTACTATCCAAAAAAGTGAACATTACTTGAATTGAACATTATTTTGATAAAACATCGATAAAATAAAGATGACATATAGATACCATGAAAAAAAAAAATAGCAACAAAATCTTTACTTACTGAGCATCTGGATTGTCCTCAAACTGATCGTGTACAAACTTTTCAAATGTTTCCCGTGATGAATCAATCAAATTCCCACCGACAGACCAAATGTAGGAGAAAACAAAGGTCTGACATATGATACTGCGTGTTCGGCTCCGGTCTAAGGTTTTCTCCAGTAGTCCAGGCTCTCTTATGAGGCTTTCAAACATGTTGCACATCATGGTCGCTTTACTTATCTCAACCTAGAGTTAAATTGGAGAAAGTTAGTAACATGATGGCATTAACTTTTGATACTAAAGTAGACATCCCATCTATATAGGTCAGCTGTCACAATTTTTTTTATTAAAAAAGAACACAGTTAGTTGTGTGAGCCAGTCACAAAATCCACTAGAACATGCTAGACTGTTTTCAATAGTAAGTTTTAGGCAAATGTCTTCAATACAAAACACAAATGGAGTTTGTTTGGACATAAACATACTTTTTTAAGTAGCTAAATATTGTTAACCATTAATATTTACCTACACAAACATTCCTAAAAAACTATTAGTTACAAGTAGTCCACACTATACACTGTGTTCAAGCTGCTGTCAGGGTGAAATCGATTTTGCAATCCATTCTAACTAAAAAGAACTTATTTACTAAAATTATTTTAAAACATAAAATATTTTAAAAATTAAAGTGAAGTCATTTTGTTTTTACTAAATACTGATCTTACTTGAAAAAAGTGTTAGTAATTGATCTAGTATGTGTGAAATTACCCAAACCAGAACTATGTAGTAAAACTTATATTAGCAACTCACGTTTTTTTTTGTTTTTTTTTCGAGTATAATTTTAGCAACCCTTTTTAAAGATTTTTGTGAAAATCACAACATGCAGAATACAAAATATTTACTTTCATGGACTTATTAAAATTCTTTAATAACACAACACGACTCCGAGTTCATATTCAGACTTACCTGAGCGATGGGGTGGACGCAATGTTTTTTGACAAAGACGAAACCATTTTCAACATATTTACTGAACAGTTCCAGAATGAACGGAGCGTATTCCACCAGTAAAGGTATTCTCTCGACAACACTCTGCAGCCAGGAAGTGACGTAAGGCAACCACTTGAGCTGGCTGGGGTCTACGTAGACCATACCACAGCGGCTGACAGTGGCTGGTGATGCTTGCGCAAGGTCCATCACCTCGAACACCATGTGTACCTGTCAGTCAGAAGAGCATTCATTGATAAATCATTGAACATCGACAAATCAAAATCCTTGATCAAATGTCAAATACAGACTGTTTGGGTCTTTGTGACTAGTGAACTTTTTATCTTTAGTGTAAATTTGGAAGACACTATGGAAAATGTGTTCATAAAACACCAAGATATGAAGATAACCATAAAATTATTGAGGCAGTGAATTTAGATAACAAAAAATCGTCAAAAACAACAAATACACAAATACAAGCTGGAACTAGCAGTCTGTGTTAGTTTACTGTACAAATTGTCCTTTCAGCAATAACTCCTCTTTTTCATGGTGTCTTGCAATATATTTTGTGGTCGTTTAATGAGCTATCTTACTAAATATTACAGTCTAATTGTTACCCAGGAGGTTAGTTTGATGCGTTCAGAGTTGGCGAGACACAACATCTTGTTGTCATCCAACACCGTGTTCATGTTCTCTATCCACACAGCATCCACCGGGCCATCGCACACCACCCACTGGTGCTCCTCTTCTGTACACTGAAATGAGTGAAATATCAGTCGAGAGAGTTATACAATACAGAGACAATTCTCCTCCGCTAAATCACCGATGGTTTAGTTTTACATATAGAAACTACAGCTTTAGGTGGGCTCTGAACCAGCAAATAGGAGAAGTTGTTGTTTTTTATATTGAGCCTTGAACAACAATAAAAATGTTCAGCTTGTAAAAACGAACAAGAGTAAAACCACAGCAAGGTAAAAATTCCAATTATTCTATGGTATGAATTGCATGTATGGTTATCATCCGTGAAGAGACCAGATACAGTACTTTAATTTTAATTTTACATATTTATATATATACTGCAGCTATAGGTGGCTTACCAGCAAGTACTATGATAAAACTATATAAGTTCTTTTCTTTGACAAAAATTTGTCGGACTTAAGTAAACACTAGAGAGAGATTTAAATAAATATTTAAATTTTGATATTTAATTCACCCTACTGTGATACATTAGAGTCCCGCTATTTGCTATTCCGAACACCACTATTTATAAAATCTGTCTATCCCAAACTTAAGTTCGGCAAATATTATTGAGAACACATATTCTACGGTCACGGCAAAATCAAAAATATCTTTGAAGTCACGGTGAAATAATGAACATCTTCTGCGGTCATAAAAACATCATAATCGTCTCCTGCGATCGTGACAAAACTGTGAACATCATCCACGATCGCGATGTTTAAATATAACAGAAATCCGCTTTCTGGATTCCCGCTAACCCAGACAGGTTTTGGTCCCAGTTAATTTGGAAATACCAAGATGTTTCTGCGCCAGAAAAGGGTGAAACAAATGTGGAAATTTTAATTTAAATATCAAATGGATTTTTGTGGAGAGATTTAAAATACTGAAACAATTAAAATCACGTAAGAGGAAGGAGGCCTACACTTTTTCTTGTTAGGTAAATTTGTAGCTTAAATAGAGGCTCTAAAATACTAAGCTCTGACTTGATCACATAGCTTAAAGCTTGAAAAATTTCATCTAGGCTACAGCGATTATAAAAACTCACCCTGACGGCAAGCCGCACAAATATCCCCAACAGACCGTCCTTCCACTCCATGGTGAGCAGGTTGACCTCCCCGTACAGCTCCCCCATGGCGACAGACTTGGGGTTCATGGTGTACACGTTGACAGGACGATAGTACTGACCTTCCACCTTGCGAGCATGCAGCTCAGTCAGGGTGTCTTTCAGAACCTAGAGACAACAATCTACCAGTATTACGTTTCTCTTCCTTTTCAACATTTTCAACAATAACTAGCACCATACCCCTACAGTTTTTAGGATTTGCTGCAAGCCTAAGGCTGATGGACTGCATTGAGGGTGCTACAAAAAGCCGTAAGGTTGAAATAGCCGGGAATAGCTTTACCACAACCCCCAATCCAAAAAAAAACAAAAACTAAACTGTTTTTGTCTTTTATTTGTGTTTATATTTTATGTAATGATGAATTTGACACCATTCTTGTATATACAATATATACTAATAAATAAAGATGTTTTGAATTGAATTGAATAGTGCATGTAACAAAGCTATACAACATCGTACTCACGTTGAGTGTGGTAGTCTTGCCGCCGCCAGTCGGACCCACTGTCATGACTCCGTGTCGCACTTGCATTGTCTCAAACAGCTGTGTGGCCTTGGTGAAGGTGCTGGGCTCTGGCTGAAGTCCCCGGGATTCTATCACTTCCTTCATCACCACATGCATCACTCCATAGTCCTGCTGTGGCAACTCTACCCCAGGGAACAGGTCGTTCAGGATGCCCTTCAAAAAGATAGATATTTAACTTATACTGCAGTAGAAATAGTGTTTGAGGTGGAACTAATTGCAACATAAATTATTCCAGTTAGAAATAGTAGGTAATACACTTATAAAAAACATACTAAAAATATACATTTGTACTGTTACGCCAAATACGGTTTTTTGGCCGCCATTTAAAAAAAGTGTAAAATTTTAAATTATTGTTAAAAAATCTGGCTTGGTATCAAATTATAGAACATTTCATGCTGAAAAAGAATATAATGATGGTTGAATTTAAAATATACTGTTAACAGTGATTCACTATGGGCAAAACGGTGCATTTAAAAACGTGGCATTTGAAAAGTTTTTTATTTATAAGTTATTTTATACTTTTAAATTTTTTTTTTTTTCATTTTTGACCCTTAAAACATAAAATTCCCCAATTTCTCTCTAGACCTTTTTAAAGAGCTTAAAAAACAAATAGTTAAGTATATCAAAGGGTTTTTTTTTATACAATTGTTGGTAACGGGGAAAACTAAAAAAATTGGTTATTTAAAATCCCCATGTTATCCTTATGGAGAATATGGTAAAAAGTTGTAGTTTCCTTGTTTATGGATATATTTTGATAAAACTTTGCAGATTTATTTGTTTTATACTAAACAATTAATATTTTACTAAAAACACACTTAATTAGTTTCCTTGTAGCAGCAAACCTTGGTACTCGTTTTGTTAAACCTAATGTTATTTATTTAATAGACTAGCAACAGAGGCCATTGTGGTTAAATACAACGGTCTCTAGTAGAATAATGGTTATGAAATCCATACACCACTTTTGCTGACTAATATTTGGTACAGAATAAGCTCATAACATTAGAATCACACACTTAACATAAGAAACACACTTTAAACACTAATGCAAATTGTTAACAACAATATTTAATCAATCAAAAATCAATTAAATAACAATATAACAAAAAGCTGTTAAATTATTAACTGATTTTCGTATGATTAGCTTATTCATACTGGTAAATCAATTATTGCCATCTATAAAAATAATTGGTTTTTCTTTTCCGAGTCGGGTTAGCTCTTCTACCAGATCGATTATTTTTTGCCTTAAGCCGGGTTTACACTATGTAGCTAAACCTGCTACATAGCAGATTTGTGTAACATCTAGCAATGTTATATAACATTTGCTAGAAGTAGAAAAAATAACTTTACAAAAGTGCTATATAACTATATGTATAGGCTATGCTATAGGCTATATGTAGCAGATCCTAAAATTGTGCTATCCATCGGGAGTCGGTAAATATCAAAAGAAATACGTGCTACATCTAACATCGCCACATGTAGCAATGATATACATTAATTTCCGTCTAGCATCTGCTATATGTAGCATTTAATGCACACAGTTCACAGTAGTAGCCTTCTGGGTGCGAACGGTTTTGCTCAGCGATCTTTGTTTACAATGGAAGGACTGGAAACGGAATGTGACAGTGCCTAGGATCGGGATGATATTATAAGCTTAATTGAACTGTTCCGTAGACAACCGGCGTTGTGATCATACGTTAAACGTTTTTGAAGTTATTGTCGCCTTATTTAGCGTTTTAAGGGCACGCTTTACCCCTGACGTGCAACCGAATGCAAGGGTTTGCAAGATTTCTGTTTTCACCTGCTACATTGAAGGTAGAATCAAAGTTAAGGTCCCATATTAAAGAGGATGAAATTTTTTATATTTCTTTGTTTCTATATTTCAATTATTTTAAATACACACCTTATAAACTTGAGTTGTAGTACAAGAAAAAAGGGTCTTTTCAACTAGCCTTAACTTAAAAAAAAAGAAGTTTTTTTTAACATTTGAAAAACGCAGAACTATAGATTGGTTTTTGTACTACTATAAGCCGCTTAGAGTGCGTAGCTATCATTATTTGTTCATTCTAAAACAGTAATCTTGAAAACGTCTGCAAGCGCTTCTCGCAGCGCTGTCCAATGGTGAAACATAGCTACTGAAGCCCGAGCTGAGATTTCCGAGCTGAGGTAAAGCGCACCCTTAATTATGGATTGTCAGCGTATTCGTCGTAATTAAGATCCCATAATAAATCTGCTACACTGTACTTATTTCTCGAAGCAAGAAGCGGTCAAACCTAAAACTTGCTAAAATCTTCGCTCCCGTCTGACTTCCAAGATCACCACGATAGCTGCCACGAACAGTGTCTCTTCAGCGCACTTTTCGATATGGAATGCGAATGAGGTTGTGCTACATATAACAAATTGCACGAGCACCAGAATCACTAAAATTGTTTGTAAATTTTTCATACAGCAAAAGTTATAAAGCAATGTTATATACACAAAGTTATATAGCAGGTTTTGCTACATAGTGCTACATTCCTAAATAGTGTAAATCCGGCTTTAAACTAAAGCTATGGACGCACCATAGATTAGCTATTAAGCATCAGCACTCATTTTGACGTATATTTTGAGTTATGCACAAAGTGCCTCCCTGTACATTACTTACGGGAGTTAAATTTGTTTTTTTCGAGTTCGTTTGGCTCTTCTACCGGACCGATTTTCATATATTTGGTCTCAAAGCTATGCAAGCAGATATTTGTCATCATTAATCAATCAAATCAGTTGTACAAAGATTTTTAAAACTGAATTACTAGATTTAATTGAAAATCAATTAAGACAAATGGAAATTCGTTTAGTCTGCAGGTTTGCTGCGGCGGGGGTATTTTGTACTACGATCGTATTTCTAAATAGTGCTTATAACACCTATTATAACATTTTTCAGCATTAAATTTCCTATAATTTGATACCCAAAAAGTTATATTTACGAATATTAAAATTTTTACACTTTTTTCAAGATGGTGGCCAAAAATGTATTTTGCGTCACAGTACGGATGTATATTTTTAGTATGTTGATTAGATGCATACTACCTACCATTCACAGCAAAAATCATTTATGTTGCAATTTGTTCCACCTTAAGCTATATTTTCGATTATTTCTCTTGCACTATTATGCAAGGTTTTACAGTTGAGATGGACATTGTGATGCCTCAGCGACCACAGGAGATATTCAAGATGTTGCTCTGATTTCTGAGATGATCATGATATTGCCACAATTAATTATCGAAAGTCATGATGACATGGCTTTAAAAGATTTAAGAGAGCACATAGTTAAGTTGAGCTGCTAGATCACTTGACAAAAGGTTAAGGGAATCTACTCTCTGTCACACTATTTCCCCCACCCTAAGAGACTCTTTTAAATCTTTGGCCCTGGAAGCAGCTCTTCACAGTTTGCCTAACTGGTTCTTAGAAATATCAGCTAGAGTGCAGAGACTGTCTGCCTAAAACTGGAAACAAGTCTATAATAGAGATGAAGTACACCTTCTTGAGATATACTCATATAGTAAATTTGAGTACTTCCCTTAGCTAAACAACCTAACTCCATTAGACCTTCAATAAAATGGTAGCAGTGGAAGCACCCAAATCATAAACTGTCTTGGCTCAACCAACTTTTTAAATTCCTTCTTCATTCGTTGTGGAGTCTTGATCACACAGCTCTATGTAATTAGTTCATAGTTAACATGTATAAAATGGCAAATTGTTCTAAGCGTTATATTGTTGTGGAATCTGGCAACATTATATAAATATACAGTGTCTGAGAGCCATTCTACAAACCTGGAACAGCTGAGCATCATCCTTCAAAAACTTTGGAAGATTGCTATCTCGCAACGCTCTAATCAATACGACATTTTCCGGTTTGTCCACATTTTCTCTCTTCAGTGCTCCGGCCATGACCAAAACACTTTTGACAGCCCTGCACAAAAAAACCCCTATTAAAAATTAAATTAAAAATAAAAATCCTAAAATATTCAACAAACCTTCGAAAACCAGATGAGATATTATGAATATGGCACAAAACAGAGTGCAGTGGAAGTCACCTGTCACAATTGTTGAGATTAAAGGGAATGAGTAAAGTAAGTCACGTGTTGCATAATTAATCTACATTAAAACCATTAGTACATGTTCCTCCCAATTTAGGTCCCAATTGCTTTATGTTCTGTAACTTAAAAAATTTATACCGTTCTCTTATTCTCTTATCAATGTTTTGTTGAAAAAATATCACTTTTGAATTATCATAGGCTAAAGAACATTCAAAACAGAGACTTGTTTCTTCAGAGTTTTCCAAATGCTTGTTCATTGACAGTTTTTGAATGACTAAGGTTAACAACTATCATCACAACAACACTTTCTGTTGAGCTTTGTGAGTTAAATACATAAGAAACCTAGAGGTCATACAAAGAACTCTTTCTTTTTGTTATTATTTTGGAACTAATAAAAAAGCGGGTTCTAAACTACCTGAATCACAAAATATTTATCTTCCGTACCTCATGCCAAAGTCATAATGATCTTGTTGAGAAAGCTGTTCACTACAAAGTTTGTACATTCTTGTCATCTTCTTGGCGAGATTTTTGGATGATTCAAAACCTTCAGAGTACAACATCACTTCGGCAATCAGTCCTAAAACACATATTAACTCTAAATATTTAAAATTAAATGAAGTATAAAACCACATTTCAAATAATCTGATACTGACGCTACCATTCTGAATCCCCAGAATTATTTGTTGGTTTATTTTTCCTTATTTTTAGAGTAGTTCTTCTTCATTTTCAGAACAAAAACCATATATTCTTATAAAGCAAGCAATAAAAATACACGAACAGTAAGTAAAAAAGTAGAAGAATGCCTGATCAAACTTCCACCTATCAACTTCTAGCTAAGCATTATACTGTTTACACTAAACTCTCAGTCTTCTGGCAAGAGCCCCTTCAAATCGGTATCAGTGTAAATGCTGATTTGTCACGGCTCTCATCGGAAAACCAAGAATCAAGCGATGACCTTAAGAGATGTAGCCTACGAATGAAGTTCATAAAATAGACTGGCCTCTCCTGCTAAGCTAAGCTACTGACTCGTAATGTCCTCGTGGGTTACACACCAAACCTGATGATTGAGATGGGATGGACACCCTACACCTACAATGCTATTTCCTAGAGTAAGGTTACACCTTAAGGTCAGAATTCCAGGCTGCCAAATACGGCTGCGTTTTTTGGCACCGACTGAGCACAAAAGAGTCAAGCACAGCCGTTTTCCTAGCAGGTAGTTAGGAGACCCCGCGTATAGATCGTGCATACATCGATCAGAATTAATGGTCTAACCACAAAACTTAACGCCCTAGTATGAAATTTCTAGGGAAGTCCTTCAAGTTGCAGAATATGTGGGGTCCATTTTTCACCTATTTTTTTTTAATTATACTTGCTTGGATGTAGAGATTTGTTTCCTTAATCATGATTGCTTGGGGTTGCTTAAAGGGTTAATACAAAATATTAGGTAACTCACTAGTGATGGGCGGATCCAAGAAAATGTCGGTACCGGATCCGGATCCGGATCTTGAAAAATTCGGATCCGGATCCAGATACACACTGTCATAAGGGCGGGTAAAAAAAAACGTAATTAACAGAATGCCAATTTAAATCATACTTTTATTATTTTTTATCACGAAGCATCGGGTGAGATTAAAATACTAACGGGATATTTTTGAGACGAAATTATAGGCCGTTAGCTTATCATCCAGGTACAGAACTAAAAACGAGAGGTGTGAAGATATCCGAAAAATCGGGCCAGATTCAGTTCGGAAAGATACATGCCATTGCCATATATGTTATTTATTTGTATCAAGAGACTAACACTGAAACATGGCCATGCCATATAAGTTATTTGCACCAAGAGACAAAGAGTAAGACATGACCTTGCCATATAAGTTATTTGAATTAAGAGACAAACACTGAGACATGGCCTTGCCATATAAGTTATTTGCATCAAAAGACAAACACTGAGTCATAACCTTGCCATATAAGTTATTTGCATCAAGAGACAAATACTGAGTCATGGCCTTGCCATATAAGTTATTTGCATCAAAAGACAAACACCGAGTCATGGCCTTGCCATATAAGTTATTTGCATCAAGAGGCAAACACTGAGACATGGCCTTGCCATACAAGTTATTTGCATCTAGATACAAACATCGAGACATGGCCTTGCCATATAAGTTATTTGCATCTAGATACAAACATCGAGACATGGCCTTGCCATATAAGTTGTTTGCATCAAGAGACAAACACTCGGGGGAAAAACGGTCTTGTATATGGATACAGACAGCTTTGTGTTAGTAAAAAAATCAGGAAAAAATTGGGGTTGTACAGTGATATAGACAGATTTGTGTTGGTAAAAAATCGGGGTTGTAGAGTGATACATACAGCTATTTGTGTTAGTAAAAAATCGGTGTTGTAGAGTGATACAGACAGCTTTGTGCTAGTAAACAAATCGGGGTTGTACAGTGATACAGACAGCTTTGTGTTTAGTAAACAAATCGGGGTTGTACAGTGATACAGACAGCTTTGTGCTAGTAAAAACATTCGGGGTTGTACAGTGATACAGACAGCTTTTTGTGTTAGTAAAAAATTGGGGTTGTACAGTGATACAGACAGCTTTGTGTTTAGTAATCAAATCGGTGTTGTACAGTGATACAGACAGCTTTGTGTTGGTAAAACTCGGGGTTGCACAGTGATACAGACAGCTTTTTGTCTTAGTAAAAAATCGGGGTCGTACAGTACAGACAGCTTTGTGTTAGTTAAAAAAATCGGTGTTGTACAGTGATACAGATAGCTTTGTGATAGTAAAAACTCGGGGTTGCACAGTGATACAGACAGCTTTTTGTCTTAGTAAAAAATCGGGGTTGTACAGTGATACAGCCAGCTTTGTGTTAGTTAAAAAAATCGGGGTTGTACAGTGATACAGACAGCTTTGTGTTTAGTAATCAAATCGGTGTTGTACAGTGATACAGACAGCTTTGTGTTGGTAAAAACTCGGGGTTGCACAGTGATACAGACAGCTTTTTGTCTTAGTAAAAAATCGGGGTCGTACAGTGATACAGACAGCTTTGTGTTAGTTTAAAAAATCGGTGTTGTACAGTGATACAGATAGCTTTGTGTTAGTAAAAACTCGGGGTTGCACAGTGATACAGACAGCTTTTTGTCTTAGTAAAAAATCGGGGTTGTACAGTGATACAGACAGCTTTGTGTTGGTGAAGAAATCGGGGTTGTAGAGTGATACAGACAGCTTTGTGTTAGTAAAAAAATCGGTGTTGTACATTGATACAGACAGCTTTGTGTTTAGTAATCAAATCGGTGTTGTACAGTGATACAGACAGCTTTGTGTTGGTGAAGAAATCGGGGTTGTAGAGTGATACAGACAGCTTTGTGTTAGTAAAAAAATCGGTGTTGTACATTGATACAGACAGCTTTGTGTTTAGTAATCAAATCGGTGTTGTACAGTGATACAGACAGCTTTTTGTCTTAGTAAAAAATCGGGGTTGTACAGGGATACAGACAGCTTTGTGTTAGTAAAAAAATCGGTGTTGTACATTAATACAGACAGCTTTGTGTTGGTAAAAAAAATCGGTGTTGTACAGTGATACAGACAGCTTTGTGTTAGGAAAAAATCGGGAAAAAATTTGAAAAAATCGGATCCATCAAAACCGGATCCAGCCCCCGATCCGGTGCCGGTTCTAGCTCGGATCCGGCGCATCCGGTAGTCCGATATCCGGATCCGACCATCACTAGTAACTCACCATAGTCGGGTACCATCATAGCCATAGGCCTAAAAAGAGATTTCAGGTTATCAGGTAACTCCGTACGACCAGCATAGCCAGGATTCATGGTGATAAAGGCTGCACAAGTTTTGACCAGTTTGATTTCTCGTCCTTCAAACATAAATCTGAAACAAGCAAATTATAATATAGCTTTCTAATTATTCATTGAGATGTTGACATCCAAATACTATTGCTTATTTTTACCATTGACTTTATGAGTGCCGGTTATTATTTTTTACTGGTTATTATTTATTAGTGCTATGGTAGATTTACATAAGGTAATATCATAAAACTGTCACCTGTCATGAATATGGTTTCATGTTCACTGATGCTTAGCTTGCTGAAGTATACCAAATCTTTCTCCCCTATTTTAGGTTAAATATTATGCTGTATACTTTACGCTTACCGGAGGATATTTAGCAGTTAACCAATAAATTGTTATTAGTGTGAAAGTTTTAAGGTTGACAAAATAACAACTTTTTTCCATCCCAGTTTTAAGAACTTGAATAGGTATCACTAACACCATATTTATAAAACTATTCTTTTTTCATGATGGGTTAGCCTCTCAAGTCAAGTCAAGTCAAAATTATTTATTCCATCAAATAAAAACAATATTACAATACATTGTAGTAAGTAAAAGGAATTATTCCCCCGAATAGACTATTGATCCGTGATCGGGGGAAGAGTTAACAATATCATCAGTCCATGGGTATTGTACAATTGTTCGAGTCACTGCACTTTTTTATTTTAAACACATAAACTAAATAAATCTAAGCTCTAAACTAAATAACTGTATTTTAAATGCTAACAAAATTTTAATTCTAAAATGAGGTGAATTACTTTTTAACATTAAACACAACGTCGCACTACCCTGTACAAGATTCAGCCCATTGTATTTATTCCAACACAATGGGCTGAATCCCATACAGAAACAATATGGATTACAATGTTTTACAAGTAAAATATAAAAAAAAATATATAAATATAAAAAATGTGATCGATGACTGAATCATGACAATATCAGACGTTTGGAATATAGACCGACTGGATCAAGATAATGCAAATATAAAAGGTTTAATTTACCTGTTGCGTCAATTGATCCTTAAGTTATGAAACAACTACGGCCGTTTCGTGCGAGCACATCCTCAGGCTCGCTTAGCAGCACAAAACGGCCATAGTTGTTTCATAACTTAAGGATCAATTGACGCAACAGGTAAATAAAACCTTTTATTTAAAACTATTTTCACACGTGGTCACTAGTATCGCGGTCAGGTCAATCGACAACGCGACGACAGACACACAGTAAGATGTCTTTCTTTCTCCGTTTTAGAAGATGTCTTAACAAGATGAGAAGACCCCTGAAGATGCCACCCTAGCTGGCAAAATAAACAGGGCATAAACATCTTACCTGACTCGACAACTCAAGCAACAAAAACAAAGTTAAATTGATAAATTAGTTAGTTAAAACTCACCGGGAAAGTTTTGAAGCCTTTGCATTCCTAATTGTTATCAGCTGTTGAGCTATCACAGATAACACTTCAATATCAATGCGGTTGAACTCGTCAAAACAACACCAAGCACCAGACTGGGCCAATCCGGAGAAAAATCTACCCATCATCTGTAAATCAGGAATTGAATCATTGGCTTGCAGAATAGTACTACAGTAGACTCCCTCTTATCCGGACTCCTCGGGACCGAGGCCAGTCCAGATAACCAAAAACTAGTTAAAACGGACTGTTTACTGTGATATTCGACTTAAATTTAGGAGAGCATTGTATTTAAACACTGGTCTCAAATCTTTCCCACGAGAACAGTTGTTTCAGTACTGCCCACTTCTTGCCGATCTAGTCCGGTTAAATCAATGTGCTGATAAAAATTGTCTGGTTAAAGAGATGTCATTTCCGCCGAGTGTAGTCCGGTTAAAAGGTGTCCGGATAAGAGGGAGTCTACTGTAATTACTTTGTGTTGGGCTATGCTGCTACACAATTTGCTTTGGACGGATTGGAGAAGTTTTGTCCTGCCATTGTCAGAGGGACATAGTTACATGATATACTCTTTATGCAGTTAGTAATGCTGAGTTAGTTAGCATTGTACATTACAGCCCAGAAATAATCTTGGTTTTTTGTGCTGTTGAAGCTTATATCACTCGTCCAGTTAATTAATATATTTTTTAGCATGTTATTTTCTTTAAGTACTACTACTTAAAGAAAAGAAAATAAATGGTTGAGCAGTCAGTTCTCTCTCTATGATCTAAACATTTCTCGATTAAACCAAAGGAAAATTTACAATGATTGATTATATTTAAAACAATCTTCAACCAAGGACCTGAAGAAAACTCCCAACAGCCTGGCTAAAAAGTCCCAGACTCAACTTCTTGTGAAATTAATCACAGAAAATTAATTTTCAGTATGTGAAATCAACTTTAAATTATCATTTCTCAATGCATTTTACTTCCTGTGTTCTCATTCAAAATTTTAATCATTGGCATAACGACATCACTGATATTTTGGTACCCAGTTTGGTGAAATTAGATGTTAAACATGATTTAACTGTGAGCTACATGATTACTATTACCAAATAATACAAACCGTTTAAAAAGCGCAATGCCTTTGTAAAGAATTTAGTCTGGAAATATTTGAATTTTCGATAGTCACTGCGGCGGCCACTAGGTGGACTGTTGCAAGCGCACAGCTAAGTCAGCTGCCTGAGTGAGACAGAGCAAGACAAAGAATTGGCGGCTGTGCAAGCGATCGTATCGGCAGCAGCGCAGCAAAGCTCATATTGGCGGCTAAATTCCAGTCTGACTATTCTCCATAAGCATTTCGCTTCTTAAAGAGTTTGTATTCATTGCTATAACTAAGTGCAGAATATACCTTGTAGTCCAGGCCTTCAGAACAGTTGAACACTATACACTGAACTGCTAAAGACTTAGCCAAATCCTTTGTTGACTCTGTTTTCCCAGTGCCAGCAGGGCCGGCAGGCGCACCTCCTGAAATGTAGGTGTTAGACAGTGTAGACAGTCATGATACCCTATTCTATAAATTATTGGAGATAGCATGATTCTTCAATTAAAGCATGGATGTAAGCTAGTTCGAATTTGAGACCAAAACAGTCTCTGAGACCATACAAAATATGGGAATGAATGAGTGAAAATGCATTCAATGTGGATATTTTTTTCATAACAAGGTTCCCTTAACTAACAATAATCACTAAGACATACCCAGGTCAAGTTGTAGAGCGCCCATGAGACACAAGAAGCACTTGTCAGTCAGTGGAGTGATGACCAATCTCTCCGCAGCTCCTAGATACTCATACCCGTACACATAGCTGGCATTGGACATACGAGCTACACAGTTGTCAATCTCCTTCTCCCAGTAGTACCTCAGCTGCTTCAACCACTCAAAACTTGCACTGACAATAGAACAATGATGAGCTAGTTAGGTCCCTCTTAACAGTCACCATGAACATTATTTGATTTTGATAAAAAATTGGATTCATCATGTGAACCTATACATTTATTCTAGCAAGCTGGGAACCAGCATGATTTGTTTATAGGAACAGGGTTTTATGAATTATATATTGGGCTTTCCTGTTTTTGATCCTCTAAACGTCAAATTTCTCAATTTCTTTCCAAGCCATTTTGTAGAGCTTAATTAATCAAATAATATAGTACATTGACGTGTTTCGAATGCTTGATGGTTACGGAGAAAATCTTTTGTAACTAACTGCACATTAAAAAAATGATAATAAATTAACTACTGTAGCTTGTTTATTCATATTTTTTGTTCAAATTTGGCGTGCTTCATTGTAGGTGTTAGACTCCGGATTGCCAAATAATATTAAAAAAGGTTCAAATACCTGCTATTAAGCAATCCAACATTGTTGTAAACGTAAACACAACTAGTTTCGGTGCCTGTGTGGCACCATCATCAGGCTGTACAAGGACGGTTTTCTTTCTTCATACGAAGAGCGTGATAATGTTAACACGAAACAAAAATAATAAATAAACATTTAAACACGACACAAACACGAATACGAAACATTTATGGTAACTGATCAGCTAAGAAAACAGACGACGCTAGCCCGGCGGAGTTCAAGTCCAGACTGCCATAGCCTGATGTTGTACAGCCTGATGATGGTGCCACACAGGCACCGAAACTAGTTTTGTTTACAACAATGTTGGATTGCTTAATAGCAGGTATTTGAACCTCTTTTGGCGTGCTTATTTGTTTTATACTAAATTACTAAACTATTAACAATTCACTAAAATAAATTTCCTTAACTTTACTGTAACAGCAAATCTAAGTACTTGTCAAAACTAATGTTACTTAGATAGGGAAGAAGGTAAAAGAAAATATTTAGTAAAAATCCAATCAGGCAAATGGAAATTAGCTTAGTCTGCAGATTTGCTGTGGTGGGGGTATTTTGTTCTCAAACTGGCATGGGATGAAGTAACTTCTTTACTGTAGGTAGGTAGTCTATCTGAAGTCAAAGCTAAGTATAACTATATAACATCAAAATAAACAAAGTTACCTGGAAGTGACATTTTTCTCAATGAGTCCTGTTACAATATCTCTAGAATGGACGTCCAGTGTGATGATACTTTTCAACATCAGTCGGGTCAGTTTAGCAAGGTCTCCACGCACCATAACTGCCAGGTCATTCAAGTCCTGCAAAAAAAAAAACGTTTGCATCAATGCAGAACAATCTGCACAATTCTGTTCAAAGCTTAACCCGTGCCTCACAATTTAGCAAAGTATATGCCCTAGCTTCTGTAAAAAATTTAAAAGCCTAGAGTGGACCCTTAAGTATAAAATAAAACAGCAAATACGCTTATGATACTCCTCGGTAAAGTAGCTATATGTCTGCAAAACAGTTTAATTGATCTAGTGCTTTTAGTGGGATGAAACGACATATAATATAACAAACAGTAAAACAAATACTTAAAACAAATACTTACAGAGAAGCACTCAACTTCGAGAGATTTCAAATCACCAGGGTGTCTAGATTCTAAAGCCTTGTGCACATTTTTGCACCACATGGTCTGAGCCACAGTACATGTTATCTACAAATGGAAAAACAAAAACAACCAAAATTAGGTAAAAGTAAACACAAATTATCATTGACATTGTTTGAAGACCTCCTTGAAGGCCATGATAAAAATATTGTATGCACACACAAATTTTATTTTTCTTCACAAGTATTGTTTTTTTTTTAATGTGTTTATGTTTTTACTCAATTTTAAACACTGTTGATCAAATTATTTAATTGCATTTCATTGTTGGACCATGAGTACGGGACCATGATATCCTAACTTTGGCTAGTATTTAATAACTTATCATGGCCTAATATTGGACTAGAACGTCACTTTGTACATTTTGAATATATTTATAAAAGCTCTAAAACTCAATAAAGCGGTAATAACATAAACAGTAATCAAAATTATATTCAGACTAAAACATAAAACACATTTAACTGTAAGATTAAAAATGTTGCTATACAATATATTATTTACTAAACTAAACATCGCTTAGCCCTCACTCACTTGACACGGATGGTACAGAACCCATTCAGTGCGAGGTCGTTTGTTGTAATCTACGAGCGCTTCTCTCATTTCCCTCCGCAAACACAAAAACATCGCCTCCTCCACTTTACCAAGCCAGTCCTCGACATTTCCTCGAGCTCTGAGTCCCTTAAAATAAGGTACAAAAATGAGTAAATAATTCTCATATCCAAACTAAGAATTGGAATGTTTAAACAAGTGAGTAATGTTTTAAATAAACATTTTTGAATTTTTAGAGACTATGAAAGTCTTTTTGTGTTGTTGATTAACAAGTCGAGCAAAACTGCTACCAGATCATATGGGTTTGGACAACTTTTCCTAAGAGTTGTTGACAAAACTTTACTATGCCTCCGGTAAAAAACACCCCTGAGTAAAAAAAAAAACAACAAAAACTAGATTTCACACTCCACTGCCCAGTTATTGGTGTGTTGGTATTATTGTGTTTGTTGCATGTGAATAAACAATCTGCTTCCGTATGGTCTACAGAGCAGGCTACGATCTGGCTACAATCCTAGAGGCATGGAAATGTGGGATGAAAGAGGTAGCTAAAGCATTGTGTGTATGACTTCAGGACCATTTGTCTTGCCAACAACAGTCCTAAAACTTTCTAGAAACACCTGGTGAATTTCAACTCATTTAGATTCTTTACCTTGCCCAAAGAAACAACTTCGTTCTCAGGAGATATCATGGCCACAATGTCAGTGGTAAGAACAGTTTCTAGCTCTACATTTTCGTCTCCCTCCACAGCCCCTTCTGGCAGCACCTGCTTCGTACCAAACTGCAGCTTCGAGATAGCATCAAAACACTTACGCAGATGAGGCTGCACTGCATGTGGGTTGCGGGTCTGTAGGAACAGAGGAAAAGTCAATTAGTTTGACTACTACTTTGACTGAAGTGCTTGATATTGTTACAGCAAATTCCAAATCTATTCAGGGGAGTATAATTGAATATTGTAATACGACAGTGTGTCTCTCTAACACTGTTTAGATGATGGTTTGGATCAGCTAAGATTAAAAGCTTGGCAGTAGTGAAGTATTGTTGCATGTAATATTAATATACCTGGGGAATCTCGTAAGGTGCCCTTTGTCCAGTATTGACTCCACACAAACTGTTGGTTCTACAATGATGAAGTGAACATTTTCCCACAAAACCAACCCCAATGAACAATGTTAAAATGTGTCAAATGCTTTCTGAATATAGGATGTAACATATCCAGTGGTTCAATAGTTCAAACTTCACTGTTGTCAAATGGAAACATTTGTTATATCATACATAATTACAAAGCTCCTTTTAATACATACATGCATACATCAACATTATATCAATTAAATCAATTAATTATTTAAGATGGGGACGCCACTATGTATGTATTTTAACCCTAATATTAGTGTAGGATGAGTGATGCGAAATTAAATCCTACAGCAATCCTGCTCTCGACAAAGCACAAGATTTAGTTTTCACCATAAAACTGTTCTTTTTAGAGATTAGATCATAAAAAAACAATTTTTGGCAGAGAAAAAATATTTGTTGACATGTTTGGCTTACCCTCAGATTGATTCTGTTAAGTTGTGAAAAACTCAGTATGTGTAAACCTTATTTGTCTATATATCTAGAAGACTCCAGTGAAAACTACAATGATCGTAGGATAAGACTAGAATTATATTTTTACCTGAGCCAAAATTTCAAGAAGTTCCTCATTAGACAAGAAATAGAACCTTGGAAAAGCGACTCTCTTGGTTTCCAAATATGCCTCCAAACATTTCAAAATTTGATCCAGCAAATTATTGTTGTTCTGAAATGTTTCTAACAAGCCAGGATGAGTGCAAGCTGTTAAAGCAAGTGGATTCTGAAAAATACATTATTTACAATTATGTAATATTTATCAAGTTGAATTACAACGATAATGATTGACGATTGTACAGAATGAACTATTCTGTTTATCATAAGGGATGGTTATAAAAATATTTATTCCCTTCGTTAATCCAAGTTTGACAACTCTGGAAAGCTTAAAGTAACATTTTTACTGTTTACATAAGCTTCAGACTATGTATCCCTAAGTATTAAGAAATTGTGAATAACACTGTTCTAATGAACAGACTACACGTTTTCACTGTACCTTGGCTGTACGCCTCATAATCTCCTTCCAAGACTTGTCGACTTGTAAGAACATCTTTGACTCTATTGGTAACTGCCTCTGAATATCAGGTGCTGAGAATATCGATTCCAAGTACAACCAGTTGGTCTGGCATTCTGACCACGCATCCTGAAGCAATGAATAAGTACAATGTTACTGTAGGAGTTTATCCCTTAACTTGCACATGTCAATAATGTTAGTAGGTAAAATTCGCTAACCTTATGGTTATGCAAATGAAAATACAGTTATGCAGAAATTTTCCTAGAATTTTGAAAACTGATTTACTATTTGAGACAAAAAATAGCATTTTATTCATTAGTATTCTGTGTAATTCTTGCACCTTGTTTTGGATGCTGAAAATCAACATCGGTGCCAGGACCAAAAGCTTTAGGAACCTGCCACCTTAGTCCGAATGAGCAAAGTTCTACTGAAGGTTTCAATCATCAAGAAGTTTTAACAAAATAATATGCCAAACAAAGTAAAAATTTAAAAAAAGTAAAAAAATAGGATCAACAAAATAATAGTGATAACTATCTTACCAAGGTCTTGGCGAACAGGTCAAGCTGCTTGATCCAGTCGTCCACCCTAGGCTTGATGGGGCCCACATGACGAGAGCTGGCGATGGTGTTTATGTTGATGTTACTCTCGTCCAGCGTCGTCTGCACCTCCTCTGTACTGCCCAGGATGTACACATCCTTCGCCTCCTTGTGAGGCAGCACTACCAACTCCAAGGCTCTCCACGCCTCCTCCACCTGATAACAGACTCTAGTTTATCCCTTGAATTAAAAAGTTTTACCCTCACTTCTCAAAATTAAATAAATATTTTTTTGTCTCTTTACGAAATATTGGAGATCTACCGCCGTTGAGGTGAAATTGTAGGTGTCTCTTGCGATCACGGGGAAATTGTGTACGTCTCCTTCGGTCAAAGTGAAATCGTGTACATGCTCCAAGGTTACAATGACATCATCACCTCCCGCGGTTGCAAAAAATCGTTAACATATTTATATTAATTTTTAAGCCCCTGAGCTGTAGATAATAATTATTGTAGAAATAAATTACTTAGGTCAATAGCTCAATACTGGATGGTTAATTTCAGTCATTATTATAGGTCAAAACATGTTCTGACTGAAATTCACCATCCAGTATTGAGCTATTGATGTAAGTAATTTTTTTTTACAACCATTAACATAGTCGCAATGACGGTGAAATCGTGAATTTTTCTATCATGCAATCTTCGCAAAAATCATAGTTGTTATGTTTTGTTACAAAAATAATTATTACATTTCTTTAAAATCATATCTTGAAATGTTGGCAAGAACAACTTTACACAAGATTGTTTAAACCAGTTCTTAAATAGAAAACCCAACAATAACACAATTTTCAATAATATGATCCTCCTAATTTTGCAATTGTTATTTAATTAATTTCCTACATTGTTAAGCCAAATTGTTTGTTGGAATGTGTAAACTTAAACAAATACTAACTTACTTTACTCTATTACTATTTTCAAATGATTAAAGCTATTACACAATTGAAAACAATAATTATTGACCTTGAATAAAAGTGCCTCCAGACTAGCTTCTGAGCTGGCCTGACCGGATATATCTTGCAGCTCGTTGGGAACCGCAAACACACCTAGCTTCTCCAGCATCTCCAGAGTTATGGTGACTTCAGGTGAGAACTTAGTATTGAGCACGTGTTCAATCGCCATCCAGTGTCTTGCTTTCAAGCATGGGTTCCTCAATGTAGTGATCACTTGCAGCTGAAATGTTTTGGGAATATATTTACTACTATTTATTTTGAAAACACAAATCACAATACAATACAAACAATTTTCATTACTTTAGAATTCATTTGTGACACCTCACTTATATCGGTATTCATAGCCCATACACCTTAAGTGTTCAGCTATTTTTTTATGTTCTCAATAGAATTACCACTTTTTTTAATTAGTTAGAACTGTATACCCTTATTTTTGTGGTTTAACAATGTTGTTAATTAGTTTTGCAAAAGGTTAATCACGATAAAAATCAACCAAACCTACTATTTTTCAAAATTAATATCAAACGTTGAATAACTGGTTGGCTGAGTGGATATAGTGCTACGCTTAACCTTAAAGTTGCCAGAACGATCATGAGGAAAGGAAGTTTTTTTATGTTTAACAAGGACCCAGTTGTCCTTGATCATTGGGCAAGATTAATGGTTCTGCTGAATAAGCTGATCTTGGTCAGTAGCAAAGCTGTCATCTCATCCTTCACTTCACTCATCTTCCCCTTAAAATACACACCCTGATGAGATCCAGATCTACAAATTTAATTTTAATCAGACCAAAATTACTCGAGTTATCGTGTTCACAAACAATACATGAAAATTTAAATGAACAGTGTTTCTGGCCTCTGTGAACACCAAAATTAAATCGTAAATTGTCACCGGGTCTTTCCGTGACTACAGTAATAGCTTCTTCCCTATAACCCTATAAGAAAATTAGTTATAATTGAATTTATGACTTTTAATTTCACTAACTGGTAATGCTTAAATAATTCATCTACCATCCCACACCTCTTCAAACAGCTGTTCCTCAAATCAAACCAACCTTGTCTTTCATCCGCTCCACTTTCTCTCTCAGTTTGGGAACGATGAAATTCTCCGGAAGGCCTTTTTCAAACTGCACCACATACTTGATGAATCTCGCCGTCGTCTGGCCCAGGTCCTCGGGTGACAGTGTTGAGAAGTCGTTGTGGAACCAGTCGTCCGAGTATCTCTCCCAAGCCTCTACACTCTCCCACAACAACTGTCGTAACTTGACATCCGCCACTACCTCGTCTAGGATGTCAAACCTGGTCACCTCCACCTGGTTAACACATATTGTTTAGTTCTCTTTTGAAAATCCATTACCACATGAAGTATTGTGTAACATGAATTATAGACCATGTCAATTAGGATGGTGTGTCAATGTGTCAGAGAAATAATGCATAGACTGCCAACAACACTGAAAGTCAAATTGGAATTCATTGTTGACATGACTATACAAAATAACAAAAGCAACATGGTGGGGAAAGTTTTTTATATGCATGCGAATCACGCTCTTGCCACACTAAATCACACAATCCATACCAAGTAGTGTGTTACATGATAGATAAAACATAATCCCTTAGTAGACTTGTCTGCCTTATGGATCAGCTGAAGACATTTTATAGTTGGTTCTACCCGGTGCCACTAGGATCGTGTTTTGTTTACAATTTGTTTCTTGTTTTTTCAGTTATTTAAAACCTCGTTTAACCAAATAAAACGATCTAGTCATAAAAAATCACTTGTCCCCTAGCTATATAACTAAACAACAAAGAACAAATCATTGAATTAACCCTAAAATAATGTAAACAATTTTTTTCAACACTAGGACTCAGTGTTACTGTTACTGTTAGGACTCAGTGTCATTATGAACTAGACACAAAAAATGAGTTTGAAATTTTACAATGAGGAGTACTTGTGTTGCTTAGTCTATGGTTACATCTTTTCACTCAAAGTTATAAAACCTAGACCTAGAACCATTCCTAGCAAATTTGGTTGGTAGTTACCACGTTCCCCACTAGCCGTCACATTTCTCTAATTGAATGGTCTCTTGCCACCTGGTGGAGAATGTGTTGATACAAACCCAAAGAAGTAATGTTGTACTGTTTCTATTGTAAATAATAACTATACACAGCATACAAAAGTTATTCTTCAGCCGATTTTGTTCAGGGGGCAGAACCTGTTAACGAGTTAAAAAGCACACAGTTTTTACTTCATGAAAATGATATACATAATACATGTAAATAAGTATTTACTTGGCGAACAACAATACCTTGAATTTCTTCTGGTTCTCTTTGAAGTTTGCAGCTTTTTTCAGACACTCTGACAGCTGTTCAAAAAGTTGGCCCAAAGTTGTTTGCGCAAGCTCTGGATTTGTCTCAATGTCTACAAGCCAGCTTTGCTGAAAATTGTACGATAACTTAAGATAGGTATACGTTGTTAAGGTCAATAATGAATTAATAATCCATGTATACGAATCAAGAATTTTATACATGATTCATAAAATATAAATTGATCCAAAGAAACAGTTTTTGACCTTTGAGGAAATTTACTAAAAATCTAAATTAACTACCAAAATTGAACTAGTCCACAAAGAAGTAGGTTATACTTCTCATCTACGGCTATACAAAATCTTTTACTAACTGACTAGTCTATGGACATTAAGGTTGCCATTCCTAAAAATACTTCTTGTGCGCCTTACACACTAATCCTTCCGCTTGCTGATAACACACTTCATCAAAGGATAATTTTACAAGTATACACTATTGTATAAAGCCATTGAAACGGTGCTTTATACTTTTTACTTTATACTTTCTTATGAAATGGCGACCATACAAAGTAGGTATTTTAAGAGGCGGCAGGAGTCAAGTTCTAAATCGTAAATCTGCTACTCCTGCAATTGTATGTTCCGCAACCCGCACGGCTAGCGTCTGACCTTGAGCAGTACATTGTACAGTAGCTGTGCTGACAAACGGGCAGTGGCAGTGCCTACCTTTCGAAATGGTCTATACTGACTGAGGGTCGAATGAACCTGTCGTCTTTTTACACAAACATACTTATACTCAACCTACGATGCTACACTTATTTTGTTATGTAAACATCAAAAATATATATGGTATTTTACTTGAAAAGCTGTTGATTATTACTATTATTATTACTATATTATTTTGGTGAATCAAAACTGATCTAAATTTAAACATTTATGTTCATGCTAATTTACTTCATAGCATCAAATTAAATGCTGATCAATGTTATTTTTAATTCCCAACACTGTATACTGTATATAACAGGAAAAGTAGAAAACAGTTTTTTTATTCTCCTGAAAAGTTTGATATTTCGTGGTTATAAGGTTTGTAAATTAAGGTATAGACTATAGTGGAGAAAACATTAAAACGTTTACTTTGAAATAGTAATTTTAAACATTTACAACAATTCGATTTACAACAATTGATACAGAACAATAATACAATACTGAACAATAAACAAGTACAATAATTCCAGCTTTTTCATAGTTTTACAACAACCATTTTCATAGTTTTACAAGTTTACTCTGTTTTTTCTGCCTTCTTTTCTTTAGATTTTGTCTGAGCCTCTACTATATACGAAGGATTCCTTATGGGCATAGACCGGGAATGCCGAGGGTCGATGATTTCGGGCAGAATGCAATTCATGTAGAATTTTTTTAGTTTTGGCAACATTTCTTCCTGCCAAAACTGTTCATCCCGTTCTATTGTTTCAGTTTTTATTCCCTGTGGTGTCCATAGGCAAAATACGCACATTCTTCTCTTCGTGACTTGAAGTTGGCCTTGAACTTGATAATAAAAGTGGTGTTTTTTCTTTATATCACCAATTTTCCCATCCTTAGTGACTGCCCAAAAGGTACATTTCCGCTTTCTGATAGCCTCGTCAGGTGTCATATCTTTAGCAGAAGATGGACATTTAATTTCAACAGTTCCATCTTCATTCAGAAGGCCATCGGGACTTGCACCGAGATAGGGGTTGTCGCGGTCTATGAAAAGGCCGCATTTACTTATCTTTTGACCTAACACGTTTTCGAGTTCTTGTCGAGCCACTTCTTCATTTTTCCTACCATAGGCCATGGCCTCACAATCAAAAACGGTGTACAAGATTTGTTTTACGATTTTTTCACAACCCGTTGTTGCTCTCATATTGCAAACACGCCCGAAGTTCGAAGCTGTCAAAAGATTTCGGCGAATCTCTAGCCACTCATTTGAATCGCTTTGTTCCACCGTTTCTCTTTCAATTCTTTTGAATTCTGCTTCAGACTTTTGTAAGGTTGCTAAAAAATCACTTTTTTCTTTTTCCATAGTATTTTCATCAATATCGGGCCGTTGTGCTTCAATACCGTAGTCTTTTCCATCATCAATTTTTTCCCGATCAAATAGTGTTTTCCTGCACCTTTTTCTTTGTCTTTGGCTGTCCACCTTCTTCTTCCTCTTCATTGCCACACTTTTTGCGAATATCCCTGGACTAGCACCGTACATTTGTTTGTGCAGCTTGTAGTGTGCTAGTCCAGAGTTGTGTTGAATGACAGCAGCTGTACATCTAGTCTGATATGAACCACTAGCAGCAAAGTTTATTCTTTTGCCGCCAATAAATTTGGCAACAATTGAATTGAAATGTTCTACATAGTTGCTAGTGACGTCAGCAAGTAAGCTGCGGCTGTTGCGGCTAACATCTCTGAACACATCAGTGATCAATGGGTAAAGGCCCACTGTGACAAGATCAGGTACTAAATTGTCATCTGGCCGGGCAGTAGTGGGGTCCAGCTCGCAAAAATACCCCCTCTCAGCACATTTTTTGTGTTCGCCGAACACGTGACTTGGTATATTCAATATATCCATTCTGAGATTTTCGATTGCTTTACTTGATTCCTCTTCATTGATTGCATCATTCCTTTCCTTTTTACGGTGCTCAGTGGCTTTAGTTACTGCCATTCTGCAGCGTAACAAGTTGTCACCAATTTTCTTTCTGAGCCAAACGGAAGGTTTGCAGGTTTTAGAGGCTGCAATCGTTTTGAGTCTAGTGCACATATTTCTCAAAAGATGGTTCTTGCATTCTATCTTCTGAACAGTGCAGTTTTTGTAGGGCCGAGAATCAATTATTTTCTTATATACGCTGGAGTCCCCATCGGCAATAAGTCTTGCATACCGTACATTGTACATTTCCTCACTCTTTTTGAACCCCTCGCATACTAGAGATGACTCCATACTGGTTGAGCTTTGCTTCATGCTCCAGTTTTTATAGCATGTGTGTTCTTTTGCTGGCTCCCCTCTTGTATCAGCTCGAGCACAAGTTGTGCAGTACTTGTTTTTTACGCCAATAAAGAGTACTTTCCGCGTCCGAAATCCAACAATGGCAGCCTGAAAAAAATCCTTTGATTTATTTAGGTATATATGTATGTACAGGGTGTTTTTTTTTTACTTGCATCTTTATTTATGTAAAAACTGCAATAGATAGAAATATGCAGTTTGCGGGAATCATCTATTTACGTAGGGGGTCCAATTGTTTTGAATTCAACGTTACATTAACATTCCCCCCCTTTCCTCTCTGCCACCAACTTTTTTTTAAATAGCAAGGTACTCCTTGTGGCATATCAAATGAAAGTGCATGAAAAAAGAAAATTTTTAATGAAAAAAAATTGAAAATCGGTTAATGAATTTGTGAGATAATCCCATATTCCCATAATCCGTATTTCTATCTATTGCGGTTTTTACATAAATAAAGATGCAAGTTAAAAAAAACACCCTGTATGTACTATGTATGTATATACTCATTCTGGTATGTATGTGTGTATGTTTGTATGTATGTACGTACGCTTAGGTGTAGTTTGAGACTATTCCAGGGCTACAGATATACAAGGGCTGGCTCACTCCTTTGATGTTAGCGGGCGCCGCCTGATCCTACTTCCCATCCCCCGCCCCTCATAGTGACGTAGCGCTGTTTAGACAGCGAACACAGAATGTTTGCATCGGCGGGAGGCGCGACGGTAGCCTAGCACGACAGTGCATATGTCGCTCCTTGCTCGTCATCTACCATAGATATGCGTTGTTATTACAATATTGATGGCATCTACGCGCATATCAATAATTGTATTTATAATCATGTAGTTTTATTGAGTGACACTGTACAGTATTGTATGTAGAAAATTGCCGCATGAACCAAAAATGTTTCATAAGATATACAAATTGTTTGAAATACTTCAGTTTTGTTAGGTTTTTAGCATTGTTTTTAAGTGTTAATTCGATGTTTTAAGTAAAAATTTAATTTATTAAAATTTAATTAATTAAATTCAAATTAATTTTTTTACTTTATTAAAATTTATAAAAAAAAAATGTGTTAATGTAATTATTATTGTTTAAAGAGTAAGTGAATGCAGGATCACACTCACCACTCCAGATAAGGAAGAATAGTTGGTGCGATATGATCGTTTGCACCAGGCACCATCAGCGACAACTGTAATTAGCGGTACGCCGTCCTTGTCAACCTCGTTGTTTTCCCTCGCTAGCTGAGCCTCCTCCGCCGCTGCCGCTTCCATCTCTGCCGCCGCAGTCGCAGTCCAACCCTCTGATAACTGTTCTTCAGTTTTTTTGAAAGTCTTGTTGCTCATTGCAGGGATGTCGAGAGTGCTGAGGAATTCCTCGAGTTGAGCGTGGCCACCTCCTGTTACGATAGTACCACAAACACCAGCTTTGTTCACGTCCATTTCTTTTTCATTAATTTTCTCAGACCAAATAGTCTGTTTGAATTTACACATGGTACATTCAACGACAAACCCATTCCTTAGTCCCTGTCTAACTTCAGACAATACAACCATATTCGAAAAATTACAACCTATTGGGCTATGATTGTCCAACATTTTTATCTGGTCGATAAAATCAGCTATGTTAACAATTCTTCTTCCACTTAATTTGAATTCTTTCTTGTTAGGCGTCTTACTAGGGTTTGCAGATTGTTCTTCCGCTCCATGAGTTTCTATAGCTTGTTGTTCTGCCAAAGCAGTATTCCTCTTCCTGGAAATATACAATTTTTGTCAGATAATTTTCCGACCCAATAATCACATGATATTAGGCTTTAATTGGGTGGTAATTTTTTTAATTGGGTGAGAAATAAAAATAATCCAAAATATGATATATTATGAGTGTGTTTGTTGGCGGTCGCCTCACCCCGCACATACACCCGCCAGTCAAGGTCGCTGCTGCCCTTTCAGCTGCCAAGCCACACTGATCTCCTGGCGTTTTCCCGCCTACATTTACCTCAATCGGATTTTTACCGTCAAAGTAATAATGAATTATTTTACAAAAAAATTAATATTTCTTGTACCTCCTGTAATTTGGGCGTGTTTTGCAGTCGTGTGGATTTTATAAAGATAAGGCAAACCCTCACGAATATTAATTTATACAATTATTTTCTTATACAATTTTTGTTGATTCTTGAGTCAAGTTCTTAATCCTCATTCTGGTATAAAAATAACTAATAGTTTATTATTTTACGATTCATCAGAATCAAGTTAGTTTAAATTTACTTACTTTCTTCTGTTTATTGCTGCTTCCAAACTAGCAGGAAGTCTTCTTTTCTTCTTCTTCGAAGGATAAAACTTCAAGTGACCCATTTGATAGGTTGCTGAAAATTTCCTAGCGGACTTTGGGTAAATGAACTGCAGACCGTCACCAATATTTCAGCTTAGCCACTATATATATCTACTAACTACTGTAGGCTATTAGCACTAGGCACTGTAGATAAGCACTAGTTAAAAAAGAACCAATAATCGCATGCGAAATGCGAAGTGTTGCAAAACGGAATGTAAACTAATATTTGCTACTGGGACTGGACGACTCTACTGTTTTATTAAAAAATGCAGTATCAGAATGGTGAGTGTGCCGCATAATATTCTGTATTTAGCAATTCGAAGGTGGTGCTATCCGGCGGGAAAACGCTAAACTACCACCGCACCCCGTGAGACCCGCAACACACGTTGACACAGTTGAAATTGCAAGCTGTTTTATAAATTACTAGATAAAATATTATAAACGACAATTTGTAAAATATGGTATTGTACTTTCAACGGAAATATGTTGTAGTTTTTATAGAAACTGGTTTTAACCTCCTAAGTTGAGAAATAAATTTTGTATGATGGAATTAGTTTCAGTGAAATAACCTAAATCCTTATGGTAAAATCAACTTTGTAATTCCGAAATAAAAAATTTAAAAAAATTTTTTTTGACACGTGTGACATATCAAATTGTACGTAAGATAAAACCTCACAATAGTACAATAAACATTTTTGGATAATATGACGATTTCGTGTAGTAGCATTGGTTTTTTATCCTTGGTCCATGCTAAACTGAGGAGCAGAGCGGTGAGCGGCCCGGTTCACTCCCGCCGGCTCTTAAGCCAAGTATGAATGGAGGTGAGTGTAGGATGAGTGGATCTTGCTGGACTATTCAACCAATCGGTAGAAGGTATTGGGAAGATGAAAGCAGTAACATGTGCAGTTCTAGGTTCTTGGACTTTCGCTAATGTGGCTTCATTATAAAACGAAGGCTTAATCATCCAGAATGAACAGAATGAATAGTATGACATTTTCATACACAATACTCTAGAACAAGCTTCCTAGAATTTGTTTCCCATACTTAATTTCAGATGTGACAGAATCAAACACATGTTTCTTTTCATCGTCATTAATAGAGCCAAGTTTACAACATGTTTTTTAAGCAAAAGTTAACAACAATCCGAAGAAAGCTTTGTTCAGCTATGTTTTTCAAAATGTTTAAAAAAATTCTACAGTGTTTACAACAGAAGTTTTGTTCATACAAAAATGTACAAATATTTGTAAAGCACTTTTTTATAGCCACGTTCACAACGGAGTTTGCAACAAAATGTTTTAGGCTTTGGTTGACAACACTGGTTTTTATGATATGTAACGCCGGTGCAACAACAGAAATAAGAATTGCAAGGTATAAAAAAGGTGGTAATATAAGATAACAACGACAACAATTATAAATTTAGTTATCATGACAACTATTGTATCCACTCTGATGTAAAAGTAAATTTTTCTGAACCACAAATTTGTATTTTGTCAAATTAAAATTAACGTTACACATAAAAAACTATTAAATATAAATAACCGAAGACAATCGATAATCACGTGTCACATCATGTCAATGCCAGTTGATGGAAGATGAAACTTGTTGATTTTACCAGGATTTCAAGGTCAGTATTCAATTTAGAGCTCTCACTTGTCCATAAACTTGACACTTTAAAACAAATCGAGACTTTATTTCAATAGGTCAGGGGAAAATGCTAAAAACAGTAGAAAAGGAAATGTGAGGAATTGTACAGGATTATTTGAAAGGGGATTAAATTCATGGGAAACTCATAATAACAGTCATTGATAAAGATCTAAGATACCTCAAAATTTAAAATTCCTCCAACTTGCACTTAGTAATGAGGATTAGGTCTCTGTCAGTAACCAAATTTAAATTTATTTTAATCCAAACGAAATGTCTGGGTTAGCGAAGTGGTTATAGTTCTCGCCTTCAAATCTGAAGGTCGCTGGTTCGATTCCAAGCGAGATTGTTACCTGGCCCAGATACAATTTATTGGGCTATCAATTAATATAAGAAAAAGCCAACGTTAAATAGTAAATAACCACGCCAGAGCAAACCAGCAGTAAAATATTATTAGCTTAGTATAAAATTTGCCAAGTTTGATCAAAATATATTCATAAACAAGCAAACTACAACAGTTACAGTAACTTACTCTCCATAAGAATAACTTATTTTCTCCATAACCATTGGACGTAAAAAAACCTTTCATAGGATACTAATTTTGTTTCTTAGCTGTAAACAATGATTTAGAGAGAATTTGAAAAATTCTATTTTATGAGGCTCAAAATAAGAAAAACAAATTTTTACTCTATAATAACCCCGTTCCCTTAGTCCAATCATGCTAGTTTGTGAACTCATTTGAATAAATGTAGGTTTACGTTAAGATTCAACCACTAGAGTTATCATGCTAACAGACAGATATGTTTATAAACTTTACTTTTCACATGGAAAATCCTATACTCTAATATGGGCAATGTTTGCTTGTATGTATGCTTGCTTGCTTGCAGAAAGATCTCGAAAACGGCTCCAACGATTTTCTTCAAATCTTGTAAAAAGTTTATTTTTGGCCTAAAAACGAGTTTCATGCAGTTAGAACTGCCAACAAAAATCTAATTACGTATAAAAACAAAACTGAAAGTCACATTTTGTTAACATTAGTCTTATGGGTTGCTTAGTAACCATGTTGGTTGAATTAAATAAGAAGGAAAAAGTAAACAAAAGACTTGAAGTTGTAGCATGTGTTCATAATAAGCCAACTACCCAAAGTAAACTAGCAAATTACAAATACAGTACAAAAGGGAAAGCATCACTTGTTATTGTTACTATTAAGCAAAGATTATACTGAATTTTGCTCGATACATTGTAGGCCTAGTAAAGGTAAGCAGTACACGAACTGTAGGAACTGTTTATGACGATTAGATTATGGTATTTGCAATCCTAAAATGCTATGGGAAGGGTGGAAAACAGGTCCACGACGTAGGAAGGGGTGAAGGAAGTAGTCAAGGCGAGTAGTCCGGAGTGTGGGAACTGTTTATGACGATTAGATTAAGGTATCTGCAACCCTAAAATGGAATAGGAAGGGAGGAAAACAGGTCCGTGACATAGGAAGTGGTGAGGGAAATAGTCAAGGCGAGCTGTTCGGAGTGTGAGAACTGTTTATGACGATTAGATTAAGGTATCTGCAATCCTAAAATGCTATAGAAAGGGAAGGAAACAGGTCTGCGACGTAGGAAGTGATGAAGGAAGAAGTCAAGGCGAGCTGTCCGGAGTGTGGGAACTGTTTATGACGATTAGATTATGGTATTTGCAATCCTAAAATGCTAAGGGAAGGGAGGAAAACAGGTCCACGACGTAGGAAGGGGTGAAGGAAGTAGTCAAGGCGAGTAGTCCGGAGTGTGGGAACTGTTTATGACGATTAGATTAAGGTATCTGCAACCCTAAAATGGAATGGGAAGGGAGGAAAACAGGTCCGTGACATAGGAAGTGGTGAGGGAAATAGTCAAGGCGAGCTGTTCGGAGTGTGAGAACTGTTTATGACGATTAGATTAAGGTATCTGCAATCCTAAAATGCTATGGGGAGAGAAGAAAACAGGTCCGCGACGTAGGAAGTGGTGAAGGAAGCAGTCAAGGCGAGCTGGCCGGAGTGTGGGAACTGTTTATGACGATTAGATTAAGGTATTTCCAATCCTAAAATGCTATGGGAAGGGAGGGAAACAGGTCTGTGACGTAGGAAGTGGTGAAGGAAGTAGTCAAGGCGGGCTCTCCTGAGTGTGGGAACTGTTTGTGACAATTAGATTAAGGTATCTGGAATCCTAAAATGCTATGGGGAGGGAGGAAAACAGGCTCGCGACGTAGGAAGTGGTGAAGGAAGTAGTCAAGCCGAGCTGTCCGGAGTGTGGGAACCGTTTATGACAATTGGATTAAGGTATCTGCAATCTTTAAATGCAATGGGAAGGGAGGAAAACAGGTCCGCTTCATAGGAAGTAGTGAAGGAAGTAGTAAGGCTAGCAGTGCAGAGTGTGGGAACTGTCTGTGGTAATTACATTAATGTATCTGCAATCCTAACATGCAATGGGAAGGGAGAGAAACAGGTCCACGACGTAGAGAGTGCTGAAGGTAGTAGTAAAGACGAGCAGTGTGGAGTTTGGTAATGGATTTATGTATCTGCAATACTAAGACTGCTTTCAGAGTAAATTAATGATTTTCCCCGAGCAAAGCTCGGTCCCCAGGTACTAAAGTTTATTATATACTCTTTAATAATTACTCATGGCCTATTAAGAGCAGAAACATGTTAGTTGTTTTAATAAAATAACTTCAAAGGTGCTAAATGTTTAGTAATTGTATGATTTATTATGGTGTTTTTGGCCTCTAGCGAGATCAATACATATTTAATTGGCCCCGATTCATCTTATCATGAGCCCAACAGTGGTAATAGCTTACATACACATGTGTTACATAGCACCCCATGGGATATTTTGCTTATAAAAAAGCTTATGACAACAATTAATTTTAAATATAGATTTGTTATCATGGTAACTAGATTTTATCCACTAACTTACAACTAAACTTTTCAGTACTGCAAATTAGTACCTATATTAAATACAAAATGTTTGTCAAATTAAAATTTATGATACAAATAAAAGACAATCTAACCAGAAACAGAAACATGTAGGTTTCGGTGTCACGTGATTGAATTCATTCATCTGGCTGAGATTTAAAGAAGGTCAGTATTTCACTTAGAGATCTGAGGTACTTGTCCATAATTTTGCAACACTATAAAAGATGTAATTTCAGTTGGGCAGAAATAAAAATTGTACTGTATAACTGTTAAAAAAGAATATTAGTATCTATACAGGATTATTTGAAAGGGGATTAAATTGATGGGAAACTCATAATAGCAGTCATTGATTAAGATTTAACAAAATTTAAAAGTTGAAATTAGTTTGTCCAACTTGCACTTGGTATGACAACAGAGAAGTAAGGTACAGAGGAAACTTGCTTATATGTTGCCTGTGCGCT